CTGATTAACTCGATCTTGCAGGGCATTAGCTACGCGAAGCTGGCGAGCTTGCCTCCGATCATCGGCCTCTGTACGTGCTAGCTTGTTCACACGCTTTCTTTCTTTCCTTCCATGCATGCGTGTGCATGCAAATATCTTTGATTATTAGTAAATGGACAATGGTTAGGTGATTAGCTAGTGGTAATTAACTAATTATTGATGGTTATTGTGTAGATTCGAGCTTTGTGCCGCCGATGGTGTACGCGGTGCTGGGGAGCTCGAGGGACCTGGCGGTGGGGCCGGTGTCGATCGCGTCGCTGATAATGGGGTCCATGCTGCGGCAGGCGGTGAGCCCCGCCGCCGAGCCGCTGCTCTTCCTCCAGCTCGCCTTCACCTCCACCTTCTTCGCCGGCCTCGTCCAGGCCTCCCTCGGCATCCTCCGGTGATCCATCCATCCATCCATCCATGGCTAGCTGCATGTTCCTGCTCATTGATGCCGAATTGAAGCATGGTTGCATGATGTGATCTCATCTTGATGGATGGATGCAGGCTGGGGTTCATCATCGATTTCCTGTCGAAGGCGACGCTTGTCGGGTTCATGGCCGGCGCGGCGATCATCGTGTCGCTGCAGCAGCTCAAGGCGCTGCTCGGCATCGTCCACTTCACCACCGAGATGGGCCTCGTCCCCGTCATGGCCTCCGTCATCCACCACACCAAGGAGGTAACTAATGATGTCGCAATTGCGCATCCATAACGTCGCCGGCGCCGCCGCCGCCGCCGCGACGGCGAGCTAAGTGACTGTATGACTGACCAATCGATCGATCGATCACCGTGCTTTGTGCAGTGGTCGTGGCAGACGATCCTGATGGCCGTGTGCTTCCTGGTGCTCCTGCTCACGGCGAGGCATGTGGTACGTATCACATCACACTACACACGCGTCTACTCCTTTTGACTGCCGTTGACTGATGTCTACGTCATGTTATTCTCTGATTATTACTATTATTGTTATTTGTTTTTGCAATATTTCTTCCTTCGAAAAAGAATAAATGTTCAGCTAGCTAGCCACTGATGACACGCATGTGTGGTGCTGATCATAGCAGGGGCTATATTAGCGGCGGTTTTGGCGTTTCTCTTGGACATGTTTCGATTCGCTTCGTCTGTAGTACGCAGGATATATATATAGCTTCGTATATATGTTGTCGCTATCGATAATCATGCAGCCGGGTGAAGTCAGGCATGAAATGATGCATATATATGGCCGACGATCCATCCTTTGGAAGGATGTGCGTGCCTTTCTTGATCAATTTGGTCACGGACATGGATCTCTCTCTGCAGGTTGTTGCATGCATGTATGGGTCCATGTCTAGCTAGTCTTTTTATTTTGACAGTCCAAGCTAAGTACAGTATTTTAGTAATTACCAGCAACTTGTTGCAGTAAAAGTAACATGTCAAAAGTCATTAGAAAATTACTGGACTTAATTATTTGGTCAAAGGAAATGTAGTATTAATGTTCGTTTGGGCTGCGCCTTTTTCAGATGGTTCATTTGTTCTGTTTTTTGAAAAAAAAAATTATATTTGTTCTGTTGGTGCATGCACACAATTCAGTATTCTGAACCTTGCAACCATGCTGATAGAGAACACTACTGCTAGTTACGTTGAAGATAGTGAGTATTAGGTGGTGGTGGTTGCAGAACACTATTGCGAAAGGGCACGAATAGTAGTTGCAGTGACCTTAGTAGCACTCTAAGGTCCTGAGTTTAATCCTCTATAGGAACGAATTTCAGATTAAGTTATTTGAGGTGTTAAGTTTTCAATTTAAAAAAGCTACATATATCCGGTTGGATATAAAGGTTGGGTAAAAAATACTCTTTAAAAAAAGGTGGTGGTGGTGGCCAGCACTCGTCATACATACATATGCCCCCAATAATCAACTCAAGCATTGTTTAGTTCCCAACTTTTTATTCAAACTTCCAACTTTTTCATCGCATCAAAACTTTCCTACTCACACCAACTTCCAACTTTTTTGTTCAAACTTCCAATTTCAGTCAAACTTTCAATTTTGATGCGGAACTAACCACAGCCTCAGCATGCACGGTTTTTTTTGAAAGAATGTAAGCCTGTAAGGCTGTAACTAGCAAATTAAACAGTCCGTAGGTTCTGACTGGAAGGCTACAAATGGAGCAGCCCAAGACGAAATAATGCAACCGACACTGATCTATGCTACTAGCTCCAGAGGAATAGTGTTGGGCCTCTCAAGGCCACATGGCCACATTGGTTTTGACCCTGGAAGAACTGAACAGATCTTGCAGGTAGTACATAAGGGAGGAAAAGGGACGAAATTTACACGATCCAACATCCCTCTCCTGAAAACCTACAGTCTCTGTCTCTCTGATATGTGATATCTGCCCAGTGCTCTGTAGACTGTACTTCTTTATTCTGCTATATTTCTCGGGCCATGGAGTTATTCTCCCAAAAAACAGATGTAGTGTTCAATATTCTGAAAATGAGGATGGTGGTAGTATCAGTGAAAAGTTCATTTCAGAAACTGAAATCAAGTACATTTTATTTTTGCACTCGTTAATTCTAACTCCTGCACAAATTCTATCTTCTGTGTATGCAGAGTATGAAATGGCCAAAGCTTTTCTGGGTTTCAGCTTGTGCTCCCTTGGCATGTGTTATCGTCTCTACCCTGCTTGTTTTCCTGTTCAAAGCTCAGAAACATGGCATTAGCATAGTAAGAAACCTGAAACAACTGTAAATTACTGCATTAGTATTTTCTTAGTTGTAACATATTAATAAAAAAATGCCTATCTTTTCCCTGCAGATTGGGCAGCTCAAATGTGGCCTGAATCGCCCTTCATGGGATAAACTACTCTTTGATCCTCAATATTTGGGCCTCACTGTAAAGACTGGCCTTGTCACCGGAATCATCTCCCTAACGGTATGTCTGTCATAAATTTTACCATTTTAACTGTGTTTTTCCATGGGAAAATTAATGTATCCCATGATGCTATCTGAACTTGACACCCCATATATGTTCAGAATCTTGTGCCATAGTATCAGTACTATTCAGATAACACTTTTCACTATTTACCAGGAAGGAGTGGCAGTTGGTAGGACATTTGCTTCACTCAAGGACTACCAGGTAGATGGTAACAAAGAGATGATGGCCATAGGATTGATGAACATTGTGGGCTCATGTACATCATGCTATGTAACTACAGGTACATCCCTGAACCAATCTTTAATCCTAGTTTCATCACCATTCACAAGGATAGAAAGAATGATTTCCGTTCAAAAAAAAAAAGGATAGAAAGGATGATGGTCTCTCTTATTTAATTTCCATCAGGAGCATTCTCTCGTTCTGCTGTGAACCACAATGCTGGTTGCAAGACTGCCATGTCAAATGTGATCATGGCACTGACTGTCATGGTCACACTGTTGTTCCTCATGCCACTGTTTGTGTACACACCGAATGTTGTTCTTGGAGCAATCATAATTGCTGCTGTGATTGGGCTCATTGATCTCCCTGCTGTATACAACATCTGGAAGATGGACAAGATGGATTTCCTTGTGTGTCTATGTGCATTTGCTGGTGTAATCTTCATCTCAGTCCAACAAGGCCTTGCAATAGCGGTAACCAATAAAACTGACAAAGCTAATTATTCCATAGAGTAAGTTGCAGCTTTACTTGCTTACTGATTAAAATTCTCAAATTTTGCAGGTTGGTATATCAATATTCAGGGTACTGTTGCAAATCACAAGGCCAAAGATGATGATTCAAGGGAACATCAAAGGCACTGATATTTACCGAAATCTTCATCAGTACAAGGACGCTCAAAGAGTTCCTGGGTTCTTAATCCTGACAGTTGAGGCTCCTATAAACTTTGCAAACACCAACTACCTAAATGAAAGGTAAAACGCACTTCTAGGAAAAGAAATAAATACTAGAAATCAAAGTTCTGAAAAGTGGATAAATATATCTGCAATGTTTCTGTTTGTAGGATTAAAAGATGGATAGAAGAAGAAAGTTCTGCAGGAACCAAACAAAGTGAACTCCATTTCGTAATTTTGGATCTGTCAGGTTTGTTACTTCGAATGAAACTTTCATCCACTTTATTTTGTTAGTATGTTCCTTTCAAATGCAAGATCAGGTCATACCAGAGTCTAGTACAAAGGCTTCTCAGCTGTACTAACACATCATAAAACTATCCTTCTCAGCTGTCCCTGCAATTGATACAAGTGGCATATCGTTCCTCATCGACTTGAAGAAATCAACAGAGAAGCATGGACTAGAGGTATATACTCTAATTTCCTAAAACATAAACACAGTTTTGGGGCACAAACAAAACCCCCTTCTTCTTCTTAATGAAATTTGGTCGACCGAATCCTTCGGCTGACCCGGCAAAAAAAAAAAAGTTATGTGGCATAGTAAACCCCCTTTATTTTATTTTTGCAGCTTATACTTGTGAATCCAACTGGAGAGGTCATGGAGAAGATACAACGAGCGAATGATGCTCATGGTCATTTCAAATCAGATAGTCTGTACTTAACCACTGGGGAAGCAGTGGCTTCACTCTCTACATTTTCCAAGATGACAGCGCCTTAGAGCTGATTCTAAGGTTGTCATTTTCATTATTATTCTAACTGCGCTGCTAAGTTTGCAATGCAAGATTTTCCACCCTGTTCTCTCAGCAATAGAAGTGCCTCCAGCAACGTATTTCCCGGTTATGTTTGTACCCCCAATCTTCCGAGGTATTCAGACTATGTGATGCAAACTTGGCAGTAGAAGTACTGAGAATATGTACCTTGTGCATACCCATCAGTATTTGTCTACATGAGGGCAAACACACCAACAGTACAGAATATATAGTAATTCTCACATGAAGGTTGCATTGGAGTGTTTAGGACTAGAAGTTCTAAACTAAAAACTACTACAACTAAATCCAATAATTAACAGCTGAAAAACAGTCGATTCTACATCATCCATGGCATAACTAAAACAACTGAATGTGCACTCGTGAGGCAGAGGCCTCAATCCGGGCCCGTACCTACATAGATGGGCCGGAATTTCAGTTTTGACTTCCAGGCCCATCTACTGGAAATGGGCCATAATTGTGGTGGGCTGCCAAACAAGGCCCACATTTGGGCGCGAAATTCCCCCCTTTTCCCCCCTTCTTCCCCAGCGAGGCTGCGACGGCGGCAACGAGCATTAAACGCGGTCGACGGCCGTTAGCGAGGTTTCCGTTCCCCTTTCGTTCATCCGCCTCCTCGTCGTCGTCGTCGTCGTCGTCGTCGCCCAGCGCATTGCCCGTCGCCGCCATGGCGGCGAGAGGCAGCAAGAAACGCAAGCTAGCCGAGGAGGACCCGGGCATCATCGGAGCAGGGCGGCCGCCGTCTCCTCCATCCGGGTCTCGTGGCTCGGCTGACCGGCGCCTGGGGGTGGTGGTGGTGGCAGATCCGGATTCCGATCAGGGGTCGTGCGACTCGCTGCTGTCGGACGCCACCACGAGGCTTACCCAAGACGACGCAGCCGAGGCTGCTTCGCGGCTCCTCATCGCCGTCGTCGTCAGGTCGCCCGAAGCCCTCCTCGCGTTCGTCCAGCGACTCACTCCGGAAGCAGTGTTCCGCGCCATCGATTGGGACCTCGTCCCGTCTGGCGAGGCAAGGAAGGTACTCCGTCCGATTTATATTATAAATCGCTTCGATTTCTTTATCAGTCATTTTTCTTTTTAAGTTTGATCAAATTTATATGAAAAATAATATTTCCAATACAAATTAAATTTATTATATCAATGCTACATCCAATAAAACTAATTTGATGTTGTAGATATTGCAAAATTTTTCTTTAAATTTAGTCAAACCTAAATAAATTTGAGTAGAAAAAAAGTTTTAAAAAAACTTATAACATGAAACGGAGGGAGTAATTGTGTTCTATGTTAGCTTTAATTTCCTTGTACCCCAAATTTATTGCTTGACTTGGGTTGGTAGATTGCGGAGGGTCGAACACATTGGACCGAGGAAGAGCTTCGTGTCTTCCTCCAGAGTTGCTTGGAGGAGATTCAGGCACGCAACATCATCTCCTCGTCCCCCGAAGCACAAGGGTTCATCAATTTGGAGAGGAAGATGCTAGAGAGGGCAGGAAAGATAGTAACCAAGAAGCAAGTGAAGTGGCGCTGGGTAAAGTCTCGCAAAAACTTCAACATGTAGACTTGGCTGGAATCCAAGGCTACCGGATTTGCACGTGATCCGGTGACTCAGGCCATCCTCGCTCCCGACAAGTGGTGGGAAAGCCAGGAGTCGGTATGTCAGTCTATCTTTGGTTTTGGACTAGTGTGTAGTACTGGACTGACATGTAGTGCATATGAACCTAGCAATGTGATTAGATGAACTGTTGTTTGTATGTCAGTGTAGCGTACATGAAAATAGGTGTGCAAAATTGGATGTACAATATATATTAGATGAACATAGGAATTTAATTAGATGAACTAGTTTATAAAACTGTAGTCTATGCGAACATAGGAGTGAAAATTGAAAGTACCAAAATCATAGCAAGTAATGTGTCATATATGGGACCTTTATATATGATTGACTTTATCTTGTATTACTTGGACATAGGTGACAATTTTGTAATGATGAAGCTATAATTGATGTGGAAAATCTTGTCCATTTGTCTGATATGTACATCCTTTTTAAGGTGGTTTAACATCAGAAAGTAACTAGCTAGTAATTATTATGTGACCATATGTCTGACATATACATCTGTACCAGTAGTTGTAGCATATTCCATTTTAGCATCCAAACATATATGTACAAGATCTTTATGTTGCCTTTCCATGACTCTGCAACTGCCAAGTTGTATCACTAGTGTGGTACTAGTGTAGAGTACAATCAGATTTCACTACATTGTGAATCCTAACCAATTCTTTCTTTACATTCAGACATCTGTTGAAATTAAAATTTGTGGAAGACTTGATGGGTTTACCACTAGTGTTTTATTTTACATCTAGCTGCATTTTCTTTTATTTTGCATCCAGCGGTACTTTGTTTTGCAATGGCAGGTTGATCAATTTGGGTAAATGATACATGAAGTAATCAAGAAACAATTCATTCATTTGCAATAGGCATGATATTATAGTGCTAGTAATCAAATGCAACAGAAATGCCTTTTGAACTAATCCATCAATTATACTGACAGTTGTAGCATCTTTCAGTGTACACCTCCAAACTTATATGGCAGTGCTGTTAGAAGATTATTATGTTGCCTTCCCATTGTTTTGTCACTGCAAATTTGTAGCAATACCGTGGTTGTAGAGTTCTGTACAATTAAGTAGTACAGATAGTACTTAAGTAAGGATGTGTGCATCACTGAATACTTCTGAATGGTAAAGACAAAAGGAAGTAGTGTTCTGCCATTCATATGTTGCAGTACACATTGCCATTCAATTCACCCATTCTGTAAAGCCATGTTTTTGAACTATCTATGAAATCAATAGGTACCAGCCAATTCATGCAGCCGTTGTGCATGTGAGATATTTGTGATTCCTTTATACAAAGTAAACTGCTTGTAGTTCATATTGCTTTATTGTTGTTCTTCAAATTTGCCTGATTGCTGTACTACAGAAATGCTTTGCTGTGCTGCAGTTCAACATGCTGATTCCGCAAATATGCCTGCAAATAAAAATGCTTTATTTCTGTGTGTATCATTTTATTTCTGTAGTGCAGTTCATATAGCATATTCAAGTACCGGATTGAGTTTGAGTAGTGTGGATAATGCTGTCTTATGATTTATTTAAGTACTGCTTGCTGTTTATTTCTGTACAGTACATTATATTGCATGTGAACAAATCGCATTCTGACTTACTCCATCATTTCTATAGTTTGCATCCATATTTTACACCAATTCTAGTTGCATACGCTGACATGATCTTCGACCGTGTAGGAAAGGAAAGGAGCGAAGGCATTCAAGGATGCTCCTCTCAAGTGTATCGACGAGCACCATGCTGTTTTCCAAGGACGCATGGTCGTCGAGGATCACTCCAATGTGCCCGGAGCACAACCAGTGGTTGACCAGCAACCAGCACATCAACCAATGATCAATGTGGAGGACATTAGGGCACCACCCCTACCCCCACCATCGGCTGCAGCCAGGGTGAAGGGCAAGAGGCCTTCTGCCACTGAGAGTGGAACTTCAGGGAGCTCTTCAAAGAGCAGGACATGCAGTGACTCCAGCGACGAGGCTCTCCACAGGCTAGCTGATGATTCGAGGGTCGAGTCCATGGAGAGCCTCGCTGAAAGGGAGGAGGAGAAGAAGGTGAGAGGCTTGGAGGCTTGCATGGACATGGTGGAGGCCGATGGATACCCCCCGGGCAGCGAGTTGTGGTACATGGCAGCCCAACTGTTCCGTGACGACGCATGCTGGCATCAGTTCTTCCTCGACGATCGCCACACTGCAGAGTCTCGTCTCCGGTTCATTCAGGTCCACTGCAATTGGTTGCGTAGGGGAGCGGCACCGTCTGCAACAGCGCACCGCAACCAACCTGTTTGTTGACAGAGTAATTTGGCTAATACTAGATACTTCCTCCGTTTCGCAATGTAAGTCATTCTAGCATTTCTCACATTCATATTGATGGTAATGAATCTAGATAGAATATATATCTAGATTCATTAACATTAATATAAATATGGGAAATGTTAGAATGACTTACATTGTGAAACGGAGGGAGTAGTTTCTTTCGGAAATTTCTGGCTGAAATTATTTAAAAATTTGACTAAATTTGAATGAAATTTGACCAAATTCAGAAAAAAAGCAAAAAAACCGAAAATTCCGGGTGATATTTGAGCATGCCGGTGGGGGAGCGAAATTACCGAAATTTTGGAAATTTCGAACCGAAATTTCAAACCTTAGGTAAGTGTAAGTGGTTTACCGGTGTGTGCAAGTCTGTGTGAATTGCTTGGTGGCTGCATATGCATCGTATGACTTAGGTCCTGTTTGTTTCAGCTTAAGATTATTGCAATCTAGATTATTGTACTAGATTACTATAAGCCGGATTATAATAAGCCGATATAGAATAAGCTGGTTGTTTGTTTCTCTAGATTATTAGCTGTTAGCCATCCAATAATCTAAAACGCACCTTTAGAATGGATTATCATATTATAGTAATCTGGCTTATAGATTGTAATAATCTATCATAATAAGCTATCGGTTTGTTTCAGCTATTTTTAAATTGTATTTATATATGGACTCGGTTTTTTCTTTTTTTCGATTAATATGAGAACTTTTAGGCCATGAGAGCGAACGTGGAGGCTTCATTTTCTATTCCTTTAATAAATTAACTAGCATGGTGGCCCACGCATATTGCGCGGCTAGCATCATTATATTTTCTGTCATATAATAACATATATGTTTTCTCAATGTATTATTCAAATATATTAAAATGACTACATAATTTTAAATTTTGTACTACCTTTACAAAACTACTAATGTATAATATTCATATTGTATTTTATATATGTGTTAGTTATTAATTATTTTTAATATCAAATTTTAGTTATTTGTAAATTATATTCCTATATGGACTCTAGGCTCTTCTTTCAATATTATTTATTTTTAATTCTGAACTTTTATTATTTATAATTGTATTTCTATGTGGACTTTAAACTCATCTTTCAATATTCTTTAATTTTTAATTTCGAATTTTAGGTACTTCTAAATTGTAATCTTATATTAACTTTAGACTCTTCTTCCCATATTTTTTTAATTTCAAATTTTAGTTATTTGTAAATTGTATTTTTATACGAACTCTAAACTCTACTTTTAATTTTATTATGTTTATTCCGAATTTTAGTTAGTTTTAAATTCCTATATGGACTCTATACTCTACTTCTAATATTCCATATTTTTTAATTCCTAATTTCTATTATTTTCTTAATTGTATTTTTATATGGACTCTATACTCTACTTCTAATATTCCTTATTTTTAATTTCGAATTTCTATTATTTCCTAATTGTATTTCTATATAGACTCTATACTGTACTTCTAATATTTCTTATTTTTAATTACGAAATTATATTATTTCTATATGGACTCTATGCTCTACTTCTATTCCTTTTTTAATTCTGAATTTCAGTTATTTCCTAATTGTATTTCTGTATGGACTCTAGTCTCCTCTTCTAATATTCCTTATTTTTTTAATTCCGAATTTCAACTATTTCTAAATTATATTTCTATATGGACTCTAGTCTCCACTTCTAATATTCCTTATTTTTTAATTCCGAATTTCAACTATTTCTAAATTATATTTCTATATGGACTCTGCCTTTTCTTTTTCTTCGATTAATGTGAGAATTTCTAGGCCATGAGAGCGAACGTGGAGGCTTCTTTTTCTATTCCTTTAATAATATAATAGATAGATAGATAGATAGATTGTGATTTTATTGTTTTTAGGGTTTATGATTTTACTCTCCCTTTTAAAAATCAGAACTCTGGTTTGCCCCTACCCTGTTAGAACCACCTACCGGTGTCAACGAAACTATAAAAAGACAGGTATAACCCTGTACAGTTACCCCTACTTTTTCTAATAGGATTTGTATAATTTCCAAAAAATATGATCGCACTTGGACAAATTTTGAAAGAATTTTGATATCATCGGCAGGATTTCACAGAACTTCCACCAGGTGCAAAATTTCAACAAAAAGATCCATCTCATTCACCAGTAAAAAATCACCGAACAACAAAAGCTCCTCACAAAGTAGCACAAGATTAGAAAAAAGAAAAAGTAAAAAAAAAAAAAGAGGTGGCTGCAGCACGGCCGGAGCCACTGCCACCGCTGCGGGCTCGCACGCGCCGCCGGAGTCGCCCCCTGCTCGCGGCTGCCGTCGCTTCTCGCTGACGGCGAATCTGCCTTGCATGGCAGGCCTCAATCCAGGCCCGTACCCTACGTAGATGGGCCGGAATTTCGATTTTGACTTCCCGGCCCATCTACTGAAAATGGGCCATAATTGTGGTGGGCTGCAAAACAAGGCCCAAAATTGAAATCATTTTGCTATATGTTTATCCGCAAATTTTCTCGAAAAATTTAACGATGTAATTACAATATAATCGTTGTGTAATTACATTGTAACTTATATGTAACTACAATATGACTTATACGCAACTTTCACATAATTTTAAGCTGTTAGACTTGTTTGTGCAAGTGAGGAAGGAAAAATGTCACAACATGCACACATGTAAGAGGATTTGTTTCCACGACCTGGCTCCGTTCACCAAAACAATATGTTATGGAGAGATTTTTAAAAGTTACATGCAAATTATATTGTAGTTATATATAAATTACGGTGTGTAATTATAGTTATTATAAAGCGGAGACAGATGCACCTGACTCTGACGCGTCTCGCTGATGGCAAAGCAACTCAACTTGTATGGCAGACCTTAATCCCAAGGTACATAAAATCTTCACGTTTCTAAGAATCGTATCCTAATCCTCCTCACATCGACTAACCGAAGAACGGTACGCATCATCCTCGAACAGATTTTCTCTCTCGCGTAGCCGTTGTTCTCATCCGCATCACTAGCTCTGTTGATGATAAACCCTACCCATGATTGGGTTGATATCTGAGGCCACGTTCTAAACAGAGGCTGTAACACAGCTGATTAGCCTTACACAAAACGAGAGAAACTTGATTTAGTACACAGTTTAATTAATTGTTAATTATTAAAAATTTTAAAAATAATTTTTTTATTAAGCACCTTTTATATAAGAAAGTTTTCGTACGAAAAACTTTTTCCAACATTTTTTTAGTTATTTAAAAGGTGTGCTAATAAAAATTAAGAAAGTAATCAAGCTGATCCTCACTTTAAAACGGGCCAGCGTGAGTGTGACAGTGTTCATTTGCAGAAGGAATAAGTTCATATGAGGTCCCTTAACTTGTCAACGAATTCGATTTTCGTCCCTCAACCAGAAAACCAGACACAACAGGTCTTTCAACTATCAAAACCGGTGCAGATTAAGTCCCTCGGCGATTTTGAGGGCGGTTTTGGATGATGTGATGCCTACGTGGCTAATTTGACTCGGTCTTCATCTGACGTGGCATTGACGTGGTGCTTACGTGGCAATTCATCCAGAAAAATAATAATACCTGTGGGACCCACATGTCCGTCTCACATAGAAAATAATAAAAATGGTGGGCCCACGTGGGCCCCACATGTCAGTCCAACCCACCCCTCCTCTCTCTCCCCATCTCCCCTCTCTTCAGTTCAGAAGAGCGGTGTGGCCGGCTCTCGATCTTGGTCAGGCTGATGTCCCGAAACGCGGAGGCCGACAGCACCGAACAGCACCGACGTCCCCTCCCTGTCGTGCGCGAACACGATGCTCGTCTTGAAGGGCCGGTCCGTTCGCGGGATGATGGGCTCCCGCGCCAGCATCACGAACCGCGTCACGTTCCCGGCGTCGTCCTGTATGCCGTCGGCGAGCACCTGGAGCCCGTACAGGTCGGCGGCGCGGGAGGATGCGATGGCGGCGGTGTCCCGGAGCCCCGCGGCGACGACGTGCTCGGCGGCGGCCGCGGTGTCGTCGAAGGCCTCGCGGGCGACGTTGAGGCCCATGGCGTTGAGGGTGAGCTCCCCGAGGGATGCTCGACGGGCACGACGGCGCGGGAGTTCTCGACGGGGAAGACGGCGCGGTCGGCGATCCAGAGCTCCACGGCCTGAAAGGCCACCTCGAACTGGTCGCAGGGGATGGCGTCGCAGAATGGGTAGGCCTTGGCCGCCGCCGCCTCGCTGTAGGCACCCGGGAGCCAGGACACCCTGGTAGGCGACGCGCAGCTGCCTTCCGTGCATGGGCGCCGGGGAGAGATCGGTGATGGTCACCTGATATACGTTTTGCAAATCTCAGCACCCTAACATCAGAAACCAGAGGTGCCATAGTAAGACAATCATGCAATGAAAGTAACCGAGTGCCTGAATATTCAGTAATGCTCATTGTTCAGGTTTCAGAGAATGACAATAACTGTAACAACAAGAGGGTGATGTTGAATTGGTGATGAAAAAAAAAAAGAAACCGGGGTGTCACCTACAACGCGGCGTCCGTCTCGTCGTCGGGCGCTTCCCAGGCGATTATCATGTCGTAGGTGAGCGAGTGGAACTCGCTGTCGCTGAGGTAGTCATGGCGCTTGGTCTCGACGCACAGGGCAATGTAGGAGCAGTACTCCACGACGCTCCTGGCGTACACCAGCGGCTGGTCCCCCTTCTCCGGCTCAAACCGCCGGAGCAGCTGCTCCACCTCCACGCCGGCGATCCTGCAGCCACGATCGATCGGGGAATCAAATCAATTGGACACTGGTGAGGACGAAGGGAGATCATACCGGGCGCATCGGTGGACGACGGAGGAGGCGGTGGGGGAGAGGGGAGGGATGGCGTAGTCGGGCGCCGCCATGCCCTCGTCGTCGCCGCCGCCGCCGTCGACGCGCGGGGCGAAGAGGAGGTCCTCAACCTCAAGGAGACCCATCTGGAGTGGCGACGGAGCACCAGGAGGGACGCATCGTTCGTTCGTTCGTCGGCAGTGTCCCCGTCGCGCGGCGAGGTTTTCATCCTCCAGAGGGGAGGGGTCGGTGGCGGGAAAGGGCGGCGTCGCGCGGCGGTTTTGAGGGTGGTTTCCCTGGCCTACCAGCGAGCGCGCCCGCAAGAGAGAGATGGCCGGTGGCCGCTCTTCTCTATTTCCGCCGCCGTCGTCGTCGCCGGCCGCATCTGGTGCCCATCCCCAGCGCAAGAGAGACAAAGAAAGGGGAGATGGGGAGAGAGAGGAGGAAGAAGAGGAGGGGTGAGTTGGACTGACACGTAAGGCCCACTATTTTTTATTATTTTCTGTGTGAGGATGACACGTGGGTCCCACTAGATTTATTATTTTTTTAGATCGAATTGCCACGTAAGCGCCACGTCAATGCCACGTCAGATGAATACTGAGTCAAATTAGCCACGTAGGCGTCACGTCAGCCAAAACCGCCCTCAAAACCGTCGAGGGATTTAATCTGCACCGGTTTTGATAGTTGAGGGACCCGTTGTATCTGGTTTTCTGGTTGAGGGATAAAAATTGGATTCGTTGACAAGTTAAGGGACCTCAGATGAACTTATTCCTTTGCAGAACAGCATGTTCGACGGGGCAATAGCTGGGCTGAAATGTGGCAGCGAGCTGAGGCATTAAATGTGGAGAACGACCACAGCGCGTCGCCCTCAATTCCCTTTCGTTCATCTTCATGTTCATACTTGTAAAGCTGGCTATCCACAACCAAGATATATATAGGCCCCGGCGCCCCGCTTAGTTCGCGAACTGGACATGTCACGTCGGATGGATATATGGATATATATTTAAATTATTAAACGTAGATTAATAATAAAATAAATTATAGATTTTGCTTGTAAACTGTAAGGCAAATTTATTAAGCCTAATTAATCTGTTATTAGCAAATGTTTATTGTAGCACCACATTATCAAATCATGGTAAAAGATTCATCTCGCAATTTTCATATAATCTGTGTAATTAGTTTTTTTTTTACATTTAATACTCCATGCATATATCATAACAGTCGATGTGACAAGGTGAAAAAATTTTTTGTTTGGGAACTAAACAGACCTATAATATATTAGTATAGAATGAATATAGGCTATTGTATAAGAACTAGTAACTTTTAGTTTTTCTATTTCCCTTCTCCGTATAAGGTTATAGTCTAACTCACTATTATCTCTCTCTTATAAAAAGTTTTCGTAAGTGTGGTAATAAAAATAAAAATAAAGGTAGCTAAGCTGATCCCCACTTTGGAACAGGCCCCAGTGTGGTGGTGACAGTGTTCGTTCGCTGCGCGTTCGACAATCCACAGTGCAACTTCAGCTGAGCTGAGATGTGTCTGCTACATTTCAGCTGTCTCGAACGCTCGCGCGAGCTGATGGCTTCTGCACGCGGGTGCGGTTGAGCTGCGAGCCCGTTATTAAACGCGGACGACGGCCAGGCCAGCAGCGCCTCGCCCTCGATCCCCTTCCGTTCATCCTCCTCCAACTCCTCCTCGTCGTTCCCCTTCGTAGGTTCGCTGCATTGCCCGTCGCCGCCATGGCCGCCAGAGGCAGCAAGAAGCGCAAGGTCGTTGCCGCGGAGGAGGGCCTGGGTCTGGGCATCATCGGAGCAGGGCCGTCGTCGTCTCCTCCGTCCGGGTCTCGTGACTCGGATTCCGATCGGGGGTCGCGCGACTCGCTGTAGTCGCTGCTGTCGGACGCCACCTCGAGCTTTTTCACCCAAGACGACGCCGTCGACGCTGCTTCGCGACTCCTCACCGCCGTCGTCGCCAGGTCGCCCGAAGCCGTCGCCGCGTTCGTCCGGCGACTCACTCCGGAAACAGTGTTGCGCTGCATCGATTGGGACCTCATCCCGTCCGGCGACGCAAGAAAGGTACTCCCTTAGAAAGTAACTCGAGAGATACTGTGACCTGATGATACTAAAACGTTTTTAATCGTTGGATCTAAGTATCTAACAATGCCTATATGATCCAATGATCGAAGACAATTTAAGTACCGTGAGGTAATGATACCTCGAGATATTTTTTCTGGACCGGAGCGAATCTCATTTTTCTTAATTAGTCAAAATATTTTAAGTTTAATTAAATTTATAGAAAAATATAGTAATATTTTTAACTAAAATAAAATATTAAATCTAATAAATTAATTTGATGTGGTAGACGTTGATAATTTTTTCCTTTACATTTAGTCAAAACAAAAAAAAATTAACTTAGAAAAAAAGTTTAAAATGACCTATAGTATTAAATGGAGGGAATAATTGTGTTCGTTGTTAGCTTTGATTTCCTTGTCCCTCAAATTTGTTGCATGACTTGGGTTGGTAGATTGCGGAGGGTCGAACACATTGGACCGAGGAAGAGCTTCGCGTCTTCCTCCATAGCTGCTTGGAGGAGATTCAGGCTCGCAACATCATCTCCTCGTCCCCCGAAGCACAAGGGTACATCAATTTGGAGAGGAAGATGTTAGAGAGGGCAGGAAAGAGAGTAACCAAGAAGCAAGTGAAGTGGCGCTGGGCAAAATCTCGCAAAAATTTCGGCATGTGGACTTGGCTGGAATCCAAGGCCACCGGACTTGGCCGTGACACCGTCTCTCAGGCCATCCTCGCCTCCGACGAGTGGTGGGAAATCCAGGAGTCGGTATGTCAATTCTATCCCTTGGTTTTGGACTAGTGTGTAGTACTGGACTGACATGTGTTGTGCATATGAACATAACGATGTGATTAGATGAACTGTTGTATGTCAGTTAGTGTACATGAAAATAGGTGAGCAAAATTGGATGCACAATATATATATATATATATATATATATATATATTAGATGAACTAGTGTATATATAACTGTAGTCTATGTGAACATAGGAGTGAAATTAGAAAGTACCAAAATCATAGCAAGTAATATGAATGACTTTATCTTGTATTACTTGGAAATACTCCTAGGTAACAATTTTGTAATGATGAAGCTAGAGTTGATGTGGAAAATCTTGTCCATTTGTCTGACATGTGCATCCCTTTTTAGATAGTTTAACATCAGAAAGTAACTGGCTCATTGTTATGTGACCATATGCCTGACATATAGTACATCTCTGCTAGTAGTTGTAGCATATTCTATTTTAGCATCCTAACATATATGTGCAAGATTTTTATGTTGCCTTTCCATGACTCTGCAATTGCCAAGTTGCAGTACTAATGTAGGGTACAATCAGATTTCACTACATTGTGAATCCAAAAATTTTCACTGCTAGCAATATTGTTGAGATAACCAATTCTTTCTTTACATTCAGAAGACATCTGTTTCAGGGTGCTTTGTCTTACTTTACATGATGTTTTTTATCAATCCTGGTGCTACATGATGGAATCACGCTGAGAAATTTCTTTCTTTACCTGAAGTGGTAGACAAAGCACCCTGAATTTACATGATGCTTTTCATCAATCATTGACATGAATGCACATCACCGTCTACCACTTCTAACAATATCACTGACATCCTAAAACCTGACATATTGTGATTCCATCAATGCTTTTTCATTAGTAAATAAACCACTTCTAACAATATCACTGACATGAAGAAACTAAACAACACCTTGTTGTATGCACATTCTTCCAGCCCATGCATGCAGCCATTGTGGATGTGAGATATTTGTGATTCCCTTATACAGAGTAAACTGCTCGTAGTTCATATTGCTCTATTGCTGTTTCTGCAAATTCGCCCGATTGCTGTACTACAGAACTGCTCGCTGTGCTGCAGTTCAGGATGCTGATTCTGCAAATATGCCTACAAATAAAATTGATTTATTTCTGTGTATCATTTTATTTCTGTAGTGCAGTTTATATAACATATCGAAGTACCGGATTGAGTTTGAGCAGTGTGAATAATGCTCTGCCTTACGCTTTATTTAACTTGATCTTTTTTTCAGGTTGTGCTTGCTGTTTATTTATGCAGAGTACATTATATTGCTTGCATTCTGACGTACTCCATCATTTCTATAGTTTGCATCCATATTTGACACTGATTCTTTGTTGCATATGCTGACATTGCTCTTCGATTGTGCAGGAAAGGAAAGGGGCCAAGGCATTCAAGGATGCTCCTCTCAAGTGTATCGACGAGCACCATGCTGTTTTCCGAGGACGCACGGTCGTCCAGGACCACTCCAATGTGCAACCAGCACATCAACCAATGATCAATGTGGAGGACATTAGGGCACAACCACCATCCCCAGCAGCAGCTGCAGCCAGGGCGAAGGGCAAGAGGCCTTGTGCCAGTGAGACTGAAACTTCAGGGAGCTCTTCAAAGAGCAGGACATGCAGTGACTCCAGCGACGAGGCTCTCCACAGGCTAGCTGATGATGATTCGAGGGTCGAGTCCATGGAGAGCCGTGCGGAGAAGAAGAAGGCGAGAGGCGCAAGGGCTTGCATGGACATGGTGGTGGCCGATGGATACCGCCCGTGCAGCGATTTGTGGCTCATGGCACTCGCGCTGTTCCTTGACCCGTATTGGCGTCAGTTCTTCCTCGACGATTGCACCACTGCAGAGTCTCGTCTCCGGTTCATTCAGGTGCACTACAACTGGCTGCGTAGGGGAGCGGCACCGCCTGCAGCAGCGCACCGCAACCAACCTGTTTGTTGACAGCGTAATTTGCATAATATAAGGGATTTTGGTGGATTGTGATACCTATTTAGATTCGTAGTAGTAGGATGTGTCACTTTCCATCAAAATTTAGTTTCATTTGAGCGGTCCAAATTTTATTATTGCTAGGGCATGTTGAGGGTTTTGTGGAACTGCAACCAACTTGTTTGTTGCCAGTGTAATTTGGCCAATACTACTAGTTAGTTATATTTGAGCGGGCCAAATTATTTGGAATAGCTAGTATATGGTGAGGGTTGTGTGAAACTTTAGGAGCATAATATATGATGTTATATGTCATGCGTTAAAGTCTCTGTGATTTTGTGTAACTTTCACCGTAATAGGTATGGTTTTATGAAATTTACTCTACATTTTCTGCATAATTAAACGTTCTTCTTAATGTTGGTTGAAATCTGATTTTCTTCTTCTTGGAAGAGAAGAGTTCGGAGTTATTGCCTATTGGTGTCAGCAACGTGGCGTCGCCGTCGGTGGCCGCCGTGCGCGTGCGGGCCGTGCGGCGCTGGCCGCTGAGGATCCCGGCCCGTACCAATCGGGAATGGGCCGGTATTCTGGGCTGCCAAACATGGCCTCAAAAGTCTGCATACCTTATGGGCCAAAATTTGATGCATTGGGCTGGACCAAAGGCTTGCAGTCGTTGGCCCTTTATGGAATCACACAGTTCGAAAATTCCACGATAGATCTCTCCGAAAAAAAATTACATGAATCTTCTGATCTTCTCCTGTTTTTAGAACTCGTATATATATCCTTATAATCCAACGAAACATAAATCGAAACACTTCCTTTCTCTCTTTTTCTCCCCTTTTACCTTGGGCTCCGACGTACGGCGGAGACAAGCCAACGCGGTGCGACGACTCCGCCGAACACGAATACTTCTCCTCCTCCCACCTATTAACCGAAGCACGGTATTACACCCTCGAAAGTCGAAACAAACTTTTGTTCTCATCTTTTCGCTTATATTTATAGAGTACTTATTAGTCAAAATTTAAATATACAACTTTAAAATTAAAGTTGATTTTAAGGTTTTTTTCATCGAAGTTTCTTTTTAGCCTCTACTTTTAGATTGCTAAGAACAAGTATATAAAAGTATTATCACAAATTACTTTCGTTTGCAAATATGCGGAATGATGGGGCTGTTTCTCCCTTGCGCGGCCATTGCTCTCATCCTCGAACCCTTACCATGCTTGGGTTGATCTCAGAGTGACAGCGCTCATTCTGTCGCGGATTGCCGGATTCGTTTGCTGCACTGCATATATAGTTGGATACTGATAAAAGAAGATATTTATTTATTTTTCAAGTTCTTGTGTGTTGTAGTTGGGCGAAAAGCAATGTCAGGTGACTCAGGTGCAAGTAGGAAGAGGAAAACTGCACCAGGACTTCACCTCCACGGATCAGCAGTTGCCAAGAGAAAGATACCCAAGCTTCAACTCTGTAATCTTCCCAAGGTAAGATGAAGCAGCAGCATTTGCATTAAACTATCAGAGCTTGTTAATTATTCTTGTTGAGATCAAACTGTTCGATGTTCATTCTTTCATGAGTGTTGCTTTGGTCCTTTTTTACCACGTGGTACTGGTACCATGAGGTACTAAAATCCTGACCGTTGGTGATGGCAGATCGAACAGTGGCGATTGCATGGTACCTCGAGGTACCAACTTGGTCATGGGTGTGGTTAGCGCGAGAGAGCCACGGTGGAAGGGTATAATCGTAATTTCGCGTATGGAGGGATTTTTGGATCGGTGCAAGGTTTGGCTGAGTTGGGGAAGCGCGTCAGAGTAGCAGAACCCTAGGTGGCGGCGGTGGTATCCCGTTCGCGGTGGCGGCGGCACATCCATAGCTGCCGACGGCAGCATCCCGTTCGCGGCTGCGGCGGCACATCCGTAGCTACCGACGGCGGCATCCCGTTCGCGGCGGCGGCGGCGCATCCGTAGCTGCCGACGGCGGCAACCCGTTCGCGGCGGCGGCGGCGCATCCTTGGTTCTCTGGGAAGAGCTATCGGTTTGCCTTTCTCCCCTTCGCGGCGGCGCCTCATCCATTCCTCTCGACACCGCCTTTTTCCCCTTGTCCAAATCGTCGCGGGACTTCGATGCATGCGTGCGTGCGTGTTCGGCCATGGATGAGTGAAGCTTACAATTTCGGGAAAGTACAAGAAGATGTTTGAGATGGATATGAAGTACAAGCACACAATTTGTTCTGGACGTTTGATAAATTTGTCATGCTCTTGTCCGTTCCTGTAGTATTGGAGGCATTTTATAATGGAGTCATTGGACTGTAATCAATCTTGGTGTGTTTTCCTGTAATATTACGTTTTCAAGCTGTGTTTTGGTATTGGTTACTTCTGGAATTGAAGAGATGAGTTTAATGACATGGTTGCAGCTAGTTTTATATTTCTGTATGTTTTATGGTACATGCAATGCTTGGTGATTTCTGGAATTGAAGATATGATGGATGTATTGCAATTTGGAGTTGTACTGACATGGCTGAAGCTAACTATTTTATCTGTATGTGAACATGGTATATGTGAATCTGAAAATGATGTACTTCACTCATGCGTGAGACTGACAGCCACATTCATAATTTTGGTGTCATTTCAGATGTGAGAAATCCGAAAAGCATTGTTAAAATTGATATGTTAAATTGCAGGTAGCAAAGTACAGCTCAGACATAATATAGTCAACAGTGGTACATACACTCTGAAATCTTGTACATAAGAATTGCAATAACAACTAGGGAACCCATGAACCAACCTCTAGCGTGGTCTGCCTCTTTTTTGAGCTTTGAAATTTTTTTCTTATATGTTGCTTCGGTAGCCGAAATCCTGGCAGCCATCTCAAATTCAAGTTTCATTTTGTCTTCCTCAACTTTCGCTCTATCAATATAGTTAGACCATTCATATTGCCGCCTGGTTGGATTTGTCCTGCTAGTATGATCCAATGCAAGCCAAAGCTTCTCGAATGTCTTCTGCACTCTTGGATGCCATCTTGGTCTACCCAGATTAAAGTATCGCATTGGTCAACCTCCTGTAACATTGGTTATTTCATAGTATTATTATGCAAATTTTCTTGCAGCGAAACAATGGTGAACATACTCAAATCCGGTCAAACAAAAAACGAACAGCAGAATAAAATCAAACAAAAGCTTACTGGCCACTGCGGCGGATGGCGCAGAGGATGGCGCCGGCCTTGCAGCTGCACCGCCGGCCACGGCGGCGGCGAACCTTGAAGCGTATGGCACCGGCCCTTGCAGCTGCACCGCCGGCCACTGCGGTGGCGGACCTTGCAGCGGCGGCGGCGACGACTCCTGCGGCCGCGGCGCTACCAGGATGTCACCACCCGTACGGCGACGATTACAGAAGCGCTCGCCCTCCTCCTCAGATGAACACACGTGCGGCGGCGCTAGCGTGAGATGCGGTGGGCGACGGTATCGTGAGATGCGATGGGGATGACCTAAACGAAGCCGCACGCAGCTAGAAACGTTGGGACCCCACACCGGAGCGAACCTCGCGCATACTCCCATCCCCATCGTACCCCTCAATGAACGGCCGGATGAAGACTGGTACCTCATGGTACTGGTACCGTGCGGTACAAAACGATGGAGGGGAGAAAATCTATTCTTTCATTCTTGCCAGGATGTATTGTGTTCTATCACATCTAAGTTGCCACTGAAAGAGGCAGTAAGAACAAGCGTGTTGTCAAGTCACTGGAAGCGTATTTGGACGTGCCGAGCCAATTTGGAATTGAGTACTAGAACAGTGTACTCAGATTATGACTGGGAGAGATGCTCTTCTCATCGTGGGTTTAACCTCAACAAACGAAAGTTCATCAAGATTGTTGACTCTGTTCTGCAACAACACGAGGGTGCAGGGACTGAGCAATTCAGAATTAGATTTGCTCTTGACAACAAAAATTCGTACCATATCAACATATATGGGTGAAAAATGCTACTGCGTTGAAGACCAAAGGGCTTGTTTTAGAATTATATTCACTGCTGTTCGGGCCTCGTATAGTGCGATACGATTTCCCTCTGGAAGATGATCAATTCCAACCTGTGTTATCTGCGGCTGTGGTTTGCTTCTTTGAAGGTTCCTGCTGATTCCAGGGGATCACTGAACCTCACTAAGCTTAGCCTGCGAGAGGTGGACATCACCGATGAAGATCTTCACCAATTTTTGTCTGAATGCAATCATCTGCGGGAGGTGGATATTACTGACTGTAGGATGCTTACTAATCTAAGGGTTCCTGGTCATCTCAATCAGCTTAAGAGTCTGCTCGTTGCGATCTGCCCCTTACTACGAGAGATCAAATTGAGCTGCGGCTTGACAGCCCTGGATTATCGAGGCCCATTTATACCATTGCAACTTGCTATACCGTCGCAAACAACAAATGTTTCCATCAGTTTATTAACTTTCCATTCTGCTCTTGGATACATCTTCAGTGACTTACCCAGTACTCTGACTAATCTTGAGACGCTAACTTTAAAGTCAAAACAAGTTGAGGTTTGCACTTTGCAGTTCCTCTCTTCTTCTTCTTCTTTTTTTCGAACGACCCACAGATGTGTTCTCATTTGCATTAGCTATGTGCATAGTGATTTTTTTTAATGGTTATTTATTGTACACAGAGGATTGATATGCTAAGTAGGCTTCCCAGACTTATTTCTCTACGCCATTTGACATTGGGGTTAACTATATCTGACCTGCCACAAAGGAAGATTGATTTACTTGACTTTGCTTCTCTATTGAAGGCTGCTCCTTTCATGGAAAAACTAGAACTGCATGTAAGTTCATCTGTTCAATTCTTTCACATACAAAACTGACAAGAGTTGAATGTGAAGGCCTGCAAGTAAATTGACAAGAGCTAATTTATATACTTCTCCATATTATTAGATGAAGATGGTATGTGTGCATCAGCGATATTGTCAAGATGATGGTGAGTTAAGGAGTCTACCTAGATGCCCACACTCCCATCTCAGTTGGGTTCAGATAACAGGATTTTTCGGTGAGAAAGATCAACTGGAACTTGCACTTCATATTCTCCGGAATGCAACATTTCTTAAAGCAATGGTGATAGAGACAAGTTTGAATACAGAATCCGAGAGTGTAAATTGTTACCCGGAACGCCTCTCTCCTGATGGCTATAGTGTTGCATTGGAGTTCCTCGGAAAAGAAGACCACAATAATGCTGTCCACGTATTAGAAGCAGATGATGAGTAATCAAGAAGCAAGTGAAGTGGCGCTGGGTAAATTCTCGCAAAAATTTCGACTCGCGCGTGGACTTGGTTGGAATCCAAGGCTACCAGACTTGCGTGTGATCCGGTCACTCAGGCCATTCTCGCCCCCGACGAGTGGTGGGAAAGCCAGGAATCGGTATGACATTGTGCCTCAAAATCAGTTCGCTCATTCGAGACAGCACACCAAGCACCATAGTAATGCACAAGACTATTGCATTACAGTGATGTTTAAAAGTAGGAATATTGAATTCATTTATTTTCAATTAAACGTTATATGCCGTAATTCCCAAATGACATCTAGTTGTAGTATGGCACCCTAAGTAGTAGTAATATATTCACTCAACATTTTTTTCCTCCATGAAAGCAAAATTATCTTGGAAATTCAGATGATTGAATGAACTCCTTTTCCAAGCTATATTGTCTAGTTCCTTCATAGCACTTACTTCCCTCGTACGTCTGATTTTTTAGTGTATTACTATTGCTCACTCTTGCAATCTGATGATTAAGTTGGACTTTTGACCTTTGCACATCTTCAAGTGTTGTCTCCACTTGCCTCATTGTAGGCCTTTCCTCACCTTTTAATCTTAAACATGCTTCTGCAAGCTTAGCAACCACCTTAGCATCTTCAGCACCCACCTCATTAACAATTTGAGAGTCCAGAATATCTGACAAGCGGTTGTCTCTTATGAACGACACAAAGTATGATGCCAGGCTTGTCCTTTCTGATGTTTCGGAGGAGAAAACCGGTGTTACCCTTGTCAATAGTTCAGCTAGGATGACACCGAAACTATAAATATCGCTTTTCTCAGTCAGTCGACTAGAGTAATAATATTCAGGATCTAGATAACCATAAGTGCCCTGGATGATGGTGAGTATTCCTGTCTCGTCAATTGAAATTGACCTTGAAGCTCCAAAGTCCGATACTTTAGCCGTCATAGTATCAGTGAGTAGTATATTTGTAGATTTGATATCTCTATGTAACACTGATATAGAAGCTGCCGAGTGAAGATATGCAATAGCCCTTGCAGTTTCTAGTGCGATTCTCAATCTATCTTTCCACTTCAAAGGATTCTCATTTTGGCCATGAAGATGAAATGAAAGAGTTCCATTCGATATAAACTCATAAACTAATAAAGGAACTTCTGTCTCAAGGCAACAACCATATAGCTTCACCACATTCCTATGGTTAGTTTGTGAAAGTATGACAACCTCATTTATGAAATCATCAATCTCCCTTTGAACCACAATTTTTGACTTTTTGATGGCCACCACACGTTGGTCAGATAATATACCTTTGTAGACTGTGCCATGGCCACCGCCCCCAAGAATGCGATTTTGATCAAATTTGTTGGTTGCCTGGTCTAATTCTTCTAAACTGAAAATCTTCATCCTTTCAGCTATATCCTTGTTTGAAGATATTAATTGTTGAAGAAGCAGTCCATGATTCTTCTTGAAAAACTTCCGTCTCAACTTCTTGGCTCTGCGTTGTTTGATTTTATTTGTGATTTTGGCAACACCAAGAAGTGAAAACAGTAGCCCAAAACCAGCACTAACTGCTATAATGGTTATTAAACCTGCAGAGAATAAACGTCAGGAACATAGGGTTTATAATGTATAGAATGGATCCAAATGAACTGTATTTGTACCTGGAAGGCTACAAATACAGTTCTAAAATCGAAAACTCCGCTAATAGAATCGAGCAAGTGATCGATTGCTTCTTCTTTTTTTCTTTTCTTTTTTTGCGAGGAATTGCATTTGTACCTGGGAGGCTTTTGACACTTTTCTTTGCTAAGCATCGGTACGTCCCAGGCATATTGATGCATGTTCCATGACACGGATAAACATCTGGCTGCTGGCACTCATCGATATCTGAAAAGGGGAACAAATATATGGGAGTGAAAATTAAAGAATGCAATTCATGATTGGATGCATCATGTCCAGATTCGTTATCATAGGATGAGTCTCATTTCATCTTAGGTTGCTATAGTTTGGGACGAGGTAAGTAGCTTCTATCAACTGATAGTATGATATAATTACATGTTCTATATAATTATATCAAGTGATACTATATATGGTGGTGTTCGAATCTGATGTGGATTAAGATTAAATATGGGCACGAAAAACGAGAAAGCTATTAGCGCATAATTAATTAAGTTTAATTATTACAAATTTAACAAATAGATATATTTGATTTTTAAGCAACTTCTATATAGAAAGTTTTCGCACCAAATGCGTCTTTAGTAGTTTAAAAAACGTGCTAATGAAAAGGTTAATTTTACCATCCTTAAGAAGTTACTAGAGGTACCATATTTTTCTAGTGTAAAATTTGATACCTCTAGGTACTAAGTACTTCAAGGTACCAAAAATTTTAGTGTAAAATTTAGGTACCTTAAGGTATTTTTTTCAAGGACCGTAAAATTCCTCTAATGAAAAACGAGATAAAATCTCTAACTTCATGAGAAAAGAACGGGCCATATGTATAACTTTTCTTTTACATGAAAATTGGAGCCTTCGCTGCAACAAACACAATAAAGCAGGAAAGAAAAAAATACCTCGGCATCCATCACGGATGTAAGGATTGCCTTCGTATCCTTGGGAACAGTTGCACCGTCTTCGGTCGTAGTTTAGATCGTTGTAATAGCTTGAACTATGCAAGCTTAGGCATCTAAAGTCGGTAGTATTGGGCCCAACTGACAACGGCAGTATGGCTCCATCACGGATCAAATCCAGCCACCATTCCAGCACCACCGGAACACTCTCGACCGTGAACGGCAGCCAATTGGTGAAGTTGTACAACATGGCATTCTCATTCGCGCTGAACCAGCCCTGCTCAGCTACGAACGCAGCTGCCCATGTCGTCGATGTCGAGGCACCCATGGAATTTCGGTCTATCAGAGACGTGACCTGGATCGTGTACGAGTGGACACCCCTCCCAACGGACGTACGGCAGCGCGCGATGCCGGAGCACGAGGGGCCTGCGAAATTTTGCCATCCATCTATACATGTGGCGGCGCAGCTGCTGCCGTCGGCGATATTGCCGTACGGGGTAAGGTCGGCCACGATGTTGCAGCCGAAGGCAACCAGCCAGTTATACGCGGAGGACACCGTGAACGGCCCGTCGGCCGGTAGGTCGGACCGTGACGACGAGGCATTAGACGAGGAGGAGGAGGAGCCGGCAATAGATGACTGCGAAAGCTTGCTGCGGACGCGTACAGTGCCGTCCGGCAAGGAGATGTTGAGCACTTGGACGACGGTGCCGTTGTCTGTGGCCATGAACAGCTTGGGCGGCGTCTGGTGGTGGTGCGCCTCGTCGTCGCATGTGAGGTTGAAGCCATGGTAGGAGCACCCGTCGCCGATGCCGAAAGGGTACGGCACTTGTATGCCGCCGCAGCTTTCCGGGCAACCAGGCAGGGCTATCGGGGTCGGGGCTGCTGCTGACAGTGTCGTCGTCGTCACCAGAAGCTGAAACACGACTGCTCCAATCGTCGCTAAAGACGGCGTGCAAGTTATCTCTATACTACAGTACTACTACTAGGCTAGTAGAGCAGCCTCCTCTATTCAGTCCGTTACAGCAGCTGATGAGGAATATATATAGCAAAGGTTTTTATCCTGATCTCATATGCTTCGAAGTCCAGTCAACGCCTCCCACACTAGTGACTAGGGCCTTTTTTTTAGTTCGCGAAAAAAAATTTAGATGTCACATCAAACATTTTATTTGACCGGATGTCGGAAGAAGTTTTCGAACACGAATGAAAAAACTAATTTCATAACTCACCTGAAAATCGCGAGACGAATTTATTAAGCCTAATTAATCCGTCATGCGGATTGGTGGTGTGGGTTTGGACAGGGAATCGCGGGCGAAAGCCTTGCCGAGCCATTTGGCCGACTGACAACGGCGACGCCGTTTGGCGTCGTTCCCCTCCTTATAGGCGTTGTTTAGCATACCCCTTTCTTTTCCCTACCATATTCTCCGGGTGAAAACCTTGCTTCGGTTCCGAACGAGCGGTGGCGGTGATCCACGTCGCATCCTCCTTGGGGGCACCGCTTTGGAGAAACCTCTTCGTGCAAGGATATTGTCATTGATCTATGCATTGGCTTCGAACTTCAGTCCTAGGCTTTGACGAGGCCTTCTAGCTCCACATTTTGTTTTGCTTTTCTCAGTTTGGGTCATTTCTTCTCTTGTTTGGTGTGTTCAACTTGTCTTGAACTACACTCTCTTCTGGAGTGGATCTTTATAATAATTGGCTGTAGTTCTTTTTGAGCAAAGGCCGGGATATTATATTTCATTATCTAAAAAATAATAATCCGTCATTACGCCATTCCCAACTCAATGACTAGGATAGTGTCCATAGCATTAAATAAGCTATCACCTAGGATGCAAAATAATGTGGCAAGTGAATAACTGAGAAAAGAGAAGGAAACCAGATCTTATATGAAACATGGTTTCTACACAACATTCAAGACAACATGTGAGATAGGTAGAATTAAATTTAAGTATATAGCAAAGTGGTGTTTGCATTGGAAGAGTAGCGTCTAGTACTGGTTTCTTGATAATGTGGAGTTTATAAAAACTATGTTTAATGTCTTGGGTTGGGAATGGCCTTAGCACATGTGGGTTATTGTAGCACTTATGACTAATCATAGACTAATTAGACTCAAAAGATTCCTCTCGTGATTTTCATGCAAACTGTGCAATTAGTTTTTTATTTTATCTATATTTAACGCTCCAGACATGTGTCTAAAGATTCAATGTGACGTTTTTGGGAAAAAAAATTTGGAAACTAAACAAGGCCTAAATCGATGCGACTGATGATGTACCATTGACAAAAGTATATACTCCCTCCGTTCTAAAATATAAGAGATTTTAGACGGATGAGATATTTTCTAGTGCCACATCATAAACTAGAAAAATATCTCATCTTTCTAAAATCTTTTAAATTTGAGACGGTGAGAATAGATGGACACGAACGCGCAGCGCACAGACAGGTACAATTGACGTACTCCATCCGTTTTCAAATACAAGCATTTTATATATAATATAAAATATATTTAACGCTCCAGGCATGTGTCTAAAGATTCAATGTGACGTTTTTGGGAAAAAAAAATTGGAAACTAAACAAGGCCTAAATCGATGCGACTGATGATGTACCATTGACAAAAGTATATACTCCCTCCGTTCTAAAATATAAGAGATTTTAGACGGATGAGATATTTTCTAGTACCACATCATAAACTAGAAAAATATCTCATCTTTCCAAAATCTTTTAAATTTGAGACGGTGAGAATAGATGGACACGAACGCGCAGCGCACAGACAGGTACAATTGACGTACTCCATCCGTTTTCAAATACAAGCATTTTATATATAATATAAAATTTTTGGTCACTGATTCCAACATATAAAATTCTTTTATTCTAAACAATTTAGAATTGAAACAATTGTAAAAAAAAAGCTTAGAAAGGGAATTGAAACAATTTAGAATCTACTAAAATTTAGCCAATTAACCTTTAAATTTTAAGCTTTGCTAAACAAACTAAAGATGCTTATATTTAATAATATTGGGAATAAGGCCATGTTTAGTTCCTACACAAAAATTTTATACCATATCACATTAAACGTTTAAACACCTATATGAAGTATTAAATATAGGCTAAAAAAATAAATAATTGCACAGATTGCGACTAATTTGCGAGACGAATCTTTTGAGCCTAATTGCTCCATGATTCGATAATGTGGTACTACAGTAAATATTTGTTAATGGCGGATTAATTATGCTTAATAAATTTGTCTCGCGGTTTACCGACGGAATCTGTAATTAGGCCCTGTTTAGTTCCAAAGTTTTTTTTCCAAACTTTCAACTTTCCATCACATCAAACATTTCATACACACACACAACTTTTCAGTCACATCGTTTCAATTTCAACCAAACTTCCAAACTTCAGTATGAACTAAATACAGCCTTAGTTTTTTATTAGTGTCCAAACACTCTATACAACACTATATAATATTCGATATGACACGACAAAACTTTATAACCTAGATATAAATGCACGCCACGACCAGTCAATATCTTGGAATCTGTGGTCAATCATGCATTCATGCCGCTCGTCGTACGGTACTCTCGTCGTCCACTCGTCTCCGCTCATCAGCTCAGCTCACAGCCTCACAGGCTCGCTCCCGTGATTGCCTGGAAAGAACAACAAAGAGGCGGTGTTCGGACCTCTAGGTTCCTAACCATCTCTCTCATTTTCTACACCTACGCTTTTCAAACAGTTAAACAGTGTATTTTTTAAAAAAAATTTATATACAAAAGTTGCTTAAAAATTATATTAATTTATTTTTTTAAAAAAATAGCTAATACTTAATTAATCAAGCGCTAATGTATTGTTTCGTTTTTCGTACGCACTGTTCCTGCTGGAACGAGCACCAGCGCATTTTTTTCTTCTAATATATTGACGTGCAATCCTTTTACGCGTTCGCGAAAAAAAAAGCACCAGCGAACACAGCCTTAACTTTTCTTCACTTTAATCTAATAACCATTTAAAAGTGATTGGCTTTTGGAAAACAAAACGAAGGAAGCATATGCGGGGATAAGTCCATTTTACACCCTTTAACTCTTCATTTTGTTTCAAATTCATCCTCAAGCTCCCGAACCAAGCATTTAACACCGTCCAACTATCGATACTTGGTAAATTACATTTCTGAGCGGTTTATAGGCTAGTTTTGGTACCGTAGGATGCCACATATCAGGGACTCAGGGCTAACTTTCTTCTCTTCTCTTCTTACTCTCTCGCACGGGCGCACCTGGTAGGCGCATTGCCTCGGTGAACTCGCATGGCGTGTGCCAATGAGCGGCCGCTCACCACCGGCATGGAGGAATGGCCCCCCTACTCCTCCCCGAGATCGAGGCGCTCATGGAGGTGGAGCTCGATGGAGACGGTGCACTAGGGTGCTCGGCATAGGTGCGGGAAGCAGATCTTGAGTAACGGAACTTCATCAGAGCCGCACCCACGTGGCAAGGAGGAGAGGATCGAAGCCACTGTCCACATAAGTGATTTTTTTTATTTTTTTAATTCAATTAATAAACCTTTAAAAATATTTCTCAAAACTGAATCTCACTGTTTAGTCTTTCATCCAAACATAATGGAACATAATGGAGGGGGAAATAAATGCACGACACGTCGATCATGCGTGAACTGTGGTCAAATCAGGCATTCATGCCGTAAGGGCTGTTGGTCAAATCAGGCATTCGCGCACGGTACTCTCGCCGTCGACTCGTCTCCGCTCACCAGCTCAGCTGAAAGGCTCACTGTCGCGATTGCCGGGAAAGAATAATACAAAGACTAATAGCCCCATTGATTGACTTAAAGCAAAAGCTAAAATTTATATTTTTAAATCTAATTTTAAAGTTAAATTTAAGATATTTTCAATGTAATTTTCTTTTAGTATTAGCTTGATATATAAAGTTGTACTTATAAATTAATTTATATTCCATAATAAACCATTTTGACTTATTAGGAAATATGAGCGATCGATAATACTCTAACTTTTCTTCACTCTAGTCTAATAACCATTTTTGAAAGTCATAATTGGTAGTTTTTGGAAGGAAAAAGTACACCAAGGTCCCTCAACTTGTCATCGAATTATAAAATCGTCCTCCAACCACAAAACCGGATACAACACATCCCCCAACTTACAAAACCAGTGTAAATTAGATCCCTTGGTAGTTTTGACCCTAGTTTTGTCCGACGTGGCAGCTGAGTCAGCGTAGAACCCACGTGTCAGCACCATCTTCCTCTCTCCCTTTCCTCCACAGTTCGGCTCGGCAGTGGGCAGGGGCGCAGGGCAGCAGACCGGTGGGGGAGGCGGGAGACCGGCGACGGGCGACGAGGCGGCGGCGGCGCGGCACGGCCTCCCGCGCCCGCCCTCCCACGCCGCCGCCACCGGGGGAGGAGCTTGGCGCGGCCGTCGGGGGCGGAACGGGGCTCGGCCGGCGGGGCGGAGCTGGGCGCGGGCAGCAGCTGCTGCATTTCCGCTGCCGCCGCCGGCCGTTGTATAGCTACCGCCGCCCACCATTCTTGCTGCCGTCGCCCACCGTTTCGCCACCGCCGCTCGACGCCGCGCCACCCCCTTCGGCCACGTGTCGCCACCACCATCGCCGGCCACCATCGCCATCCAATCGGTGCTGGGCATCGTGCCACTGGGCGTCGGCGTCATGTTCAGCCTTCTCTTCGTCGTCTTCCCCACCACTCGCCATGGCATCGGATATCCAGTCACCAACGCTACTACTTAGTTACATCATCTCTCATGCTCCGTCATTTGCTGCTTTTTGCATTGATCAAAGTATTAATTACTTCCTATTTAATATAATTACTTCCTATTCAGGAAGGCGCGTTGCGGCGGCGAGAGAATGCTGGGACTGTACGCCATGTCAATACAACGCGTCGGTGGATTTCTATTGGTCGCCGTTGCAGGTGGAATCCAACTCCGACCACCCGCTGCGCCACCGCATCGCCGACCGGATCGTCTGCGCCGCCTCCATCAACAAGCCCGCCGCCCACTGGACCCACGCCGACGTCTTCGTCTTTTTACTTCTACCTCTGGTGGCAACGCCCCGCCATTGAAGTCCTGTGAGTTTTAGCTAGTAGTAGCAAGCTTGCACGCATGGACATGGATGCAGTTGATCTCGCTGACGGACCCATCTCGCCGCCGCCTCAGCCGCCGAAGAAGAGGACGCCATGACGATGCAGTACAAGCTAGCCAATCCAATCGTCGGCGTTGTTGTCGTCGACTCGTCGTGGGCGAAAGACGGCGCCGCTGCACGGACGACCGTTCGTGTCGTCGCTGAGCAGCTGCAGTGCGCCGCGGCAGTCCTCGGCGACGTACGGCTGATGTCGCTATTCCTCCGGGCGAGGGGAGTTTGGGTCACACGACGACGCCATTGCCGGCTACGCGCGCGCACATTTGGCTCTCCCCTCACTCTTCCTCCAGATCCGCTCGGCGCAGTTGACGAGCGTGACAGGCGGCGGATCGGGCGAGAGCGGCGGCGGGCGAGAGCAGCTATGGCAGGCGAGCGCGGTGGCGGTGGGCGAGCGCGGCGGCGGCTGCTGGTGGCGCCCCGTCGCCGCCCAAATCCGGCGGCGCCCGCCCCCTGCTCCGCTTCGGCCGCCGCCCCTGCTTCGCCCGCGCGCCCGTCTCGGCCCGTCGCGGCGTCGCCTACCCGCTGAAGAAGAGAGAAAAAGGGAATAAAGAAGAGATGACGTGGCATCCTGACATGTGGGGCCATGTAGGATAAAACCGGGATAAAAACCACCAAAGAATCTAAAGTGAACGGTTTTCATAACTTGAGGGATGTCATATATTTTTTCGGTTGGGGGACGATTTTGTAACTCGATGACAAGTTGAGGGACCCTAGGTGTACTTTTTCCTTTTTGGAAAACAAAACGAAGGAAGTATGCTTGAGGTTTTTGGGCCCTGGCGAGGAATATGTAATTAAAGTTTTTCTTTCATAAGGGACCAAAATCCAGTAGCTCGTATTTCCCAGTTTAAACCAGCTGGTTAAGCAAAGGCCCAGCCCACGTAAGCTTATCTGGACGGGCCAAAGTCCCAGCTTATTCACAATCTGGCCCATCCACACATGGACCACAATCTGGTCCATCAAAAGAGTAACTATAGTACACAACAGTTTTTTGGTTGAAAAACTTTCAGATTGTATATTTAACTAACTAATCGTCGGGTAATTAATCGCTGAACTGTAGTCTGTACATACCTTGGCATCCATTGGCTAGGTAAGGGTTTCCCTCGTATCCTTTGGAGCAATTGCACCGTGCTCGGCCGTAAAGGTTCCCGTCAACAGCGTCGTCGATGGCGCTGTGCACGCTGACACATCGCGTCCATTGAGAGACCCTGGTGTCGTACCAGAACATGTCCTGATCGCGGTCCATGTCCAGCGACCACTCCAGCACCGTCGGGACCGCCGTCGAGTCGGCCAGCTTCCGCGGGTCAGCGACGAAGCCGAGCTGCAGGGAGCGTTGCTCGCCGGCGAACCACTCGCCGTCGGCGATGAACGCCGCCCCGTACGACCCCACGGTGACCGACCTCTGGGTCAGGTCGTTGAGGTGGACGCCGTAGGACGGGAGGCCCCTCGCCACCGGCGTCTGGCAGCAGCCGAAGCCGGAGCAGCTTGAGGCGGCGGCGGCGTCCCTCGGCAGCGCGGATCGGACCACGCACAGCGCGGCGCAGACGCTGATGTAGTCGTCGTCGTCGTTGGCGACGAGGTTGGCGAGGAGGTTGCAGCCCATGGCGACGAACCGGTTGTGCCTGGTCGACACCGCCAGGGAGCCATTTGCCGGCAGGCCGGCCGGCCACGAGCCGTTGAGCTGCCGCGGCAGCGACGACGAGGAGTCCGTGCCCAGCATCCTGGTGGCGACTCTCACCGTGCCGGACGGCAGGGAGATGTCGATCACTTCCACGCCGTTTCTTGCGAAACGCAGCTTCGGTGGTGCAGCAGGGTGCGTCTCGTCGCAGGCGAGCTCGAAGCCATCGCGGAAGCAGCCGTGGCCAATGCCGAAAGGGTAAGGGACGGTGACGTTGCCGCAGGTCTCGGGGCAGCCAGGCAAGGCTACCGGCGCGGCCAATGCTGTCACTACGAGATGAAACAGCAGAGCCCCAACAACAACAACAACCATGGTGCCAATCTTTGCAGGGCATGAGGAGGAAAGCTGCTTCATCTTGCTCTTGCAGAGATCGAGCTAGCTATTCGATTCGGTATTTGGTGTCTTTGCGTGGAGAAATACCTCTTCATATATAACCATGATATCATTAAACAGCCAGATGAACGAGAAACCTCGTACTGAACTTGTCTGAAATTGTTCTGTTTTGTTTAATCTTTCGAAGAGTTTTGGGCGCAGGTGCGTGTCCCATGTGAGATAAAGATAAGAGGGTAACATCATAAGATGGTTGACCTATATTCATTTTTCAAATGAGATGTTATAAAAAATAAACTTGAAAGGGTATCTCGGGGAATTCATTAATATTAATTAGTTGGCTTCACGGTTTAGATTAGCAAATGATCTGGATGCCTTCCATTTCCCCTGGAATGGACAGACGACACGACCATTACACGACGTGCTGGTAGTGGTGCTGCTGTGCTGATCAGGATATGCTAGCTTTTTTTTGTTTTCGGGATATGGTAGCTTATTTGAGCAGCGTATGATATTCCAAAATAGTCCCACTTAGCGCTGACTTGCTGTAGTAAATAAGTAAGGTTTCGGTTCGAAGTCAAGTCGCCGGCGATGATGTGCCGAAATTTGATCGGCCGCTAATTTCAGAAATTCGATTCCCTGGTTGAAGATAGACAAAGACGGCACGTATAACTTGCAAGCAAGACATAAATCACTTTGGACTAAAAGGTCAAGAAAATCAAAAGAAATCGCTTTGGGCTTGGTGTTGGCGTCATTTTTTAAAAAATTTATTTTTTAACACAAGGCAAGAAGATTGCCTTAGAGCAAGTATTATAAGGGCTCATGTGTTGTCCCTAAAAATACCACATAAGATTGGTTGAAGAAAGAAAAAGATAACATGTATAACTGGAAAAATATACAGTGCAAACCACAAATATAGTGAAAACATGAAAATTTTCATTTGGATCGAAAAATAAACGTCAAATATTCGTCCACGTCACCCTGAGTAAAAAATTTTCTCTCACAAGTAAATTTGTGAGTAAAAGTTTTACTCATAATGACGTGGACAAATCTGATACGTCTTTTTTTAATCCAACGGTAGTTTTCAGGTTTTAACTATGTAATTTCCACCACATATTCCATGTATAACTTGCAAGCAAGACACAAAATCGCTTTGGCTAAAAGGTCAATAAAGTAAATAAGAAATCGCTTTGGGCTTGGTGTTGGCGTCATTCTTTTAAAATTTTATTTTTTTTTAACAGAAGGCAAGAAGATTGCCTTTATATGGTGCTGGCGTCTTGGGCTTGGTACAAAGTAGGCTCGCCTTTTGTGTTTGGGGCCGGAAATTAAAGTACTCTCTAGCTTGGTACATGAAGGGTTAGGCCGAGCCTCGTACTTCTCAGGCCTTTGTGGCTTTGTGGGCTTGGTACATTTGTTGCTTCTGCGGCGTCTGGCAGCAGCCGAAGCCGGAGCGGTCCACGGCAGTGCGGAGCGGACGACGCAGCGCGCGCCGGCGCAGACGCTGATGTAGTCGCCGTTCGATCGGTGCGTACGCGCCGACGAGAGGTTGGCGATGTCATTTGCCCTTGTAGATGTTCCAAAATAGAATATCACGTCAAGTTTTACCAAATATCACAAGAAATTAGGAGAACTATATTTTTTAGCCGCTTAAAATATATTATATTATTAAAACATAAAAAAGGGAATTATGTTACTTTTATTATTTTTAAACTATCAGTGTTAGTATGGCATACCCCGTTTGCCTGCACTTGCTATCACCTAGAATATCGCATTTATATCCTTATATAGAAAGATATTCATGAGGATGATATAGACAAGGGGAGGGGCATCGGATCAATAAGACTTACACCCGGCTACATCGGGAGGAAACCCTTCTGCTAGCCGCTGACTACAATTTGCCGCTTGGTCTGTCAAGATTAGTTTGGTACGCTAGACTAGCTAACTTGCACCTCTTTTCTACTCGGTGTGAGATACACCAGATCAATACATATAAACACAACACAAGTAAGGCTATTATCTACATTAAGAGTTTGAACCTATATAAACTGCTATCTTTATTACCTATACTTGAATATATATCACTCGTACCCTACGTCTCTAAATACTGTGATCGGGTATAAACCATCGACAAATCCATTTCACGGTGAAAGTTACGTGCATTTCTATTTAATGCTTTTAAAATACTGAAAACAATGCCATATTTATGTGTGGCTAAGAAACAGTTCCTTGAAATATTTTATTTTTAAGCTGCACATATATTTTATTTTTAAGCTGCACATATAAACCTTTGAAACTGCTGCAATATACTACTGTAGAGTAGAGCGAGCTCACCAACCCATTTAGCTCATCTTTCAGTGCTCTATCCACGTTTTCCACAATCATCCAAGCGACGGTAAAAGGTATCTGTAATTCTGCAGTGGTAATAAAAGTCATCTTGTTTTCTTCATCAGTAACTCATTTACCTCAACGGCGACTCTCGTTCTGATTCAGTGAATTTCAGCTCCAACTTGGCTGTTAAAACAGTGGCAGTTTTACCGCCCTTTGGTACTCCGTTTGACATGTAAGCTCTCAATCAGATGCAACTAGTTCAGTGCTTCACAAAACTAGTAGTAGTAGTAGGTACAAACTCTTATCCGGATCAAGTTTACCATCGCTACTCGCTAGCCGAACAGAGTCCCCAAACTAATCAAACAGTTTCACTGTTTCAGTGCAAAAGCAGTCAGAATTGTGCATGAGAATTAAAGGGGTCCAGCACTCCAGCCTCCAAGTGATTTGGCCACTGCCTGCTCTTTTTACAACTTGCACGTAGTAGAAGAACATTAAAGTTCTCTCATCAGAATCAATCAGTCGCCACTGCCTATAGACTAGCATAAACACCGGACGCTGTCGTGATCATGCGCCATGGAAGCATGCACGTCGATTGCAGCAGTGGAGCTGACCGGCCTCGTGCTGTTTACTAGTCTTGGAACTCCAGGCCAAAGTTCGGCAAGTGCATGTGCCATTACAGACTGAAGCGCCGTGATCAGTGCCAGAATAGTTTTCCATCAAGACTTTGCAACCGCCAAATCCAATATTTAACTGAATTTCAGTTTAACCATATTTGATTCCATGGACGATAGTGCTCCTCTGCCTAGTACTTAAATGTGGATTAAAAAAGGATACAGTGACGCAGAAATGGTTTCAATTTCAGATGAAAGTGTCTGGTTTAGTGGTTATCTGCATCTCCTTCATGGGTTCTCCTCTAGTTAGGCTGCTACTACTATCACCTATCAGTACCATTGTATCAGAGTTCAGTAAACATTTAAGTGAAACAGGTTTCAGTTTCCAAAAGAATGTTCAAAAAAAATTTCAGATGGAATAAGTGAAGGCAAAAAAATGGCATTGGAATTACAGACAGACACAAAGTTTGGGAGATCCGAAGCCATGCATAGAGTATTGTGAAACAACTATGAGCTTTGCTTTGCTTATAGCTCATGTTTAATTGGAGTATTTACTCCACACTCCAAGCAAACATGCAGCATGCCTAATTTGTTGACATCGGTCAGACTCGCTACGACGAACGGCACTGCTGTTCACACCTGAGTTAAGGACTAGCAGATGGAGATTTAGGTCTCATAATTTTGTAAATTATCGCCTTATTGGTTTCTGAAGTCGCAAAGTCGCACGTTAAACCCCATTTTGCAAACCTGGACCCGCATATGTGGGTTGCACCTTTTGAAACCACGACCAAAGTTGGACTAGAGAAATGCAACTATGCAAGTGGCTGGATCTTGCTTGATTCTGATCTACTAGATACCAGGCAACAAGGGAGTAGCAGCAGCATGATTGTCTCAATTATCACCATGAATAATCATGTACGTACGTATGACCAATACAGCCTTTTCAAACCTGTTGTTCCGCATAGTAGGTCAGTAGTACAATTGTGAACTTCTCAAATTCAAGGCATATCTTCGTCTGCTCTGCCATGGCTATAAAACTTATTTAGTTATGTTTAGTTGTTTTTTCTTGTTATACAGAATTATACAAAGTGAATTTGGCATGTACTGAACTTCCTTAGTGCTAGTCTGCTAGACATGTGGAACTAAGCTACATAACAGTGTAAAGTTTTATATTTTTGTGTATGATAGTCACGCCAGGTAAAAAGTGCAAGTATGTTGCAGATCGTAGCAGCATTCTGCATGTAAACTAAGTTTTCATCACACTTCTCATTCCGTGCTTTCTGGTTGTAGTCCACTGAGTTAAAAACAATGGAAGACAAGGAAAGCCGACGCACTCGACAATATCCAATCGGTAGCTTGACAGAAACTGACAGATTGGAGAAGCATCCAGTAACCTCATCAGCACTAGCCTATAAATCCCGCCGCTCATGTAGCTCTCCTTGCATTGCAGAGTTCAGTGTAACAAAGACACTGAAGCTACAGCCTACAGAGAGAGAGTATCTGGATACTTAATTGTGTGCTTAGCTTGCGGTTAAGCAATGGCTTATTCCAGGCAAATCTTCGTCTGCTCTGCCATGGCTGCGTTGCTCTTCTCTGCTGTTGTTTCGGCGCAGCTCTCCACTGATTTCTACGACGAGACATGCCCCGACGCGCTCGACATCATCGAATCTGCCGTCAGAGACGCCGTTTCCAAGGAGTCTCGCATGGGAGCTTCGCTGCTGCGCCTCCATTTCCACGACTGCTTTGTCAATGCAAGTCTCACACAACTCACCCTTTTAAGTTCAGTTTTCCTTCTCGTTTTCTAGTCCGACCTTTGAAGTAGATGTTTCAATTTCGAAATTCGCTAGTCGCTACAGTTTACTTACTTAGTTACTAGTCGCCAAACATTTTATATTCAGATGATTTTTCCCGTGTTCATAAATCATAATAGATATAATTCAGAAGTTCAGAGTGGATGCTGACGGGTCAGTTAAGCAAGTGGTGTGCATGCAGAAAGCGCGCGAAAAGTCTACTTAAAAGTTAACCTTTTCAAATTCGAAGGACTAACCATTGACCTCAAAAACGGCGCGCGCGTGCAGGGGTGTGACGGGTCAGTGCTGCTCGACGACACGGCGGCCATCACCGGCGAGAAGAACGCGAAGCCGAACAAGAACTCCCTCCGCGGCTTCGAGGTCGTCGACGACATCAAGTCGCAGCTCGAGGACGCCTGCGAGCAGGTCGTCTCCTGCGCCGACATCCTCGCCGTCGCCGCCCGCGACTCCGTCGTCGCCGTAAGCACCAGACCGGCCGATCACCACTCCGATCCCTGTATTTTTGATGAATTGATCGGGAACGAACGAACTGTGTGCAGCTGGGCGGGCCGACGTGGGACGTCGAGCTGGGCCGGCGAGACGGGACGACGGCGAGCCTGGACGCGGCGAACAACGACCTCCCGCCGCCGACGTCCGACCTCGCCGACCTGATCAAGTCCTTCTCCGACAAGGGCCTGACGGCGAGCGACATGATCGCGCTGTCGGGCGCGCACACCATCGGGCAAGCCAGGTGCACCAACTTTCGCGGCCGCCTCTACAACGAGACCAACCTCGACGCCACCCTCGCCACCTCGCTGAAGCCGAGTTGCCCCAACCCCACCGGCGGCGACGACAACACGGCGCCGCTCGACCCGGCCACCTCCTACGTGTTCGACAACTTCTACTACAGGAACCTCCTGAGGAACAAGGGCCTTCTGCACTCGGACCAGCAGCTGTTCAGCGGCGGCTCCGCCGACGCGCAGACCACCGCCTACGCCACCGACATGGCCGGCTTCTTCGACGACTTCCGTGGCGCCATGGTGAAGATGGGCGGCATCGGCGTCGTCACCGGCTCCGGTGGCCAGGTCAGGGTTAACTGCAGGAAGGTCAATTAAAGTGGTTGATACCGTGATCAGTGTTAATGTGGTTGGTTAGTGTCAGGTTTCTTAATACCGTGATCAGTGTTAATGTGGTTTGTACAAGTGTTCTTCTTTCCTTCAGCGATGTAGTCTGCTTCGAACGGTTGTAGCACTACTATACGCAAAAATAATCTGATGAAGGAACAAAGACTGGTTCCTACTGAAAAATCGTGTTGCACAAGACCTTGTTTTACTGGAATTATTATGTTTGTAATCAAATAGAGATAACTAGAAATGAGATGACACAGTTGCATGGGAATGGGAATCACTAATTAGTACTGTCAAAATTGCAGATTACAAATTGAATATCCTACATGTACGTGTTAAAACGGCTCGGTGTCGATTTGGGCCCTATCAGGCTATTAAATTAGGCGGCCCTTCTCACCTTCGCCATCTTCTTACTACTTGGGCCGTAATTAATGGGCCGCACTGGATTCTGCAAGAAATGGCGATCCAAGAGGGTTCGGAGAAGAAAACTCCGAGTCTCCGACCCCTCCTGATCACGTACAAAGAGACTGACGTCAAGGGCCCACCAGACCGCTCGTCATCTCCAGCAGCGCGCGGCCTGCAACCCCTTGTCGTCTTCGCTGCGCCTCCTCCCCCGTCGCCGCCTCGCCGCCCGCGACGCTCCACCTTCCAATCCCTCGCTGTCTCTCTCGCCGCTCTCGCTTTCGCCTTGCATTTTTCAAATCCCCAACCCAACCACCACCACCGCCACCGCCTTCCTCCTTCTCCCCTCTAGTTAATCCCTCCCCACACCATGCCGGCCGCCTCACCACAGTGTCGTCCCACTCCCACCCTCTTCTCCCCGGCCGCGCCCGCCGCCGCCGCCGCCGGCCGCCGCGATGCCGGCTCCCCGCTTACTCCGGGTGCTCCTGCTGCTCGTCGCGCTAGCCTGCGCCACGTCGGGGGTCGGGTGCTCCGACCCGCGGTTCCCGCACCTCGGCCGCGTCCGGGAGCTCCACCGCGGGGAGGGTCGCCCCGCGGCCGAGCAGGAGGCCGCGGCGCGCGGGCTCCTAGCGCTCCTCCTTCCGTCGCACTCCGGGAGCTTCGATTTCAGGGTCATCTCCGCGGTGAGTAGTTTTAGGGGTGGGTAACTGGGCGTGGCGTTGCGTAGTAGGCTACCCGGAGGATCGTGTGTAGTGATCGATCGGCGAGAATCTGAAGCCAGTTGATGGAGCCTGTCGCGTGATCGTGGAGTGGTTGTTGGAATGGGTCATTTGCTTATTTCGACTGTAAATCGTGTTTATTGGACAAATTAATGCCTAAATTATTTTGCGTTGGTAAAATTTGCATCTGGTATCCTGTAATGGTTAGGATTTCCCACTCCCCGGTACAGTAGTAGTACTTATCTGCAAGGACTCACAATCTGTTCCATGGAATCCACAGGACCAATGTGGTGGAAAGGCATGCTTCATTGTGGACAACCATCCATTGTTTGATGGAGAAGGGACTCCACAAGTACTGTATGTTTCTGAATTTCTCCATTTTAGCATTCATTTTGAATCGTTTTTCCAACTATTGTGTTTGTATGGGTTCTAGGTGAAATCTATTTTGCAGAAGCAGAATGTAGAGGAGTCTTCATGTAAATTATGGACATGACAACCATACTTTGTTTTAGCTCACTACAAGCCTATTAAGTTTACTATTAGTAAAATATCCATTTGTAGAGATGTTAGATGCACTGAAAACTGACTTGCCTGAAATCAAATTTCCCAATATTTTCGAATGTCTAGTTTTTCACCACTCTTCTGATTTGCGTTCTTTTGTGCATCCAAAGTGATGCTGACTATTCTGGCCACAGCATGTTCTGCTAGAATCATGCACCAGCTTCTCATTTAACTAGTTAGGTCCACTGTGCGGTGCAGAGGTTACATGCCATTATGCTATACTAGTTGAGGCTTACCTACACATTATAGTGGTTCCCCTTTTTATAAGATTCTGCTACTATTTCTACATACTGAAATCATGAGCTATACATTCCTTTCATGTATTTTTGCCAGTTTACTTGGAACAAGTGGGGTAGAAATCTCTGCTGGTCTTCATTGGTACTTGAAGCACTACTGTGCAGCACATGTATCATGGGATAAAACTGGTGGTGCACAATTATCATCAGTGCCACGTCCTGGCTCACTACCTCGTCTTCCTTCTGGTGGCATTTTGATTCAAAGACCTGTTGGCTGGAGCTACTACCAGAATGCAGTTACATCCAGTTGTAAGCTTGTTTTTACTTTATGTACAGTTTTAACACTTTATCCTGCTATATTGCCGAATTCTTATGGTGGATATGCATGCCTTCTTAAAAACGTTTTATTTTCCCACTGTTATGTACTAAGCAACATTTTCAGATTCTATTTGAAAATATTCAGGTCAGGAATAGTGCTGCATTTCCATCTCCCAAATTGATGTCCTGGATTCAATTGTTTGCTACCCATGTTTGTGTTTGAATGAGATATTTCCTGATTGTATCTCTTTGTGTTGTACTGTCCGGTGTGACTTTTAGGGTGCCTTCGGTGTCGATCTTTTGTTTTATTGAATTTTATACCATGCTAACTTTGAGCAATTTTTCTCAGCTGTTACTTTTTATGGAAAGTGGAAATGATTTTCTTAAAGACTACTTTTCTCTTATAAGATTCTTTTGCTTGGTGGGATTGGGAGCGCTGGGAGAAGGAAATTGACTGGATGGCTCTTCAAGGTATCAATTTGCCTCTTGCTTTCACTGGTCAAGAAGCTATATGGCAGAAAGTTTTTCAGGTGCGTGTGTGTTCTGCTCTTTTATTAAAAAAGCTTGCTGTTCACTGATACTGAATATTTTGATCTATGCAATGTCCGTGTGTTCTTAGATCAAAAAATGTTTAAACTCTGTTACTCCCTCCATATTTTTAACTAACCATCGTCATATTAATAAATTGGAGGGATACAAAGCATCCCAAGATCTTAGGCAGAAATTTTAGCTGCTATTGATGTATTTGTGTAATATACTGAGTACTGCTTGAGAGGTAGATTAGTAAACGGTTTATCTCTAAGTGGGCAGGAAAGAATATCATCAGATTAAGTGTAGTGCCATGCTGCATTGTTTATATTTGACATGGGCATACTGTGGTGTATATTCTTCGTAACATATTGATTTACAACTCCACCCCTTCTTTGTACGCTCTTGCAGAGGTACAACATTAGTAAATCAGACCTGGATGATTTCTTTGGCGGGCCAGCATTTCTTGCATGGTCTCGGATGGCCAATATGCATGGGTAAGTCATGCTTATGTAGTTATGTTTCACGTTGGACTATTCCAATGATTCACACTACCGTATTGTGAGTCGATAAACTGTTCTTTTACATAATTTAACAAGAATGCGGTCTGTTTTTAATTTCTTTAAATATTCCTTAGCTGTGAGACCAGGACAATAGAAATTTGGAACTACCACCAGCAAAACTATTTTACTAAAAGATAGAGCTGCGACTCAATTTATGTAGTTTTGTCTTGTGGACAGTATCCCCCCCCCCCCCCCCCCCCCGAACTAAGGGGGTAGTTGCTGGAAACAGTTAGCTTATCGGTTGTAAGATGAACTTATAAGTCCCTTTTTTATGAGAGATTTATACAAGCCACCATGTTGATAATATGACTTATATTGATGTTTCATATTAGTGTTTTGCTATGAGTTCAATTTTTGTTGCAAGGAACTGTAGCTCAAAGAACATGTAGTGACAAATTGATTTATCAGATGGGGCGGACCTCTTCCTCAAAGCTGGCTTGATGATCAGCTAGCTCTTCAGAAGAAAATCCTTTCTAGGATGTATGCTTTTGGCATGTTCCCAGGTGATGCAAAACAGTTGCATTTTTTTAGTGCATGGTCTTTATGTGGTATTGTGATTACATAAGCATGCATATGTTTTACAGTAGATTATTTAGCATAGTTAATATTATGTGATCTCATGAAAATATAGTGGTTTGGATTTCTCTCCTGCCATTTCTTTCAGAACTTCTCTGCTAAAATCAGATAATTTAAATAAACAAGTATGCAGTTTGCCCTTTCTAGTTGTTAAACGCTGACCCCTGTTCATTTTACATTTTAAGTTGTCTAATATCTTACATGATTGCAGTTCTTCCAGCCTTTTCTGGTAACATCCCGGCCGCACTAAGATCAAAATTTCCTTCAGCTAAAGTTACTCACCTTGGGAACTGGTGAGAATGGTTTCCTAACTAAAAGTTCTTGATTTGAATTTTGTTGTATTGAAATGATTGTTAATCATATAAAGTTATACTTGCAGTTTTGGATTTATGTATTACTGCTCAATTCCTAGCACATCTGCTCATATAAGTTTTACAGTATATCGCTATTCACCAACATTGTCTTTTGGTGATATTTTCAATATGCCATAATAAATTTCCATTCAATATTCTGCATGTCTTGCACATCTGAGTGCTTTTAATTGTTGATTAAATCAATCTTGAATCATTCAACAAATTATTGTTTTCTTCCCAGAAACAGTTGTACTTCAGATTCATAACGGCATATATTCTAGGTCATCTCATTTCACTACAGGCGCATCTTTGTATCATTCATCAATAAAATAAATATTACTCTATCTATTTAGAAATATAAGGCCCATAGTTTTTGCAAACATATTTCAAAATATAAGGCATGCATGGAGAATTAGGCTCTCTCTTGTGCGCGCACACCCTCATTTATCTTTCCTGCTCTCTTCAACATTTATTACAAAATTAGAAAACATACACACTAACTATTCTCTCCTGAGACATTAGCACCATGGCTTTCATGGTCATTTGTCACCACTATTCTCTTGGCTTTATCATCTCTGTAATGTTGTCCACACGTGGCCAAAATAAGCCTTATAAAGTGAAGTAGAGTGAGTTCTATTTTCTTAATTTATGCCAGCCATTTTCTCCAACACTGTTGGTTAACACAGTCTTATGATTTATACATGTATTCACTTATGTTGATTTTGCAGCTATATTGAAGTTAAATGAGCTTATTTGATTCTCTTGTTTGATATTAAGGTTCACAGTTGACAGCAACCCCAGGTGGTGTTGCACATATCTTCTGGATGCATCTGATCCCTTATTTGTAGAAATTGGGAAGCTTTTTATTGAAGAACAAATCAGAGGTATAATGCATGATTTCCACTACTTAATTAATGGTGCTTCAGTATCAGACCTAAAGTCATGTTTTAGTTCTGAAACTAAATTCCTAACTAGAAAAGTTCACAGCAGATATTCCTAAGTTTCACTATTTTTCACTGGTTGTATTTCTAACTTGTGTATTTTTGTGCTGAGAATAACTGAATTGTTTGTGATAATTATTCGAGGGTACAAACGAATTAATTAAATATTACAAAGTTGAAAAATGGATTTTAAACAGCTTTCTAAGAAATTCATATATAGAAAGTATCTGCAAAAATCACACAGTTTAGGAGCTTGGGAAGCGTGCGCATTTATCCCCCATTCTATTCCTTAGAGGAACACACCGTAACCAATCAGTTTTGTTTAATCCACAAGTGTTGGTTTTTCATTTAAGTAGAGAGTAGTAGTCATCAGCACAAGTGTTGATGTGCAGTATTCACCTATTATTCATTGAATAACTTGTTTCATTAATCCCTTCCACGACATTTTATATTCCATGGTAAAAACAGAAGAATAACACAAAATTGTTAATATTAACATGTACGAGAGGTTCTCTTGTTCTTTGCAGAATATGGTGGGACAAGTCATGTGTACAGCTGGTATGGTTTCTATAATCTGCATTATTAGTGATTCCCATTTTATGCATGCCAATTTTTATTTTGATGACATCTTCAATCCATCTAGTGATACTTTTGATGAGAACACCCCTCCGCTAAGCGATCCAAATTATATCTCTTCGTTGGGTGCTGCAACATTCCGGGGAATGCAAAGCGGTGATGATGATGCTATTTGGTTAATGCAAGTAAGTAGATGGATTGGTCTGTAGAAACCATTTCCTTGGTTTTTATCCAGATCCATAATTTTCCTATACAGTCGTCAAGATTTTTCTTCTTGTATGAAAACATCCTTGATTAGTTCGATATGCAATTCTAACATGCATTATTCTTTGCAGGGTTGGTTGTTTTCTTATGATCCTTTCTGGGAACCCCCACAAATGAAGGTGAAATTTTATCGTTAGTTTTTGTATGTACAGTTCTACTTTTATGAATATGTTAAGATGTTTAGATAAGTTATGTCAGAGAGTTAGGATGTTTGATATAACAAAAGGTAATCATATGTTGTTAGGTGATACCTTTTCATTTGGTTTAGCAAGTCTTTTGTCAGTCGTCTTATGTTAATTGAGAAATCCATGTCTGCAGTGATATAGACCTGTTGTTTGTAGCAAAATATGTTCAGGCTATACATAAGCAAAATCGACTGTTACAACTGGCATCTAATCACAAACTTAAAGCAATGCTGTTCTAATACAGAGCACAAACTAACTCTGTTTCTTATCTTTAAGTCAAATCCTTAAGTGCATAATTTCTGCAACTTTTCTGGTGAAAAGGAGAACAACTTGTGAACACGAACATGGGGTGTTTCTGGCTACTACATCAATAAATTATTGTTCTTCCCTATTTCAAGCATGCAGCTTTTACTTTTCTAGTCATATGTTTAACATCAAATTCCTTGGTGGTTAGGCACTGCTGCATTCTGTTCCAGTTGGCCGAATGATTGTTCTTGATCTATATGCAGAAGTGAAACCAATATGGATCAACTCTGATCAGTTTTATGGTGTCCCTTACATCTGGAAAGTTCTCCTTCTCTCTACTGTTTTTTTTTCTTTCCTTTTTTTGTATTAGAGGAATTCATATGCTACTTTTTTTTAATCCAGGTGCATGCTTCATAATTTTGCTGCGGACTTTGAAATGTACGGTGTTTTGGATATGGTTGCTTCTGGGCCGATTGATGCTCGACTAAGTGCGAACTCTACAATGGTACACCATTAACTTAATCAGCTGTTTCTTCTAGTAAGTTAGCATATAGAATTATGACATATGCTAGTCTTTTTACTAAGTTGTTTTTTTTTATAAAAAAAATTGAACTACTTGTGTTTGAAGGTTGGAGTTGGCATGTCTATGGAAGGTATTGAGCAAAATCCTATTGTTTATGACCTGATGTCGGAAATGGCCTTTCATCACAGACAAGTGGATCTACAGGTGAAATTATACAAACCATTTTCTGGAAGCACTTAATCTGCACTATATGTGTTCTCTCTCTTTTTTTTAATAATTTGCATGTGCTTTATAGCATCATCTGATGTCCTTAAGAAACAGTATAGATTGCTGTTTGGTATACATTTTGGAGTTAACTGGTGTGTCAGGTTGTCTGGTTATGCTTTGCAGCAAATGAGCCATGCTACTTGTTATGTGGTTTTCTTGTTTTTATTGCTTTGAACTTTTCTCTCTGAGCTTGATAATGAGTGTGGCTAGTTTTGGCTTGATCAGATTTTCATTATTTCCAGGTGTGGGTTGAGACATATCCAACAAGAAGATATGGGAAGTCAATGGTGGGGCTGCAAGATGCTTGGAAAATTTTATACCAAACTCTTTATAATTGCACAGATGGTAAAAATGTAAGCTTTGATATTCTCCATGTGTCATATTTACCGATTGTAACGTGTATCTATTTTCATCCAACGATAGACAGACATATATAGGAATGGCAGTCATGTGAAGTGGAAAAACTATAAATTACTCCCTCCATTTCATATTATAAGGCTTTCTATGTCTAGATTCATTAACATCTATATAAATGTGGGCAATGCTAGAAAGTCTTATAATGTGAAACGGAGGAAGTATCTTTTAGTACAATTAATAATCTAAAATTTATCTTTATTTTGTAGAAGTTACAGCTTATTCTGTGTAATCCAATATATTTTGAATGGAAGCACATATAAATTTACTCATAGTCCTATGATTTTCAGAACTTTGATTGTTTTCGTTTCTGATATTTTAGCTTTTTTCTTTTGGCTACAGGACAAAAATAGGGATGTGATAGTGGCATTCCCAGATGTTGAACCTTTTGTTATTCAAACACCAGGATTGTATACAAGTAGTAGCAAAACGTATTCGACAAAGTTATCTAAGAATTACATTGCAGTGGATGCATCCAATGATGAATATGAACATCCACATCTATGGTATGACACCGATGCTGTTATACGTGCCCTAGAGCTTTTTCTTCGATATGGAGATGAAGTATCTGACAGCAATACCTTCAGGTGAGAGTGCAGGTTTTCTAGTTAGTACTAATGCCAGTGCTTTCTGAATGACTGGATTAAAAATATTATATGAATTTTAAGAGAAAGTCATATTTTTCAGATAATGGAATGACAAGCCATATACTCCCTCCGACCCTAAATATTTGACGCTGTTGACTTTTTAAAACATGTTTGACCATTTGTCTTATTCAAAAACATTTGTAAAATATGTAAAACTATATGTATACATAAAAGTATATTTAACAATGAATCAAATGATAGGAAAAGAATTAATAATTACTTAAATTTTTTGAATAATACGAACAGTCAAATATATTTAAAAAAGTCAACGACGTCAAATATTTAGGGACGGAGGGAGTATATGTTTGTAGCATCAAGTGGTGGCGTTAATTTAAATCATTTTTTTACATTAACAGGTATGACCTTGTGGATTTAACTCGTCAAACTCTGGCTAAATATGCCAACCAGGTCTTTGTAAAGATCATTGAAAGCTACAAATCAAACAACGTGAACCAAGTGAGCAATCTCTGTCAGCACTTCATTGACCTTGTTAATGACCTAGACACACTGTTGGCCTCCCATGAGGGATTTCTTCTTGGCCCTTGGTTGGAAAGTGCCAAGGGTCTTGCCAGAGATAAAGAGCAAGAAATGCAGGTGTCCTTTTTTTTCCTGACGTCCTAAGCACTTCTTTCTTTCAAAGTACTTGAATTCCAGAAACTTTCCCACCATCATTCATAGCATTGCTGATGTACAACTGTTTCTAATTCGGTGCAGTATGAGTGGAATGCTCGAACACAAATTACGATGTGGTTTGACAACACCAAAACGAAAGCTAGCCTGCTTCGTGATTATGGTGAGGCACATACCATTCACACACTATAGCCTCTGTACCGTTTTTCTGTGATTTTCTTTTCCTAACAAGTTTCACGCAGCAAATAAATACTGGAGCGGCCTGCTGCGAGACTACTATGGACCAAGGGCTGCCATCTACTTCAAGTACTTAATATTGAGCATGGAGAAAAAAGAACCTTTTGCTCTGGAGGAATGGAGGAGGGAATGGATTAGCCTCACAAACAACTGGCAGAGCGATTGGAAGGTCTTTCCAACCACAGCTACGGGAGACGCTCTGAACATCTCCCGGACACTTTACAAGAAGTACCTGCACGACGCTGACTTAATTCAGCCAGAAGGTATTATACGACTGCGAAATTTGAAGAATACACCTTGGTAAATGAACTGGGGTTGTTGCAGCTGTAATGCCTTCTTTTTCATGAACATGAAACGAAACAGTGTCGTCGATACTAGTCTATTTCTATTTGTACTGTATCCGTATTTGGCATGGCTGAGACGGTAAATCCGCTGTACCTACTACGCTGAACATGTTTCTGCAGGCTCGGTATACATGATATTCAGATTTTTGTACTGTGCCTGCTACGCAATTCATATTTCCTACTAAACGTTAGCTATTGCATTGTAGATCCCGTCTCTGAGAATGTTTTTTGTTAAGGCATGCTGAAGATTTGCTTCTAGTCGGCAGTGTGAAAAGGGCTCTTGCTCTCTGGCCTGCAGTCAGCTTATAGCTCTCCATAATCTCTGGCCTGCAGTCAGCTTATAGCTCTCCATAAGATTGTTAAGACTCCAAGCTCTGAGAAGTAATGCTTTAACCGAAATGCACTTGCAAAGGAAATATAAGCAGGCTATAAGCTAGGCTTACTTAAAACTATCAACAGATTATCCGGTCACAAAGCCTAAAAGCAGAAATGGCAAGCAAAAAATATATCACATAGAACACAGTAAACATAGATTAACAGAGGGCTTCTTATTAATAAGCACCATGTTCAAACCTAAGCCAGATTAATCAAGACACTGCATCAAACTCGACAAACAGCACCATAACCCAAAAAAGGCTTATTCCAACGAGAACCATCAGTCCTCTAGATCCTGATTAAATAGCTAGCTACATCAAAATTGCACACCATGTTTGCAGCTTCAAACATACAACGCATGAATCTAGAGCTTGAGGAAAACGAATTCTTCAATCGCCGGAATCTCCCCAATCTTTGTCAGTGTGCTCTTTTTAGGTTCCTCATCAACACCAATCGCCATGACGGCATGCTTGCGAGGAGCGATTCTTCCAACACTCATGAAACTGACATTAACATTCTCCTCACCAAGGACACTTCCTACTGCGCCGATCATACCAGGTTGATCGACCTGCCTGCAAAGGATCAGGCTTCCTTCCAAGCTCACATCAACCTGGAATGATCCAACCTTTGTCAGATGGGGGATGCCATCCTTCACCTTCCCCTCAACAGTGATCTCTCCACTCTCCGATATTGCACTGGGAAATTTGGACTCAACATGGGCAATATGAACTTGGATGTAGTCAATAGGTGTCTCGGGTGAGCCATCCAACAAGATTCTCTCCTCAGTGATACGAACTCCCCTCTGTTTCGCAGTGAAGTCAGCATTGACCAGATTGACGAAAACACTGGAGATTGGTTCGATCAACCCCTTGGTGATCATTGCACGAAGAAGTCTCGTGTCAAGATCATCAGGAGCCCTTGCAGAAGCATAGGTCACTTTCACGGACTTGATACCACCGCCACCAGCCACTAGCTGCACAGCCAGGCGCCCAAGCTTCTCTGCGAGCACAACATAAGGTGCAAGCTCTGACAGCACCTGAACAAATCACAAGGATGTAAGATAAAAATCAAATGCCATGTGGAATAAGTTGGATTTAGCAGAAAACAATAGATTCATACCTCAGCAGGAACCATTGGTGCGTTGACTGCTGAAGCTGCAAGTTCCCCTTTCAGAGCTCCAATAACAGCTTCAGCTATTTCAATAGCCACTCCTTCCTGGGATTTTCAGATATTTATCATTTTGGTATCTAGTATAACAGAACACAAAGGGATAGCATTCTGAGCTAATTCGCATACCTGTGCTTCAACTGTGCTGGCACCAAGGTGTGGTGTTACAGTAACATTCTCATGCAGCACTAATTTGCTGTCTGGTGCCGGTGGCTCTTTAGTGAACACATCAAGAGCAGCCTAAAGCAGAGGGATAAACAAAAAAATTAGCATGACTCTGGGAAACAAGCTGTTCAAAAATAATTCACCGGATGTCAGCATGAAATGAAAAAAGGATGTAGACTAAGAGAATCAAACATACCTGTGCAACTATTCCTGAATCAAGAGCCCTGACTAGAGCATCTTCATCAATTACACCACCACGCGCAACATTTATAATTCTAACACCCTTCTTCATCTTAGCGAAAGTTTCATCATTGAGCATCTTGTTTGTTGCAGGGGTAAGAGGCATATGCAACGAGATAAAGTCAGCAGTTGTCAAAGCGTCTTCCATGCTCACTAGCTCAACTCCAATTGCATGGGCACGATCAGCAGAAGCATACGGATCGTGTGCAATCACATGCATTCCCAAACCTTTAGCACGACGAGCGACTTCTGACCCAACCTTTCCAAATCCAAGAATTGCAATAGTTTTACCAACGAGAGATACACCCACATACTTGTTGCGCTGCCATTTACCTATACAAGACACATTGTTAAGAACATGGGAACTCATCATAATTGAAAAGGTATGTTGCCCTTCTTCCGAAGATGCCATTCGAAGATTGCATGGCAGATGCTTCATCTAAGACTACCCTTACTCCACATTTTCACATCTTCATGCATCTAGCTTTGTCAACTGAAGCAGATATTAACTTTTTCTGATTATGTCAAATTGAATGAAGTAACGAAAGTAATCTCTGAGGACTGCTTCTAGTGAAAAAGCACCCATTCGTGTTTCTCGATTTGCTAGCAATTCATCAAACAGACGTTCTAGCACGATCCACTGTTACAGGTGCCACGTTGATGCAAGATTTTTTTAATGCTTTAAACAGAGATCGAGACAAGTACAGTATCATTTTTTAAAGAGGTGTCTTTTCCAGACTTGAGGAGGGTGTGCGCACTCACCAGCCTTGAGCGACGCGTCGGCCTGGGCGATGTTCCTGGACATAGCGGTGAGCAGCGCGATGCCGTGCTCGGCCGCGGCGACGGTGTTCGCCGTGGGTGCGTTGACGACGAGGCACCCGTGCTCGGTGGCGGCGGCGAGATCGACGTTGTCGATCCCGACCCCGGCGCGCCCCACGACGCGGAGCCTTCCCCCGGATGCCTCGAACACGTCGCGCCCCACCTTGGTCCCCGACCGCACGATGAGCGCGTCGCAGAGCGGGATCTTGGCGCGGAGCTCCTCGGGGGAGAGGCCGTAGGAGCAGTCCACGTTGGCGAACCCCCGGAGCAGCTCGAGCCCCGCGGCGCCGAGCTTCTCGGCCACGAGCACCGTCGGCTTCCCCGGTACGGCACCCGCGGCGGGCTCCGACGGCGCCGCGGTCGACGCGGCGGGCGCCGCGGCCGCGGCGGCGGCGGAGAGGCGGCCCCGGCGCGCGGCGCGGAGCGGGAGGCGGAGGAGCGAGGGAGGCACCGCTCGGTGGTGGTGGTGGGACGGGAGGAGGACGCGGTGGTGGGTGGTGGTGGCGGTGGTCTGGGACGGCGCCGCCATGGCGAGGAGGAGGGGTTTGGGGTTTTTGGGGGAAACCGAGGAAGGAGGAGGAGGCGGCGATGTGGGTGGGCTTTGGTGGGTTGCGTGCGGCGCTTTTACTTATAGCGAGGTGAGGTGGTGAGCCCACGAGAGTGAGGTGAGAGATCAAATTGATTGGCACCTACCTAACCTTGATTGAGGAGGCCGATTTGGGGTCACTCGCTTGGCTGGTCAAGTACTAGCAAAATGGCAAATTTAAAACTGCCTAGTTGGTATTGCAAATCATCGTAGTACTATAACAAAACAGATGATCTATCTAGTTTCATGGTACCAAAGTACGTTTCATCTAATTATAAATTATTATATTTCGTAACAAAAAAAGGGTACTGCATAGTAGTGTAGTATTGTAATATTTTGGCTTAGCAGTGATAGATTGGACATACACACAAACACGATCAAATTTGCTGAGCTGCTGCTACATTGGCAAGGGGAAAAGTCTCCTGGGAGGATGAAAAGTCTCATTGATCCTTATACTAGGGTGAGCGTGACAGACCGGTAGTAGTAGCTCTGGTGAGCAACACTCGTACGCTTGTTGGTACGTCCATTGCTGCGGTAGGTGGTATGCTACTATGCTGAACGAGCGAGGCGCAAACCGTGCAAGGCAAATTCTTCTCCTACCAACAAAACGGAAAAGATCTGCACCCAGCGCCGCCTACTTTGCCGAGGTTTTTTCCTCCCCTGTGTGCTCAAAAAGCCTCGTCCTTTACACATCATCACGTAATGGCAGGAGGCCCGGACGCAGGTGGTCCGGTCCCTCTGAGAAATAGCACCACTTCTGGTCCACCACGTCAGTGTGCTCAAGAGGAAAAAAAAAACGGTGGGCCACGCGCGCGCACACGCACCCTAGCCGAGTACTGCCTCCATTCCTTTAAAAAAACAATCAAGTATCGAATATGACGTATCTTAATATTATAAATCTAAATATATATAATATGTTATATCTGTTTATATTCGTTTTTATGTGACGAAGAAAGTAGACGAGATATTCTTAAGTGGGCGGTTGGTGGCTGGCTGGACCGACGGCGGCCACGGCCCGATGCCGATGCGCGCGCGGGGGCGCGACGACATAACACAACAACAAACGCATCGCTTCGCGAATCGCAGCACGGGGTCAAAACACAGAAGCGCCGGGCGATCGCGATCGCCGCAGCCGCGCAGCGCAAGCTGGTGGCCGCGGAGCCGTTGGAAGACGGGAATCTGACGGCCGGCTTGGCTGAATGGCTGATCGATTCGCGATTTCGCATTACATCTGCACGCCGAAAAGGAGAGGTTTCGGGCTCACTGCGGAGTGGCACAGTTACATTGCACATGGACGCGATTGTTGTTGTCTGCCTCAAGTGGCCATATACAATAAACAAGCAAAGAGTCGTGTTGGAATCTTCGGTCCGACTAATTTTTTGTTTAGCGCCGCATTAGCTAAAGCTATAGCTACCAGTTTGTCGGTTCTGATTGCTACACTAAACACTACAGTAATATGGCTTAGTCGTAGAATCCGTGATCCAATACACCTGATGGCCTGATGGCTGATCTGCCCTGATCGGATGCTCTACTGATTAGGGGATTTAGTGGAGTAGTACACGGGCGGCCAACAAGTACGTGACTAATCCAGAGGGAGGATGAGGCTGGCAAGGTGTGCTGTCTGCAATTCATCAAATCCTTTCGCCACCTAAGTGATGACATCACTTGAGCACCAACTTGCCCTTTGGTATTTCATCCAACTAACAACATGCATGCCGTGCTCAGTCGAACTGTCGGAATAGGTACGATCATATGATCATATGGTATTCCTTGGATAACAAAAAGAAAAGTTGAACTAACGCAAGAACCGGTTGGGACATTCACAGAAATTGCCACTGCCACGAACAACTTACAGTTTAAATGGTGCGTAGATGCCAGAGGCAAAGTGGGGCCAGAAAAATGGAGATGAGAAAAAGATTGAGGCCCCCATCGTTTAGCCTAATACGGATAATATTAGCAAAGTAATAATAATTTGTGAGTATATATATATATATATATATATATATATATATATATATGCTCTTAGCGGTTTAAATTCTAATGTCAAAAAATAAACTTTGATGAGAAAACTTTGATATCAACTCTAATTTATTTTTAAAAAATTTAAATGTTGGCAACTGATGCTGAATAAGGAAATGATGAGAGCTTGAAAGTCAGAGCAGGTAAGATAGATGGGCCTTATATCTATGTGCGACAACCAATTATGGGCCGGAGCAATTGGAAAGCCTATACAAGATCACAGTCCAGGAATCAATAGCAGGAAGTCCAACCAAAGAAACCCTTTGCTCTACAGTAAACTTCTCCCTAAGACCTTCTTCGGTTCGGAAGGGGTTGAAGGGGATTGAAGGTGTCTGAGGGGAAATAAATCCACACCATAATAGATGTGGAATAAATCCCCTCCAATTCCTTCCTCCCTTTCAGGATTAACCGAACATATCCTAAACTAGCGCAACACACGCTAACTCCAGTTTAGAGCGATTTGATGTACAGAATTGAGAGAGACAGTGAGGAAATAGCTACAGAACAGAAAACATGTCACACCTCGGTAGCAATATAACTTTTCACATTATTATTTCCAGACGAATTATCGCCATCATCGTCATTATTCAAGCCCACCTCCAATCTCCCCAATCCACTAATTAATACCCACTAATTCTAGCCCACGAACACACGGGAGGCGGCCCATGACCCCAAGACACCACTCTATGGCAATCGCATGATGGCCACAGGCCCACGCACGCACGCACAAAGGCTGCCCACCTCACTCCCAGATGCCGACCTCCATGAATCCGTCCTCGGTGGCGCACCCTCTGAACATGCCGGTGCAGTTGAACCCGTACGCCACCTCGCCCGTGCTGGACACGGCGATGAGCCCCGCGAACCCTTCGTCGAGCCGCTTCTTGACGCAGTAGTCGACGGCCTCCTGCAGCCCGGCGCCCCTGTACTCCATCACGGCGGCGACGTCGCGCGCGAGCGTGGAGCGGATGATGGCCTCGCCTTCCCCCGTGCACGACACCGCGCACGCGCCGCACGCGTAGGTCCCCGACCCGATCAGCGGCGAGTCGCCGATGCGCCCCGTCATCTTATTCATCAGCCCGCCCGTGGACGTGGCCGCCGCGGTGTGGCCGCTGGAGTCCACCACCGCGCACCCCACCGTCTCTGGCGCGTAGATGCTGATGGGGAGGCCGTTCATCACCATGCCGTTGCCGTGGCTGTTGTCCGACGACACGGCCTGTGCGCCGCACGTCTCCGACCCGGACAGCGGGATACGGTAGTCAAACTGCTCGTACCAAATTAATCACCGTTAGATGTCAGCAATTTTCAAGTAATGTACATGAGTCAATGAAATGTAATGATCGACGGACCAAGATGCTGTTGGCCTCCTTGGCGAGCTTCAGCATGCCGACGTTGTCCTCGGTGATGAAGTAGCTGTTGTCGACGACCTCTAGACCCTGCAAACAGTGACCACAGAGAAAAAAAATCAGACCAGTCCAAATCCATTTTGATTATAATCAAATCTATCTTAAAAACGTTTCTTAACTACTAATACTCCTGTACTTGGCTACGCAGCCACCACTACACCGTGAGATCTGCAGGATTCGGGTGGACCACGCTGGTAGGACGGATTCCTCCTGCAGCTGCTGGTCCTGCCAAAATTCGACCGGGCAGAAAGAAACAGGAGCAGCGCCGAATCTGGCACAGTGGAGAGCCTGCCTAGCTGTGCATAGAATCCATCCTAGTACATGCTAGTAGTTGCTACAGTGCCACGGAGTAGTTGGTTCTAGTGTTTACTTTTGTTTAGTGAAGAAAAATGTTTTTTCCGGCACATGCATCGGACTGGTCATTTCATTTTCAGTGCTCCTAGGCTTTGCTTGGTGTGGGTGGCTGGGTGCTACACAATCTTGACTTGAGGACTCGAACGACTATACTACTAGGCGATACAAAATACCGCAGGAAGGTTTAACACGAATCGTGTCGACCAAATAAATGAAAAAAAAAGGATTTGGTAGGTGCAAACCTGCATGGCGGCTATTGATGCATGTTGGGTGGCACTTTTTTAGTTTTCTTTTTTCTCAGCACTTGATGTAAGGGAAAGAAATGAATACCTTCGCCAACACTAACGAAGAAATTACTACACCTACAAGCTAATGGCCGCTCTAGCGATTGATAGGGAAATTCAAGCACAGCAGGAGGCAGTTGCGCCGCTGTTGCTTTCATTGATACTACTAGAAACCAGCTCGTTTTTGGTCCACAGCTTTCTCCAAAGACCCGGGGACGAAAAGGCGACAGCACGTGAAGGTGTGCACAAGCATAAACAAAAAGGAAAATGGTAAAACTCGTGAGCAAAAACACAGAAAAATTTTCAGATGCGTGGATGTATTTGTATGCACATGCAGCAAAAACATAGAAATTGTTAAGCAAGATTGCTTAACTTGTTGGCCTATTGAATTAAACCTCTATCACATCAATTGTATTTCCCACTAAATCACGTAAAGCTAGATAAGCATGCAACTCACATAGTTAGATGACATGTTCACCCAAATGACTCAATAGGATTAAGGGATATAGAAAAAAACGAAACTAAAGATTTCTTGCACTTATATCCTACAAATAAGCTAACAGAAAAAAGGTTACTTTTTTTTTTCATGTAAAGCCGTAGTAGGATTCACATGCATGTGTTGTCGTGTTGGAATGGAATCTTGCTGGATTGAACTGTGCAAGGAAACAAGGAGCCATTTTTGGTAATGCAGAGCTGTTGCTGCTCTGTTTACTGTTTGGAGGTTCATGTTGCACACTTGTACATGGCTTCCCGGACGTCATTTACACGTGTCGAACATGTCCCAGTTTTTAATTATTTCCTACCACCATTAGATTTTGGCTGTCCGGTATTAATATCCGTCGTTCCCTCGTGCCATGTCCACAGAATAATTCCACATTAAAAATGTTTTGTTAATTAGCGTGCAGAGGCAGGTTAGATTAACCAGGAAATTAGCATAATTAATTGGAAGGGATTTATTAGTTGGGTGTGGGTTAATTAGCGAAAGATAATTTACCTGGTCGCGCGCGAACTGCTCGGCGCCGTCGAAGGCGAGGTAGGAGTGGGGGGACTTGTCCATGACGAGGCGGGCGAGGGAGACGGGGTTCTTGACGGTGGAGACGCCGGAGACGGCGCCGCAGCGGCGGCCGCGGCCGTCCATGATGCTGGCCTCCATCTCGACGGTGCCGAGGCGGGTGAGCGCGGAGCCCCTCCCGGAGTTGAAGAAGGGGTCGCTCTCCAGCTCCCGCACCACGGCCTCCACGACGTCCAGCGCCGCCGCGCCGGAGCGCAGCGCGTCCACGCCCACCTGCAGGCACCGCGCCAGCACGCGCTTCGCCTCCTCCTGCCTGTGCTCCGGCAGGTTCGGGTCCACCCCGGCGCCGCCGTGGATCGCAATGGCCCACCTCGCCATCGACGTAGTATTTCCTAGGCGTTCTACTGTGCTTCTGCTTGTGTTGCTGTGAATTGTGCGTGCGTTGCGATGGGATGGCGCGGCAGATGGTGGGTATTTATAGGGGTCGGACGTGAGGGGTTTCCGCCGCTGGGTTGGGTTATGGAGAACTCGAGTCCGGGAGGGGGCACCGCATGGGTCGTGTATTTTGTGCGTGACCGCGACCGCGTCGCGTGTGTGTTTTCGAGCCAGGCTGGGCGACACCCAACTGTAGCCAACGCCGTTGTTTGTTTGTTTTTCTTTCTTTTGGGAAGGGGGGCGGCGTTGGCGCAGAAGATCCGAGGCGTGATTCTGTGGAATCCAGACAAGCAGGCGCAAGTTGGGAATCAGGGGCGGATGCGCACTCACGCAGTTAAACACAGCACGAGATGCTAGGGAATCTGCACTTGTTAATTAGACTAATCTCCTCGGGTCGCGGGGGATTCTACTGCCTAAATCGCTGTCGCTTGTATTTTTTATCGCGGTTATAAAGCTTCTAGTTCCTTCAGCAGGAATGAAATTTGGGTGGGATTTCGGAAGAGGATTTTGATCCCTCGGACGGATATCCTCTCGTTGCTTGCCTGTCACTTAAATGGTTATGAAAAAAATTTTAAAAATTTAAGAAAATATATTAACATGTGATATATCACTGTACAAACAGGCAAGTAAAAAAATTAACTTCTACATCTCACAATGAAAAAAACAAATTTGACTCTAAATATATGTTAACTAGCTACAGTTTAATTTGTTTCTTTCGTTACGATATATAGGAGTTGAATTTGAACTTACATGTTTGTAGAGTATTATATCACATGTTAATACACATTCTCATTTTTTTTCAATTTTTTTCATGACCATTTGAGTGACATACAAAGAACGAGGGGATATTCTCTCGAGGGATTAAAATAGTTTCCCGTGGGATTTCTCGGTTTGCTGCGATTCGCGATGCATTTGGATATCCTACAGTTTTGCAAGGAAAGTGGGAGGCGTATATTTTTCTGCCAGTTCTTTCCTGTTTGTGACGCATATTAGATTTCTGTGTATAGTAGTATAGTACTAGTACACAGCGAAATATTGTGGAAGGTTGTTTACAAATGGCAGCCGTTCCACTCTCAAAATGAAACTAATGGATTCTGTGAGATATCAGGCCTTTAAAGGCAAGGAATAAATGCTTATATCTGGAGTAAACTCAGAAGATTCCTGTTCTTCGGAATATACTCCGCTGTAATCTCGGGTTTAATTTTAGCACCCTGATTCGTATCTGTCACAATGAGGAAAGTGTAAACAAGGATTCCGTGGAAACTGCAGAGTAATTACGTGCGTGATTTTGATCGAATTCTTAAGGGCGTGGAGTGTAATTAATCTGCTACTTGCATTCTTTTTGGACGAACAATAGTAGCTGATCCGGTGGAACGAGGCATAAACAAGAACATGTTCTTCCCAGATTCGTTTTAATCTCCTCGGAAGCAAAATATAGTTTCAGACCAAACGAATCGGTGACGCACTTGCATCTTTTTCGATCCAACTAAGGACGTGACATGCACAATAGCGCATTTCCTGATCGATTGGAGCAAGCAGAATTAACGTGGCCTGTCAACTTTTCATCGCAATTACAGTGAACGCTTCTGCTACGCTAAGTGTAGACGTGACACCTCGCTAGTGCTTTTCCTAAAAAAAAAAAGGGGTAATAAAAAGGTGTTTACAATTCAGACCTCGCTGGTGCGCTCTGAACTTTCAATACTCCAAATTGCAATCTTTCAGTACTTCAATTGTGCTTTACAAATTAAATAACTCTTTTAGTCAAGGTTAGTCAGCAAAATGAAATTAGCTACTGCAATCCCTCCAAACCTGAAAGGAAGGATACTGCGCGATGATGTCTGGTTTCTTTCCACGAATGATGTCATTCCATGAGCATTATTAAGTGAATCTTCAGGATTCCACTACCAATAGTAGTTTAGTTTACTATGAATATTCCACGTATTGGTGACATTAGCATCGTACTTTCCTTGAAAACTCTCAGAATATCCTGTCCTCAAGGATTACGTTAGCACTTAGCAGATTTTACTGGCTAGGGGTTAACGCGTAGGATAAAATACCCGCAAATTCATGTCAAAGTTAGGCACACTATGAGTTAAAACTGTAATCCGTTGCTTTCCATCTCCAGCATGATAGTAATTGGCCTGTCCCACATAAAGGATGCTTTTAGTGCCCTTTCGTCTTTTTAGTTTTATTTTTGAATATGTGTGCATGTTGCATGTTAAATCTGATCTAATAACCATTTAAATCCAGGTGTATGTCCTGATCAGGGACAGTGAGAGATGCCTCGTATTTTCACCTGCGTCCCAAAGGAGTGGATGCTGGTATCAGTTCTCTCCAGCAAGCAACACACATATGACATACTCCCTCCGTCCTAAAAAAAGACAAACCCTGAATTTCCGTGTACAACTTTGACTATCCGTCTTATATGATTTTTTTATAATTCGTATTTTCATTGTTGTTAGATGATAAAACATGATTAATGTTTTATGCGTGACTTCTCTTTTTAATTTTTTCATAATTTTTTCAAATAAGACGGACGGTCAAACGTTGGATACGGAAACCAGGGTTTGTCTTTTTTTGGGACGGAGGGAGTAAAGGGCATGTTTAGATTGTAGCCAAAATAAATTTTACCAAAATTTTAGCAAGATGGTAATATTGCTAAAATTTTAGCATGATTTCTTATGTATTTACCAAAATTAGCAACAAATTAAACGTAGATTTTTTTGACAACTTTACTAAAAAATAATATGATTGAAAACGGTATCAATCTGAACAACCCTAAAAATTTTAGAAGTTCCGAGACATGTTCATTTTCCACAAGACACTGACATTTCTAGAGTGACTGCCACTGTAGTTGAAAACCTCAAACCTACATGTCATCACCATACAACAGTAAGCGCATACTATTCCACAAAAGTGACAATATAAAGATTTATTTATCGGGTTTCGAAGTTAATACATACACGAGATACGAGATGTGCTTATGTGCTCGAAAAAAAAATTACACGGAAATTAAAGATCATCAGTGGCTGAGATTAAAAAGTTGCACATAAGCATGTCTCTACATATATTCATTTTAGTTATTTCGCTTTCACTAACACTACTGTTCTCATGCAATCAAGTCACAGACCTGAGTTTTGACACTATTGCACTTTCAAAATGGATCGGCCATTTTCTGGAGCAATTTCACTCTTTTTGTCTGAAGACGTGAGCAATTTCACTAGGAAAACAAGGCGAAGAGCCACTATCAACCCCCGGGGCTGGACCACTGCTTATCCTGCTGGAATCCTTTGTTTGTGGCGAGCCTTGATTCGATCGTTGCGTCCTGGACCGGCATCTATCTCTGCCAATGTGCATCTTGGAATCTGATGTTGAAACGGAGGCAAAAGCTGTCGTCTTCAGGGTCCCTCCAAGATCCGAATCTTTGGACTCCATCAACAAACTGCTCTGTACTCGAGTGCGGTAGCCATGAATATCAAAAGAAAAAAAAGAGAGAGAAGCTTAGGCTGTGTTTAATTCCACGTCAAAATTAAAAGTTTGAAGAAATTGGAATAATGTGACGGAAAAGTTAGAAGTTTGTGTGTAGAAAAGTTTGATGTGATGTAAAAGTTAGAAGTTTGAAGAGAAAATTTTGAATCTCAACAGGGCCTATGCAACAGTACAGTACGTAGTAGGAGTAATACCAGCTGGTATACGCACGTGAGAGGAAGCAGCCAGATGCAGATTCGTGGCACTAGGCCCTCTTCTCCGGCGTCACTGTGCCGGTCGCTGCCATGTGGGCCCGGGGAACTGTATGCTGAGGCTGACGTGTGGCTCCCCATCACTCCCTCCCGATGGACGGGCCGCCACGCGCAGCCCTGCCGGGCACTTCATGAGCCGAGAGGCCAGTCTGATGCAAAGCTTTTGAGCACTCGATGAGCCAGAGATTAAAACCAAAATTTACTTGGGTTAAACCCTTCCTTTTCATCACAGTAACTTTGCAAGTGCAATGGAAAGCGAGAGTAGCAATTACCACTCAAGTACTCGTGCAGCACCACACACGAATGGCAGACAGACAGATCCTAATTATCTGGAGCTAAGAATCAATGAATCAAATTAGGGAGGAAAGACAAGACAGACAGCCGCCTTGGCGCCGAGCAGCTAGCATGGAGAAGATTATTTAATCTGATCTGGTTGGATTAAGAATTAAGGAAACGTACTAGGCTGAGTTGGTTCCACACGTACGCGCGCGCATGTATGTAAGCTAACTGGAGGAATATGCAAGTTTTGAAACGGCTGTCGAGTGGAGGGTGCAGTGAACACTGACTCTCACGCAGATTCATTCCAGTACTAGTGGTAGTACTGCCATTGTCTATTTGCAAATTGCACACTGCTACAAAGTGCAGGCTGCATAGAAAAATGGTTGATTTGACTATAGAGATTAGAGCAAGTTTAATAGTATAGCCCATTACTAGCTCTAATTTATCTATAGCCAATTTAATAGTTAATTCATACAATAATTGCTTTTTATATGTAATTAATATATGGTCCCACCTGTCATACGCACATTGCGTCTTGGAGTTTGCGCTGCAGCTGGCTACAGATCTGTAGCCCGCTGTTCTTCTCTCTCATCTTTTATTTCATTAAAATATATTTACAGCCGGCTAATAGTCTGCTATTGTACCTGCTCTTAGAGCATGCACGAGCTATAGAACAATGGTCGACTTGTTTTGAGTTGTTTGTCCCTCTGCCTATTGTCAATTTGTCATGCGGCTGGTGTCCCCCGGAATTTCACCAGCCATAGCAAGCCATTTTTGAAGGCAAGAAACGGGGAGCAAAGTACAAAGACCTTAACTCAAGCAGACAAAGGTCCCCTGCTTAATTCTCCATGTTAACCATGTTGTTACACAGGTTTTTAGAAATCGCGATTGAAGTTTGTGTAGAATTGCTCGGTGTACACACCTGGGCCTCCACGACTCCATCTCATGCGAAAGTGTACCGAGCGCTGAAAGCCATGGCGGCCGTGAGCATCGGGATGCACGAGGAGGACAACGAGGCAGCAGGCAAGCCGCGCTTTTCGACCGCACATGACGCGGGGGCGCAGGCGAGCAGGAAGCAGAGGCAGAGGCGTCAGAAACCAACCAAGCAACGGCCGTCCGTTTCCCTCCAGTTGTGGTCGGCCGGGGGGCCGCGCGGCGCGGTGGATTCCCCCACTTTTCGCGTCGGACAAGGCGGCCCGGCGTCGTTGGTGGACCTGACCTGATGACCCGCACGCACGGCTCCCCAAGAAGGTCTTGTGCCCCAGTGCCAAGATCCTCCCAGATCCACCCCGTACGAACGTCCGCTACTTTTGCGACTCGATGGCCCGCTCGTCCAGCCCAGCCATAACTCAACCTCCGCTAGCTGTGCTCGTTGCTCTGCCAGTCCCCGTCCTCGATCTCTCTAGCTACCAGCCAGCTGAAACCTCAAACGTTTAAACGATCTACTCCCACCCTTCCAAAAAAGACGACTCCGACGTTTGACTGTCCTTCTTATTTAAAATTAAAATAATATAAAAAATTTAAAAAACAAATAACGTATAAAGTATTAATTATATTTTATCATCTAACAACAATAAAAATACTAATTATAAAAAAATTCATATAAAATAGACAGTTAAACGTTGACACATAAACATAAGGTTTGTTTTTTTTTTTTACGGAGAGAGTACTAGAGTACTACAATACTACCGTATGGCTTTCAGGACAGGGCGGGAATGTGTTCCAGTTGCAACCACACCGTCCCTGCCTCCTAACTGGTAGATTAGTTTTACCCTTGCTGAGTTGCTGTCAACGCTGATCTATCACCCACTATCTATCTCGCGACTTGAGCAGTGCTAAGGCAAAAACAGAGGAACATGCAGAGGCTAGGACCCCTCCAATATTTTTTTGAAGATCATCTAATTAATTAAGCTAATCAATAGTTGTTGCTTCTCACGACCATCTCTTCCTCCTCCCCCTTACTCCCCTCTCACCCTAACCCCAACGCCAACCTAAACCTTAACTCGTCAGGCCATCTCCTATCGCCAGAGTTTGTCGATGTCGAGGAGGAGGCTTGACACATGCTGTGAAGTGAATTTGAAGATCAGAAATTTACAAGATTTTTAACTGTATTTTTCTGTCAAACGTGATTTGGCAATTCCATTCTAGAAATGCTTTTACTTTGAGAGAGAAGGAGTACGAACAGCCCATTCACGATATTAAACAATCAGGGCCCCTTTTAATCATAGGAATGAAAAAACAGAGGAATAGGAAAAACATAGGATTCTGACAGGAATACAAGTGTAAAACAGAGGATTGCAAAACACAGGAAAAATATAAGAATGACCGTTTAATTTAGCTGCAGGAAAAACACAGGAATTTAAGGAGAGATAAAGACTCAAAGGATTCTTAACACGAGGTAGAACCTCATGCTAAATTTCCTCCAAAACTTGCATGAGAAGAGACATTCCATAGGAAGTTCATGGGATTACAGAGAATTCATTCCTTTGATTCAAAGGGCTATATAGAAAAAATTCCTATAGGAATGAAATCCTTTAAAATTTCTATGAATTTCCTTTGAATCAAAGGGGGCCTCAAGTTGTGTTCTATTTGATTTTTGGACTTAGTAAATTCCTCGATTCAAGCGAGCACGTTTTTCAAGCTGCTGAATGGTGTTTTTTTTACAAAAACTTTCTATATAGAAATTTCTTTTAAAAGATAAACAAATTCATCTTTCAAATTTATAATAATTTATACTCAATTAATCATATACTATTGAATATCGTTTTACTTGCCGTTAAAAATCTTAACCGAAAAGATATTTTTTTTCTCATTTATCTTTTGTTCCTTGCAAGTCATAGTCTGCAAATAGTATCGGTCTTTTTCACTGTTTGGAGGGGGAAAAAAAAGCAACCACCGTGTAACTGTGGCCGAGAGAAACATCTTTGGGCATGTTATTTCCCAATCCCTTTATTTTTGCAGTTATGCTTAATTAACCGGTGATGGATAATCGATCAGTTACATATGAACCAAACACGTACCTTCGCATGGGCACACATGCTATAACCGGGGAAGAATACGTCACACACAAGCATTAGCATGCATCAACGTAGTTATCGGCACGAGTAAGAAATATAATGCGCGTGCACGAGTCGTTAAATTATTTCTTTGTGCCGCCATTTGGTTGGAGCTGAGCATGCTACCTCATCGTGTTGACCAATAGCAAAGCCGGAGATAAGGCTAATAAGCTGGAGGTAACACTCACTTCGTCAGACAAAGTAATCGCGTTTTGCGACACGGGATCGAGCACGGACAAGCCGATCGCTCTGCGAATTTGCGATGAGGCTGGCACTTACTTGGCTGTGACACGTCAGGGATATGCTTCAGATTGTCCGCACCCATCCAGACCAGATTGCCACGCATGCTCGTAGTACAGCATACAGTACTTGTTTTTTTGCTACTCTGTCAGATGGAAGGTTTGATTTGTGTACTGGCTGTGTAATTGAGCGTGTATCTGACTTTGAACTGTGACAATGTCAGCGTTGACACGAGCAGCTAAGCTACGAAGAACCTGGCCATGACAGGATGGATATCAATCGCATTAAGAAATGCAAGTGCACGCGTGGATTAGGCGATTGGCACGGGCGAGATTGCGAGAATGCTGGGCTCCAGCCTCCAGATACGCCTCAGCTTTTGGGTTGTGCGATCTGATCAGGTCCATGGCGTCATCGATGATCTTACTATTACTAGGTTAGGTTTTGGAGGCCAGCTCAGTTCAACGCGTATGCCTGCAGCCTGCCTGCTTCCGACCTCCCTAGAATGCTGACTCGTCGATTCATTTCAGCCGGTTCGAAGCAATCGACACGCGAAAGAAATGGATCGGCCGGAACGTGAACTCAATTTGCATTGGATCACTGCATTAAACTAACCAATTCGATCCCATTTTGCTAACTCAGTGGATATAATACTAAAATCAACAAATATAAAGATTGTCACTCGGGGCCATTTGGCCTTTTTTCATATACTAATAATAACTTAATTAATTTGCAGACCTAACTATATGGACCTGTTTTACATAAAAAGATAGGCTTTTAAAGAAGAAAATCTCATTTACTACATGGACCTTATGTGGGCTGAACCCACTGATCGATTTCACAAATTTAGCCAAAGCGGCCCAGTTAACGTGCTGGGCCGTATTTTCTACTTACCCACCGATCTTCGCTTGCGGCAGCAAAGAGAAGGGTTTTGTTTTATTTTTTTCCGGCGGTTTTCTCCGTGCCGCCACTTCCCGACCGCCGCCGCCGCCGCCCACGAGAACGAGCGGCCGCCGCAACCCGCGGTCCCCTTGCTTCCTACTCCCTTCCCCTGCTCTTCCTTGCTTGTTTCCACGTGGTCGTCTAATGGGCAAGCGGCTCGCCGGCGCCGAGAAAGAGGTAAAAGCAAGGCAGCAGCAAGCGGAAACCTGGCGTGAGTTATTCTCCCCTGATTCTGCGTTGCTGTGTTCGTTGTCAGGTGCTCGTTGAGATCGTCAGGTTCACCCAGAAGAACGGGCTCAAGGGCGCCGAGGGGGGATGGAAGGATTTCTTGGCTCGGAACGACAAGAAGTTCGGAGCTTCCGTGAGTGACCCCAAGAAGCGGTCCAAGGATGTGCTGCTTGCTTTCCTGCTAACCTTCTCCAAAGATTTCCAGAAGGTGGTATTTTGATTCAGTTCGATGGGTTTCGTTCCACGAATTTCGTCAGGCATCCTTAAATTTCTCTTTGAGTAGAGATACTGACAATTTGTGTCTTTCTCCTTTTTGATTACAGTACTTCGGAAAATTGATAAGGCGTCTGAACGAACGAAGTGCTTTTGAGCAGTTCCTGAAGGAATTTCCTGACAAGATTTCTCCTCAGCTGGTATTATTTATGCTATCTCATGATTGTGTAGTTTCTGGATTGTTCTGGTTATAACCAAGACAAAGGTGTCAAAACTTGGTTAACAATTGTTTTGATGTATATTCTGCAAAATGCAGAAGCTTGTTCAACTGACAGCAGAACACCCGGAGTACAGGAAAAATTATAATTTCCCATCTTACAAAGAGGTACAAGCTGAATTGTTCTTTCATTAATTCAAAGTGTATGATTTTATTCTTTTCCGCCCGCACTTCTACCGCTGTATTAAATGTTAACAAAAACATGTAGGGAGTATTGTCTATCTACTGTACTTCAGTAGTGTTTAATACAGGAGAATTTCTCTGACTTCATGTCACCCATTGCGAAGATTAGAGATGTCTATGGTTTTCTATAACTCCAGATTTACTGACATGTTGACAGGGATGGAAAGTGCTGCGTGAAGGCAAAATTACCAATTTTATGAAGTCAACTATGTTGGCAATTGACTGTGAGATGGTCCTTTGCCATGATGGTACGGAAGCCTTGGTCCGAGTATGTGTTGTCAACAGCAATCTAGAGGTATTATATTTGGACGCATTGAATTGTCTTCTGCTGCGTGCCTCAACAAGCAGAACTTTCCTAACACTACATAATTTCAACAAAAAAACATGTTTTAATGCTGGTTAGATAAAGTTTATGCCAAATCTTTTAAACATTAGACACATGTATATTTGATGCAATGTCCTTTGACTTGTAATCATTAATCATGCCATAATTTTCCATCTTTCTTCTTAGACCACACTAAATTCATTCTTTTTCAGGTGAAGTTAGATGAACTTGTAAACCCCTTAAAAGCTGTTGCAGACTATAGGACAAGCATTACTGGTTTGTCTAAGAAGGATTTAAAAGGAGTCACATGCTCATTAGTTGATGTTCAGGTATGCTTCTACAAATTCTTTATGTATTTGGTTTGATTTAATCTTGCAAAAGTTATATTGTTCCTTTCCTTCCCTAGAAATCGTTGAAGAAGCTCTTGTCCAAAGGAAAGATCTTGATTGGTCATAGCCTATCAAAAGATTTACATGGTAATCTGTGATTAATGCGGTCCAATCTATTTGATATAGTCATTCTATGCATCCATCATGTTTATTGGCAGGCTTTATTTTGTTACTCAGTATGTAACTCAGCTTTTATCATTTTTTTGATTCGTTTGCAGCTCTTAAGTTTGACTACTCTCGGGTTATTGATACAGCATACATCTTTAAGTATGCAAATTTGCCTACTACTGCATCAGCCTCTTTAAACAGCCTGTGCAAGGTACAGTTAAAGGGATACTGCATAGCATCTTATTTACTCGTAGCCTTGTTTCCTTATGAATGATGTTCTGCTTAAGAAAAACAATGCATACAAGGCCTGAAGAACCCCATGCTCTGAATCTATGCATGCTGAAATTTTTTTGTTGATTTTTGTGCTTCTAGTCTGTTTTGGGCTATGCTGTTCGAGAAGAAGGGGAGCCACATAACTGCTTGAAGGATGCAGAAGCTGCGATGAATCTAGTTCTCGCCAAGCTTAAGCATGGATTTAATGATCCCATTGAAATTGCAAGAGATAGTGTAAGAGTAAACAATTATCTTAAACCTCAGCATTGTTAGGGAGTTGCCAACTGACTTGTTTATTTCCATTTCTTAGGTACCTGAATCTGATATGATGAAGTTGCTTGCTCACAAAATTCCAGTCTACCTGCCTTGTCAGGAGCTGCTCAAATTATTTTCTGGAAATCCCAGTATTGATGAGAAGGTTTTTGCATACTAATTATGATTTGCTCAATACACATGTACTTTTATAGTCTAATGGTTTTATTTCCTTCTCAATAGATTGATTCAAGGGTTCGGGGTGATTATTATTCTACATGTATTTCATTTGGAGACAGAGATGAGGTAGAGAAGGCATTTGATGAACTGGATGGCCAAGAGGCCAAGGTACGTTATACCATTTGATTTTCCACTAATTGGGTTTTGCCCTTGTGCTTATCATTTGATTGGTTGAATTGCATCAATGTGCTGTTAAATTTCTCAGTTCTATACTATGCTGAAACACACAGGACTCTAGCGGGCGACTTCAAAAAAATGTGCTGCTGAAACGCGACAATGGGGATGTGGCAAGCTTCTATGTACGAAAGATGGCGTATGGCGCTCAACTAAACAAGTCAGAACTTTCAAACAAGAGACCGCCACCTACCGAGCATGTAGAACCAACAAAAGAAGATAATGATGGGGATAAGCAAAAAAAGCGAAAAACTGGTAAAAAGCATGAGAAGAAGAAAGCAAAGATATCAGTGGCTGAATGAAGATCTTTGGAGGGATGATTTTGAGATGCAGAGAGATTGGATGAATGAAGCTGGAGAAGGATGTTGAGACCATTCGGCTAGGAGCAGTTTTGATCTCACCATGAGTCATGAGAGGAACAATTTTGATCTCTAGACGCTCTTCTTGTTCAGCGGTTTGTGCGCTTTAGATTGCTAGGCATTAACTGTAGAAAGTTGTTAGGGCTCATTTTATTCCTCCATTTTATCGACTGTTGATCACGAGTATTAGAGAGGGTCCAGGAGGATATTCTTAACGTAAATTCACTGCAAACTCTTTGAAATGTGATGAGATCTTACAAATGAAAGCATCAGTAATGTGATTCATTCAGCCAACAGTGACTGGTTACAAGAAGTAACTAACATTGTAATCAATTCATGCTGGTCAAACTTAATCAAGCCTAATCATACAGCCTGGCTTAAAACAATTGGTCAACCCCAGCCCTGTACTGTTTTATCCGTTGGTTTTGCAAACTCTACCTGTAACTTGAACATGTACAGTGACAGATGATCATCTCTCGTGACAGTTTGGCCAATTGCAAGATACAAACAATATCCAACAAACTACGCGTTCTTACGACTTTGACAATGTAGCATCCAGTTTATCTGCTATCATTGCAATCCATGCCTGCAAGGAAAATCAACAGGATAATGGTTGTCTCTCTACTGTCATACTGATTTTTTTTTTACAGTAACCGTCATACTGAATTTAAAACAGTGCAAGTGTGCAACCTACAACCAACAGGCTTTTCATTACATTCGGTCTTTTGTGCTCTCAAAAGCAATAATGTAGCTGCAATGCAAATAATGCAAGATCTCACCGTCAATACTTCAAATGCTCCAATGCAAACACACACCGTAGAGATTGTATGCTTCAGCAAAAGTGAGCATAAAACCAATGTTAAGCATTTAGTTGACCTAGTTTTGGCTTGTGTTTGTTTTTAAAAACTGTGATCTTTAGCTTACACATATAGATTGTTTTTCTCTGTATTATCTGTGCGAATCACCCAAAACAAAACGTGGTACTATATATGTTAGGAGGCTGTAGATTAGAAATAGCACCTGATCAAGATTAGTGAACCCCCTTATAGTGTCACCACCAATAACTGCAATTCCTTTATCACCAATTGGTTGCAATATTAGGGCCTGTATATCAGGGAAGATATCAAAAGCTTTGGTTTTAAACATTCATACAATTAATTCATCTGAATGTTGAATGCAGTCATCTTTAGACTTAATAAGATTTCCCCCTTCTTTTTCAATGAAACAAAAGAGAGGATGCATTCTGGAGTTTCCTAGTTTAAAGATGGTATGATCAGCTTTCGTGAAGTATAACAAGTTGACAAACACACCAATGCGTGCTTACATGTAATTTCTCTAAGATGAAAGAATTTTTTAGTACCTGCGTGTTAGCTGGCAAGAATGGTAGTTCAGTCCTTCCAGGATATAAGGCAAGATTTGCTAGGTAAGATTCTGCAAGAAGACCAAAGTGAAGTTTCTGAATGAAATCAAACAGAAAAAAAGAACTTTATAAGTAACAAAAGACACTCACGCTTCTTGGATTCCATGGCACTTCTATAAAGGGAACCTTGCATGAACTTCTGTGCATCCACCATAACTGCATTACCATCCTCTGGAGAGCCAGCAGCAACCCCAATTTGAAGAACACAATTACCTCCATACACAACAACCAAGGATTTGCAACAAGTTGCAGTTGTAAGGGAATCCCATGTCCTATTTGTGAGAAGTTGAAGTCACAGCCAGCCTCACAACATAATTTCCTTGACATGAAGTACATGGATGGGATTGTGTATGCATAAAACTGAAAGATTTGTTTAGTTATGTTCATGGAAGATCATAGCACTAGTAATTATATAGAATCACGGTATGGAACACCTAGCGAGGTTTTTAAGTAATAATATTTCATTATTTGAGCTTCCATGATCTCTATGAATTAAAATAAGATCTTAAGATTGAAATAAGCAGGAAGTGTATCAGTAAAATGGTTACCAAAGTAGTTCACGAAGAGCCGAGTCCAATACACCCGTTCCTACCCGTTTGCACTCGACACCTCGAGGAACAACCTAAGATCATTTCAAAATGAGGAATTATTGTAAAAAATTTACTACAGTAATATGCCGCAAAGGATAAAAAACTCACAGGAGAAATGGATTTCGGCCGGATGGACAACCAAACAAGGCCAGCAAGAATATCAGTTACGGAGAGAGCAAGAGTCAGTATGTCAGCCCTTGACTGCGAACTATTGAGATGAAGATCAAATTAACCAATTGGTCAGTAATCATAAATCCAATCCAAGACGAGCGCAAAATGGGGGCATTTCTTGGGGTGGCTCTGCACCCACAGGATGACCTGGAGGCGTCGGCGACAGCTGCAATGCCGGAAACCGCACGGTTGAGGAGGACGGCGAGCAGGGAGGCGCCGCCGCCGAGGATGGGCAGGCCGCGGACTAGCGTGTCGTTGCTCCGGACCCACTCCCCCACCCAATCCTGCCGCGGCTGCAGCGCCCTGATGTGCATTTCCTGCTGCTGCTGCTGAAGAAGAATTGCGAACTACTGAATCATTCAAGCAGGGAACAGAATTAGCTGGGGGAGGAAGAAACATACGTTCGAAGGAGGCGATGGTGAGAAGAGTGCACCGAAGGGAAGCCCTCGCCGCCTCCGCCGCCGGCGACAGGCCGCGGATGCCGGCCGGAGCGTCGCCGGGAGCGGCACGAGCGTAAGGCTTCTGGTCATCTCCATGCGTGCGACACTCCCAAAGAGCTCCGAACGCCTTCTACTAGCACATGAGCGGGATCACCGGCGGCGCCGGGCGACGGCGGCAGCGGAGTCGCGACGACGACCGGAGGCCGCGCGCGAGATGTAGAACGGCCGGTGGCCACTCGCCGTCGCTGTGGATGACTCGTCGGCTACCTGATTTCTTCTGGGCCGAACCACCGGCCCATGTAGTAGTCTTCTCAGGCCCAGCCCATTCCGATCCCACTAACTAGAAACTTTTTTCAGTTTTAAGTTTACTTATTAAAATATTTAACAATATTTTTTTCAGTGTTTTACAAATCTACCCATCGGCGACAAGTGACTGCCTGTAAACTGGTTAGACCCGATTGTTTTGCAGACGGCCTAGCCCTTTGGGAGGCCGGTAAAAGGGCTATCTGCAAGGTGACCGACCGCGGGTTGGAAACTCTCACCTTTCGCACCAAAAATGAAATATTAGATCAGTGCACAATTGGTTAAGCATTAGGTAAAAACACTTAAAAAGTGGGTTAGTGTGAATTTTTAAAACAATTTTCCTGTAGAAATTTATTTTAAAAAATACATTGTTAAGCCGTTTGTAAAACATGGCCGATGAGTGAGGAGAACGGGACGCCATCCGCCCTTTCACAGGGCATGAGAGGTCAGATTTGTAAAACTTTTAAAAAAATAGTTTTAAATATTTTAATAAAATTTAAAAAATTCTTAACTGTACGGTATAAATCAGGAGCTCGCCGCCGACGCCGCCTCCGTTCCTCACCACCGCAGCAATGGCGCCGCCGACCGCCACGCCTCACGTCCTCCTTGTCCCCTTCCCGGCGCAGGGCCACGCGCTGCCGCTCTACGACCTCGCCGCGCTCCTCGCGGCGCGGGGGCTCCGCCTCACCGTCGTCACCACGCCGGGCAACGCCGCCCAGCTCGCCCCTCTCCTCGCCGCGCACCCCGACTCCGTCCGCCCGCTCGTCCTCCCCTTCCCCTCCCACCCTTCCCTCCCCGCCGGCCTCGAGAACACGATGAACTGCCCTCCCGTCTACATCGCCGTGTTCATCCACGCGCTCGCCGCGCTCCACCGCCCCATCCTCGCGTGGGCCAGGTCGCAGCCCGCGCACCCCGTCGTCGCCGTCGTATCCGACTTCTTCTGCGGGTGGATGCAACCTCTCGCCGCCGAGATCGGCGTCCCGAGGGTCGTCTTCACGCCCTCCGGCGTGCTCGGCACCGCCGTGCCGCACTCGCTCTTTCGCCGCTTGGTGAAGCGGCCCGTGGGGTGCGACGATGGGTTTCCGGTCGCGTTCCCGGCGATCCCCGGCGAGCCGGCGTTTGAGTGGAGAGAGATCTCCATGTTGTACAAGGCCTACATAGAAGGCCTCGTAGAAGAGCAGGTCGGCGAGTCGCTGAAGCAGAATTGTCTCTGGAATCTGGAGGGCTGGGGATTCGTGTCGAACACCTTCCGGGCACTCGAGGGGAGGTACCTGGACGCGCCGCTGGAGGACCTGGGGTTCAAGCGCGTGTGGGCGGTGGGCCCGGTGGCGCCGGACACGGACGCCGCCGGCGAGCGCGGTGGGGAAGCGGCCGTCGCAGCCGGCGATCTCAGCGCGTGGCTGGACGCCTTCCCGGAAGGTTCGGTCGTGTACGTGTGCTTCGGTAGCCAGGCGGTGCTGACGCCGGCCATGGCGGCGGCACTGGCAGAGGCGCTGGAGCGGAGCGCCGTCCCGTTCGTGTGGGTCGTGAGCGGCGACGGCGTGGTCCCTGAAGGGTTCGAGGCGCGGGCGGCGGCGGCGGCGCGCGGGATGGTGGTGCGCGGGTGGGCGCCGCAGGTGGCGGCGCTGCGGCACGCGGCGGTGGGGTGGTTCATGACGCACTGCGGCTGGAACTCGGTGCTGGAGGCGGTGGCCGCCGGGGTGCCGATGCTGGCGTGGCCCATGGCGGCCGACCAGTTCGTGAACGCGCGGCTGCTCGTGGAGGACGCGGGCGTGGCGCTGCGCGCGTGCGCGGGCGGGGCCGGCGTCGCGCCCGACGCCGGCGAGCTCGCGGCCGTGCTGGCCGACGCGGTCGGGGAGAAGGGGAGCGGCGCCCGGGCGCGCGCCAAGGAGCTCGCCGCCGATGCCGCGATCGCGGTGAGGAGCGGTGGGAGCTCCTACGAGGATCTGGAGCGGTTTGTGCAGGAGATTCAGAAGCTTTGACTGCACGTGGTTGGTTGATTGGTCTTCACTTGTCTGTTCTGAACATTGTATCAAATGCTAAATCATACACCTGATCAGCTTCATCAATAAGCAAAGCAATTAGAAATGAGAAATAAATAACGATTGTTTTGGTGTTCTTTTAACTTGGTTGTATTGAAATTTGCAGTAAACGGTTGAATTCGTGTGAGAATTTCTCGTTCGAAATGGAGGCTCAGCTTTCGGTGTCTGTTGCATAGCTGAACAAACCGCGCATGGCATGCAACTACCAGTCTACTTATGCAAGGTATGATCATTTCGTACTTGAAATTTAGATCAGGCGGCTATTTCAGCTCAACAGTAGATGAGAAGTTGATGTGCCTCCCCTTTCCACTGCAGCGTTTGCAGGAAGCACCTGAAAGACTGAAACTTTCTGTCACCTTCTGATTGAACAAACTACTCTATCGTAAGTGCTCTTTCCCTTTGAACAGATTCCACGGCATTGCGTTGCATATGCTTCATATGCCATGTGCTAGGATGCTAGCTTTTGCGTGTTAGTAGCAGCATACACATAGTTTTCAGCTTGATTTCCATGCTAGTATCAAATTGGAAATTGAAGAGTCGGTGTCATAATCTGACCAAACCAAATCTAATTGACTGGGCTCTGCTCCAAGCCTCCAACTGCTAGCTCCCTGATTCCTACTGACCTTTGTGACTTGTGAAAAAAAACAGTGGGAGGTGCCCTCTCAGCAGAGGAGATGTCCGATTCCCATACGCCGACGTTCGACTAACCTAACCTGTTCTTGTTTCATTTTCATAAAATAAAAACAAAGACAACAACCCATGTGCCGGATTTCTGGAGGGAGGAATCTTCCATTCCTCTGCTTTAAGCATCTGTTCATGAGCATTGATCACTAGTACTACAGTTGCATGTAGCTGTGACCTTTTCTTGCCATTGTTTGAAACCAAAGCAAAGAGCCTTTCCTGGTCTGAAAAGCACAGCTGGGATAGCTTCGTTTCTCTGCAGAACGTTTTTCTGCTGGCCTTGAGTTGTGAACCATGTGGGAGAATTGTTATTACTTGTTAAAACTTAGAAGCACCAGTTTTTGCTGGTAGAACCATGTGGTGTTAGCAAACTAATCATATTTCTGCTGCTAAAATTTTCTGTCTTCAGTTTGAAATGTATGATAGTTACAAGGGTGAATCGTTGCTCTATATTCTTGACATTGCTTCCTGTAGCGTTCTACCATTGTCTGCTTACTGACAAAAATCTCTCCTATAGGATCTTCTGATATATCTCTCTGCAAGTCAAGGTACTACAATTATGGAATGGCCCCAAATTGTGTAACGTCAACTGATTACAATGAGATGTCGAACAAAAGAAGAACATGAAACGTGAACTGAAAACCTTCAATTCTTCTATGGGACAGCCAAACTAGGGGAACTGTTTGTGCATAGCTGGAGGTTTGGCCTGAGGTGCCCATTAAGTCAAAAGAAGTTTGTTATGGCATTTGCATGGGGCGTACTAGGACCCCAAATGATTGGTGTCCTCCATTGTTGTGCAGGTGGACTGTCGCTGGAACAAATGGAGCACATTCATTTGGAGAATTGGTTGTTTTGGTCGTTCGGCGTCACAATGCATAAGTTCTCATATGTACTATGACCAAAAATCGAGTTAGTTAGGTGCAATTATCTGATTTAATACTGATACTAATTCAGATTGTTAGCTTATAAGTTCATAGCACAACTGGTCTTGGTGCTATAGATGCTGTCACATGGTACTTTTTTGGTTGAATCGATAGGTATCAGTGTTACTAGCAACAAATTAATGCAAGTGCACCTAGTGTTAGTAGAGACAAATTAGAGAAAATCCAGTAGCTAGCGCTTGTGCTCCTTGAAAATCTGTACAAACATAACTGATTCAGCAAAGGAAGCCATGGATATTTTTATCAGAAGCACCGATTATGGGCAATTTCTTGTAATGAACTGAGTGAGTGTCATCTCTGATGTCGCTTCTAAGCAAAGGACTCAATCCTGCATTCGTTTTAGCTAGTGCTAGTGTCTTATTTTATGACACAGATCAATGTGCAATCATGTTTGATCAAATCTTCAGTTGCCATTTTTGGTCGGACTGCATGAAATGAAACTGGACCAAAATGGTGGATTGAAGATTAAGCTTTCATCATTCCATTCTTTTCAAAAACAAATCATAGAGAGCATGATCCGAGGTCCGAAAGACTACCAGTTGGTTGAGCTAGAAACTTTGCAAAACTGCTAGTTAACTAGGCCCGGTATTAACTATGAAGACCCAAATTCTTTGGTTTCTTGTGTACTACCAGCACGCATCTTGGTCATTTGTGCATGCCATTTCTTCTTTTCCAATTTGATGCATGTGCCAGATCAATCAGAGCATGTCTGCATGTGAAGAGTGGAGCAGTGAACTACTACCAGTAGACAGTAGTACGGAGCAAAGCAAACAACAGTAGCAAATCATACCCGGATGCAAATTGCAGAGACCGGCAAAAGGAGGAACAACCACAAAGTGCTGAAGAAAGTAGTGCAGATTCCGCTCTGCCTTTTCTGTTAGTTGAATGGAACCTCTCCTATGATCATGATTACTCCCCTGACCACATGAATTATTGTGAAATCGTCTCCAAAACTTTATATTACCTTTCTGACAGAATTCACGCCCGGGCAACGCATGCCTGCAGATGCTTTCAGCCTTTCATCACCTGCCATTGCTTTGCTTGTTCACTTCCCTCCAACTTTTAGGAGTAGCTTACAGTACAGTCACCGTTGTAACTTTGAACAAGTAACAACCCAGAGATTCAGTCACAGTCTCACAGGAGAGGCTGTGATTCGCTCTGTTTCGCTTGAGCTGAAAGCATGCATGCATTCGTGCTTAATTTGGCTGGGCACGGATGGCTTCTAGTGTAAACGACAACGTTGCAACTACTACTCCATCCACTGACGATTAAACTACATAAAGCAGGTGCTAATCAATACTTAAACGCCGCGAAAGAAAAGGACTCCACCTAACTGCAACCTATACGTCGCTATTGCCGATTTAGCGTCAGGAAATGATTAACCTCATGAGCTGATAATTAAGTAGCCACCTGTTACGCGGTAATTATAATTACATGTGGCTTAATCGGCCATCATTAACAATTTTTAAAGCTGATGAAAAAAGGAGGAGCATAATGCTACTGTATACTGTTATGCAATCGCTGTTTATGTGCATGTTTCACCGAACGGCCAGTACGGCAGACCAGGCACAACAAACATTCAGACTTCGTTGCCAGAAAGAAATATTCAGACTTCAGAGTGTGAAGTCCATTTTAAAGTTATCCTTTTTCTTTAAAGAACATTTTAACTAAAGTTATATAGAGAGACGAAAAGGCAATCGTACTGAATTATTAAGAATGCAGCCCCAGGAATTAAAATGCACACTAGCTGGTAGTTCAAGTGCAGTCTTCAGCAATGGCCGGTGAGCGTCACACTCACACCACCAAGCTGCGTAGGTATGGAAATGATATACTAGTATGTATCCAAGTATATTAAGTATCTAACACTGCCTATGTCATGTTCCTTTCAATTCATAATTATGTGACAACATCCTGGTTTAGCTAGCTCTAAGCTTTCATGTCCATTTTCATTGCATTGCATGCACTTCTTCCTCCTCGTGTAATCTCTGTAATTTGTTTATATGTGTAGGCATCTAGGTAGATAGTTCAGTACCCATCAGGTCGAACACGAGGACAAGCATACCTGAATAAAACTGTAGCAGATTCAACCCAACCTGTACCAATCGGATTATTGTTTCTTCAAGCTTAGTTCAAAACATGATTGGTTGTACACTCTCCTAATCACTTTTCAGATCATATTATCAACTTATCCTGTACTGCCCGTTCTTGCAGTTGTTTCGTGCAAGAGATTCACAGATTCACCGTATTGTGTTCTGGACTGAATGGGACAGTGTCTTACTGCTCATAAAGCTACTTTCTTCAGAATGAACAAGAAATCTGACACACATGGCAATGCAGAATGCAAGACAAGAGTATGGAACTATGATCGAGTGCCGGTTCTACTCCAATCCGGGATTGACACTGACATTGGCAGGAAAACAAAATTTGGGGAGAAAAAGAAAGGATTAAGAAAATGACATTACAGGTCAGAACTCCAGAACGAGCAAGCAGCCAAGCATCCAATCCATCCATGGCCAAATTGGCCATACGTTGGATCAGTTCAGAATTACGGCAGCCAGCATGGGCTGCCTGCCCTTTGCCTGCACGTGAGCACCATCCCTGATGAAAGTTCAGGGCGCCGACTAGAAAAATCCTGTAGCAGTTTTAACGCTGCAAGAAGATGCTGTACTATTGGTAGCTTAAATAAATCTGTACAGGCAGTGCGTGCATTAGGCAACAGCCAACCCCTTTTGTTGTTAATCAAACACATCTTGGTTTAGCCAACGACAGGAAGCTTACTGTAGTACTACTGTCCCTTGCCATGTTATTAACGGCAGTACAACAAACTAGCCAGGCAGCACCCCGGCTTGTGACAACACAGTGAAATTCCTGCAAGAGAAAAAAAAACAGGGAAACATCGGTCGCTGCAGACTGTTCAAGGATCTGATCGGCAGCGAGAGAGCTCATGTCTACTGTCCATAGAGTTCCTGCAAAAGGATCTGGATGGTTGAGAATTGCTTGGAGTGCAATAGTTCTGTTCACAGCGACAGTGGTACTGTACCGTAGGGGGGAGTATTAATAATGGATGAAAGATGCGAGGGGAAGATAATTGAGCGGTGATTTATTGCGTGGAAACAGGAAGATGAATGAATACTGCTCCCTCTTCATAGCAGTATGTATTTTACTAGGCGACTTTTACTGTCAACTGTTTAGGTCAGCTCGCGTTTACTTCAGATAACCATACGGAGTAGACAGCTTCACCAACCAAAGTGAACAAGATACCCACACCGCCGTCAGAGAGGTAAAAGCAACCGAGCTTTTTAAAAAGCGTGAAAACGGGGAACCGTGTCTGGCTGCCACCGCGTGGCCGCCAACGGCCGAAATATTCCCAGCGTTCGGGCGTGTTTTCTCCCCCAATCCCACGCCTCAACCGCCACCGCCACCGCCAGCCCAACCCCAACCCCAACCTCACCTCGTGTTCGTGTCATCTCTCTCGCTTCTTCTTCTCTTCTCCAATTGCCGAGTTCGCGGTGGAACCCCAACACCTCACCTCACCATCCACCACCAGCTGCTTGCCCTTTTCCCCCTCTCCTCCTCCTAATAATTCCACACAATTATTCACCCACCCGAGCCGCGGCGGCGACCACCAGCTGCTCTCTTATACCTCACCACTTGCCACTTCCCCACCGCCGCTTTCTTGCCTCTAAGCGATTTGCCGAGCTAATAAGCTGTGACCATGAAGCTCCCGCTGCTGCGGCCGCTGTGGCCGATGCTGTCGCCGGCGGCGGGGTCGCCGGACTCCCCGCCCGAGCCGTCCAAGCCGTCGCTGCCCGCCGCGTGGCTGCTGCTGCACGCGCTCTTCTGCGCCACCTCCATGGCGGTCGGGTTCAGGTTCTCGCGCCTCATCGTCTACCTGCTGTTCCTCCCCACGCCGATCAACCCCACCGCCCACCTCGTCTCGCTCGTCTCCCCGCCCGTCATGCTCGCCGCCGCCAACGCGACGACCACCATCACGACGACGACGACCACCACCACGACGACCGTGACGACCACCACGGTGGCCGCCGAGGTCGGGGCACACCCGCAGCACCACCACCACGGACCGGTGTTCGTCGGCCGCCACCCGATCCGCGTCCGCCCGTGGCCGCACCCTGACCCCAACGAGCTCCTCAAGGCGCACCACATCCTCGCCGCCGTCCAGAACGCGCAGCGCAGCAGCCGTCGCCGCGGGGCTGGGCCGCCGAGGCCCGTCATTGCCGTCACCCCTACCACCACCTCCGCGCTCCAGGTGCCCTCCCTCACGTCGATGGCGCACACCCTCCGCCTCGTCGACGGCCCTCTCACGTGGATCGTCGTCGAGCCTGAGCACCACACCGACGCCGTCGCCGCCGTGCTGTCCCGCTCCAACCTCAACTTCCTCCACATCACGGGACCCGACTCCTCCACCTCGCGCCTGCGAATGCACGCCCTGAGGTAATCACCGCAGCTAGATCTCGCTCTCGATTCGCGACCTCGGATGTTGCAATTGAGATCTCTCTGGTGCCACCAAATGCAGGGAGATACGGAAGAGGAAGATGGACGGCGTCGTGGTGTTCGCCGACGAGAACAGCATCCTCCGGACGGAGCTGTTCGACGAGGCGCAGAAGGTGAAGTCGGTGGGCGCCGTGCCCGTCGGCGTGCTGGGCGAGGACGAGGGCACCAGCGAGACGTTCCTCCAGGCGCCGTCGTGCGACGCGGAGGGGAAGCTGGTGGGCTACCACGTGTCGGAGGAGACCATGCTGCCGGCGAACCGTGGCGACATGCTGCTGTCGAGCAGGCTGGAGTGGGCCGGGTTCGTGGTGAACGCGCAGGCGCTCTGGGAGGGCGGCGGCGCGGCGTCGCGCCCCGAGTGGGTGAGCGACATCGACGCCATCGACGACGGCGCCGCCGCCAGCCCGCTCTCGCTGGTCACCGACGCCGCCCGCGTCGAGCCGCTCGCCAGCTGCGGCCAGGCCGCCCTGGCATGGTCCCACCGGTCGGATGCCCTCCACGAGGTCAAATTCCCACACGAGTAAGTTTCGTCGGTGCCCTCTCTCTACATCACCAGATTACTCCTCCCAAATTTAATAAATCTCCAAATGCTAGTACTATGTTACCGCGTGATTACGGGTGATTTGATTAGCACGTTAGCAGTTAGCTCGAAATTGCATGGGTCAGATCTAGGATTTGATCCCGACACCATGGCAAGGTAAGGTACGTTAGGTCGAGCAGATTATGGTTGGCGAGGCGACGATGGTCATTGTGTTCCTAATATGTTCGGTGGGGTGGGGACGATCGCTGAAAGCGATCCGTGTAGGTCTCAAGCACATGTGCCGACCAGACACAACACTAGAACAGGGCCAATTTTTTCTTAGCAACAGTGTTCATATATTGTGACCAGCCTATCTCAGTCTCCGAGTCTTGGGCAACTCATCTGATATACCAAATACGTCTGTCTTCTTGTACTAGTATATTAATTATTATACATATGGTACTAGTATATGCTGGTACTCCTCAAATTGTGCCAGGATATTGGGTTTTCTTTAGTATGTCAACAATCTAGTAGTGAGTGGAGTATCATTTAAGATGGAGTACGAGTATTTAAAACTGTTATTTTTCTTGCCATCGTTTCATGATGTTTGTGGTGAGTTAACTTGTTTAATCTGTGGAGGACCGGAAGGGGATATGATACCACATTCGCCTTACTTTCACCAAAAGGCTCTTTATTTTCTTCCACTTTCTGGCCTGATCTAGCTGTCCCATGCGTTGTGTCAATAAAAGGTAGAGGCAGACAACTCTAATTGGCCATACTTATCACTTCCATTAACACATCATTCCTATCAATGATGAAACCTCTTTCCTGAATCAACCTTACCCTGTTGTGTGGTGATTTGAATATGAAATGTATGTCCTGTCACTGTAACCTTTGGTGTTTATAAATTCATTATATGTCTTTTGTGATTTGCATGGCATAAGAATCAAAAGAATACCCCCTTCTTGTTTGCTTGAGTTTGAAGATCTATCAGATTAACCCTGATGTTTCTCTTAAACCACAGTACTAAATTTATCCTTCATTTTTGTGCAGATGGAAAATTGACCCTCCTCTGGTAACCATCGCTTCCCGCCAACAGGATGCCAAACCAGAAACACCACTCAAGCGGACCACGCTATTGAATACTGAAGGTCAGCACTAGAGGCCATTTTTTGTTGGAAAATAGAAATCAGATCGAAACCATACCTCTATATGGCTCACTAGATCTGCCCCAAGTACTTCACTGATGCATCTATGCCTCGTCGGTGCCAAACGCTCTCAAGTAACATAATGTAACTCAGCTCAGATTATTTCTCTGGACTCTACAGAAACCATAGACAGTACATGTAATCTTGGGGATAAATCACCGCGCATATTTTGTACCACCGTGTAAAATAGATAAAAGTTTAATTATATGTGCCATCTGTCCCTTGTCTGGTAGATAGCAAATTAGGCATATTGTTTTTGTGTAATATAGATCAGAGCAGGGACTTTTAAAAACGAATTGATGTGGTGTGGGTAACTGGGAGTTAAACCATTGGTTGTATACTCGTCTGAAATAATAACAATCCATTTTTCATTCTCCTCCTATGGCTGTGTTCGGAACTCCAAGTTCCCAATACTCACCTCTCGTTTTTCGCGTGCACGCTTTTCAAACTGTTAAACGGATCGTTTTTTATAAAAAGTTTCTATACGTAAGTTGCCTAAAAAAACATATTGATCCATTTTTGAAAAATAAATTAGCTAATACTTAATTAATCACGTGCTAATGGATCGCTCCGTTTTCCGTGCGCACTGTTAGAGTTGAGAACTCAGGCATCCGAACACAGCCTATATCCATAATGTGTCTGTTCTTGTCTGATGTGTCTATAAGATTGTGAGGAACATTATGGTTAGGTGGAAGCTGTCGTATTCCTAACTTTGTAAATTGGTCTTCGCCTCTTGGATCATAGGCTATGGCAGCTTCTTGGATGAACTGTTTTTAGTATTTGTCGCTACTCGTGATTTTTTTAGAGAGAGCTACTCGTGATTTTCTTTTTCTTTTTTTGGAGAAATCACTGGAGGAGAGAGCTTTCCCACTGAATCTTCCATTGAAAATAATAAACATGGGAGTACATCACTATAAGGGACGAGCACAACTAGCACTGTGCCATTATGAATGGTGAGAAGAAAGGGGGCGGGAGAGAGTAGCTTTCGAAGCTTGGACTACAATTCTGGCCGTGTTTAATTACACAGCTAATTTTTTTTAAGTATACAGACACACATTTAAAATATTAAACGTATACTAATAACAAAACAAAAATTCCGCCCGTAAACTTCGAGACGAATTTATTAAGTCTAATTAATCCATCATTAGCAAATGTTTACTGTAGCACCACATTGTCAAATCATGACGTAATTAGACTTAAAAGATTCGTCTCGCAATTTACATGCAAACTGTGTAATTGATTTTTTTCGTCCACATCTAATACTCCATGTATGTGTATAAACATTTGATGTGACGGAATTTTTAGAAATTTAAAGGGAACTAAACACAACCTCTATCGTCTTTCCGCCCACAGAGAAACATCTTCTACTCGTCAATTTAACACTTCGTTCCTTCCTTGCCGTTGGAAACTAATTTTTCTCGCACGCAAAACGGAGCAACTCATTAACATAACTAAGTATTAGTTTTTTTTAAAAAAAATAGATTAATATGATTTTTTAAAAGCAACTTTTGTTTTTTTAAAAAATAAACAAACCATTTAACAGTTTAAGAACGTGCGTGTGGAAAATGAGAAGAATAAGTTATAAACTTAAAAAAATAATGCAGTTCTTGGATTCTAGGCATCTATCATAGGACGATAAAAAATTCAAGAGTAAAGTGTACGGGCAGTCTTTAAACTTGTAGGGGTATGTCTTCTAGATCCCTAAACTCTCAAAATGCATATCCAAGTCCCATAACTTGTCATAGTGTGCCATCTAGGTCCCAAATCACTAAAACCTCTTCAGGTTCTTACGTGACGTTGATGTGTATGCCTCACGGACATGATATAGAATTATTTTGACTGACAAATGGGACCCATTTAATTTTTTTTCCTTTTTCCTTTTCTTTTATCTTTTTCCCCTTTCTTCTCCTTTCTCTGTGACCCGTGCAGAAAAAAGGAAAAAAATAAGAATGAGAAGAAAACGAAAAAGAAAAGGAAAAAGAAGAAAAAAAAGGAAAAGGACACGTCACGTCCATGTGGCATTGCCATATCAGCGCCACATAGGATCTTAGAGGGGATGTGCTAATTTGGGACCTAGATGATGCACTTTGACAAGTTATGCGATCCGGATATACATTTTGAGAGTTTATAGACCTATATGACACAACCCTACAAGTTTAAGTACTGCTAATGCACTTTACTCAAAATTCAATATCATGCTGTTCACGGTTAAGAGAGAAACAAAACGAGCATCGTAGTACGTAAACTTGTTTGAAAAAAAGTTTTGTAACTGCGAACAGAATTACAGAAGACTACAGTAATCAGTCAGATGGAAAAGGTATACCTGAGGTTCCTCTCATCATGTCACGAGATACAAAATCGTGCTTTTCAACCGTAAAACTGGATAAAACGTATCCCCCAACTTACAAAACTAGTACAGAGTATGATCTTTGAGGTTTTGCTATTTCACTTGCGATAGAATTTTGAGTTCTTATACTCTGACTTTTCACCCGTACGATCTTGTATCAAGATTTGTGTTCCTATGAATTCAACTTGCAAAGTTGCAATTACATTTAGTTACAAAGTACTTATATTTGGTTATAGAGTATTTACACTTAATTACAGAGCAACTACACTCTTACATTAAAAAAACATATTTTACAACAGCTTCTTTCTCAAGATTTATGATTTTCTATATGTTTGTCCCTTTTCTTTTATTTCATTCAAAAATGGCTATATGTATTGGTTGGAAGTTCTGTAAAATTTGAAGCTTCAAATCTATTGAAATATCAATGGGTAGTCTCGTATTTTTATTGGCATATATAGAGATAAAAAGTATATAAAGTTTAGTTTAGTGTAAAACTCCTGACAATTAGATTTTCTTATAATATATAAGCAGGAAGATAAGATTGAACTGCTTTATCACATGGATAAGCGTAGGAGCTGAGCGGCCGGCGTGATTCGGCCCACATGATTGGGCTGGTCGTGTGGGAGCATTTTGGCCGGCCCTGGTAGATAGGAGTACGCGATCACATTGGAAAATCACAGCTGCTCGCTGCACGTCGTTGGAGTACTTCCTAATCCCAACTGTTACTCGGAAGTTAAGGGCGCCAGCGCCGCGTGATCCAATCACCTCGCAAAATCACCTTGAGAATAGTATATTCGGAACAGATTTGCAGCCTCGTCGTGTCTATAAATAGGGTGGTAAACACCCATGCATGCAAAGCCACAAGCAATTCAACGAGTTACACCTTCCACCGTCAACCGAGGAGCTTTCAGTTGTTGCCGGCCATGGCGGCGAAGCTCTCCTTGCTACTTCCCGTCACCTGCTTCATCCTCTTCGTTCTGCATGGTACGTGCCATCTGCAGCGCCTTCATTCTTGTTCTTGATTATGTGTTCAATTATCAATTTAATATTAATTGATCAAATCAAATATTCATTTCTGACGAATTAATGAGATCGATAATGCGTGTGCGTATATATAACAGCTGTTCATGTGGAGGCGCGTCCCGATCCTGCCGCTTTCGGCGACTCCGACAACGGGTTCTACACGCTGTTCGTGTTCGGCGATTCGTTCGCCGACACCGGCAATCTCCCCAAGCGCCGACTGAGCGAGCAGTCGCGCGAATGGTACTACCCCTACGGCCGTGACCGTGGCAACAACCGCCCAACCGGCCGCTTCTCCAACGCCATGGTCCAGTCCGATCTCATCGGTAATTAACTAACTAACTATAACCTAATTATCCATTTTCAGATTGAATAATCTATCTTGAAGGAAATTTTCAACAGCATCCATTTTCAGATTCAATCTCAGATTGAAAATGTTACTGCGTACTTAATAATTTGGCTGTACATTTTGCAGCACGGATGCTGGGGCGTCATGAGGCGCCTCCGACGTACAGGAGGGTGGACAACTACGTGCACCCGCACGGCATGAACTTCGCCGCCGGCGGCTCCGGCGTGTTCAAGCTGCCGAGCGGCGCGCCGACGCTCGACAAGCAGGTCGACCACTTCAGGGACCTGGTGCAGGACGGCACCATCACCCGCCGGAACCTCCGTAACTCCATCGCCCTCGTCGCCGTCTCCGGCAACGACTACGCCCGCCTCGCCAACGTCAACGACACTAGCAAGGTCAGTACACAGATCGGGGAAAATGATTCTCGTTTCGTGCATGCTACCTAAATAGTCATCTAAATCAGCCTTCACACACATTAGCTACTGGAGTACGTCCTAGTTAACAGTCTTTCTGATCGATCGATATTGCATGTTCTTTGTGTTTGCAGATGATCAAGTTTGTCGATGAGGTGACGAGCGAGATCGCGAAGCAGGTGCACAGGCTGAAGAACAACGGGGCGAGGAAGATCCTGGTGAACAACCTGCACCCCGTCGGCTGCACGCCGTGGGTAACCAGGCCGGGCAACTACTCCGGCTGCAGCTCCACCGGCAACATGGGCGCCTACCTCCACGGCAGCAACCTCCAACAGAAGCTCTCGCACCTCGACTACGTCCACCATGTCGACCTCAACACTGCCTTCTCCAACATCGTCAATCCCGACCAAGGTAATATATAATTACTACGCATTGTTGATTCGTCTTAATTTCTTGATGAACTTTCATTTTTCTGTTTACAACGTACATGTGTCCATTGACGAATTTGATATGTAGGTTCGAAGCACAAGGTGTCGAGCCAGTTCGAGCACAAGATGCAGCCGTGCTGCGAGAGCTTGGACCCGAACGGCTTCTGCGGGCAGAAGGGACACGATGGCAAGGACCTGTTCAGCGTGTGCAACGATCCGGAGAAGTACTTCTACTGGGACGATGTGCACCCCACGGAGGCTGGATGGAAGGCCGTCATGCAGCAGCTGGAAGGTCCAATCAAGAAATTCCTTCGAATCAACTAGAAATTGAGATGGGCGTTAATTAGGTTTAGAGTGTTTTGGTTTAGGGTTAATTTTTTACTATCAGTTTGTGAGAGTTAGTTATATATGTTAGTAAATTAGGTAAAGATCCCGATTGGCTTGATCGGTGGATATTTTGTTTAGCTCGTGTTTTATTGAACATCTCGTTTCGTCAGTCCTTTGTTAGTTTATTATTATACTAGCTGGGCTGGGACTATATCGACCGAACATGTGAATTTGGCCCACGTATCTGATACTTCTATCTGTTCACTGTTGGGCTGTACTTTCCGAAATGAATTGCTAGATTATAGGCCGAATTAATGGCCACAGGAACAGAGACAGCAGTTCATCAACGTCACCTCTCTGTTTTTTTTTTTTGTAATGATTCCATCAACGTCAACAAAAGGGCAGAAGAAATATCAGTGAAATTGTAAGCCTCAGCACATAATAAATGAAAGCAACAAGGAGATCGTTGACTGTTTAACTAATTGGAATTTCCTTTCAAGATAGGAAGATATCTTTTTTCTCTTATTCTTTGTTGGCTCTATCTTGGCCATGATACAGGAATCAGCTGAGTTCACATTATTGGACCATGACTTCAATTATTGGAAAAAGCGCTATTGGAAAATATAGATTCAGGAATCCTTCAATCTGAAGTTACAGTTTAGGGTTACATAATAGCTGCAGAATTCCAATTAAGTATGTGGCACTCCGAGCTCAAATTAGAGAGTTTAAAGTTTGACCCACGGCTTCAGAGTTTTTTTTTATCAGAGTTGTGAAGCAAACAAACTCAGAAACTGACCATGTCCATTCCATGGTGGGCATCAATCTGAACCCGTCTACTTCTATAATTCAATACGGTTATCCAAAGAGTGCAAAACTATTCAATATGGTTATCCAAAGAACTATTTGACCGATCGACTGGAGTGCCGTAACAAAGAACTCATAAACTAAAGAACTATTCGATGGCACGTCGATGCATGGTTGCGTGCTGGGCAGTTGATACGAACGACATGGCAATGAGAATTCAGGGGAAGAAAAACGAGAGTGGATGCATGTGCTTCACAAGTAAAAATACTCCACTGACAAAAAAGAGTTGTGCAAGGGAGGGGAACCAGCAGAGCAGTGCTTGACACAGGACGGATTTCTTGATGTTTTTTTAGTGATCTCGCATCACATGTTTATGAACGTACTCTGCATGATCGAGGTAGCAGTAACATACTAACATGGCCTTTCTTTCCTGTCTCAATACTTTATGTTGCTGTATTATCCCTGGCACATGCTTGTCGTCACTCCTAACTATGGGCAGGATGAACTGATAACTGATTTAACTAGATCAAAATTCATCCTTTTTTTTTACATTTGATTGATTTAGTCGGCAATCGGCGCTAGTTTTATAAAGTTTTTGCCTGGTTCTCGTCACCATGGCCAAATAGATTACTATAGGCAGCAGCATCAAGTGGGTGGGTCCACATGGGGCTTAGTTTTCTCAGGCTATTATTAGCCGGAGTGAGCGGTCACAAGTGCTGCTACGACATCCGCACTATGGACCAAGGAGATAGCCGCGGTACCGTGACAAGCATTACTACGGGTATGTAGTGCTAGTACATTACTCCAGTGGTAGCTTGTTTCTCAAGTTGAAAGAGACAATTATCTGCCTAAATATACTCTTCCTCCAGAAATCCCATGAGAAATGATAAGCCAATGCCGCTACCGCCGACCGCTTATCGCAAGGTGATTAGCAATCGTGCCACAAAATCAAATTTAGCAATAGCTTAATAATCTGTTTAGGGAAGCTTCTAACTACTCCAATTTCTCTTAGAATTAGAAGCTCTTCTAAACAGTTTAGTATTTTTTTATCTAGATTCTGATAAGTTATAGCTGTAGAATCTACATATTATTATAAATTGACTACCAAACATCTACTTATCAAAATATTAAGTTCCACTCAAACAGACCCTAAGATACATTTGGTTGCATTTGAACCTAGCTATAATCTATTGCACGTTGTAATTGAGATAAATCAGTAACGAGTGATTAATTAAGCATTAACTATTACAAAGTTAAAAAATAAATTTATTTGTTTAGAAAAAATCTATTTATAAAGTTTCTGTACGAAGCACACTATTTTATGAGTTTGGAAAGCATGGATGAAAATGAAAAAGTTACCTATCCTAGTAGTTGATCCAAACTCATTCACAATCTTCATCCAAAGAAAATGCTTAGGACACCTTTGAAACACCGGATTGAAAAATTAGAGCAATAGAAAAAACACAAGATTTTTATAAGAATCAAGAGCAACAGAGAATGATGAAACATGTACGATCGTTTGAATAGATCACATGAATCATAGGAGAAAGATAAACTCGAAGAAATTTTTTTAAAAGATTGAAGCTTGGGTTAACTTTTATTCAAAATCTCTATATGATCATTCATTCCATATGAATTTTGATGGAAATGATATGATTCAGTCACGTGTTTAAATACATTTATAATTTTTAAATACACTGGAAGTTTTGAATACATTTATAGTTTTTAAATACATTGGAATCAAATACTCCGACCCTTATGGTAGATATTAACTAAACCAAACCAAAGATCGACGATTTCATCACCCTAGGAAATGTTTTTTCTTCTGTCTTGGTGTAATTCTTGTTACAGTTTCTGCCAATTTTTGTTCCGTGCATCGCTTGGATATGCAGTCTGCCACTGTAGCGCAGGCTGCGGCTAGCCAATCCGGCGGGGTGGCGTGCGCTGCCGACTCACTGTCTCGCCGGGTCGCGCCCGTCGCCTTCCGCGCGCATCTCGTCGTCCGTCTCGTCACTCATCCATCCTTCCGCGCGACGATTTTGTTGTACGATTCCGGTGTGCGGGGCCTCCACGCCAGCCACCCAACCAACCAACCAACCAACCCATGGGCCATGGCCGCCGCGAGAGATTCCAACGCCCTCCTCCGCTGCTATCCCCGTCCACCGATGCGGCCGCAGCCGCGCTCTTTCCTTTTGCGGGCCAAAAGATTCCTCCCATTGGACTCGCTGCGTGCGTCACCGGAATGTGGGATTTTTGGTTCCCCGCTTGCTAAGCTCCGATTTTGGATATAACTAGGAAAAAAAACACAACTCGTTGACGAATAATTAGGGTTTATCAGATCGTTTTGGATAAGGTTATCACCACCTCACGTTTAAACGGTTATCGTAGTAACCGGGTAGTTATCATAAGGTATATCATAGTTTCAAAAATTAAGAAGGATACTATACTTGATAACTTATTAATTACCGCACGGTTTTATAAACCTTGATAATCACACACGTTCCTCGAACAGTTTAATCCTAAATTACGCCGATAATTCCACCTCGTTCCATCGGTGAAGTCACGAAGGCCCTGTTTGGGGAGCTTGTCCTAGCTGAAGATGCTTCTGCTAGAAGCTGCCCCAAACAATTCATAGCTTTTGAGAATATATAGTTATAGATTCTGAAAAATGAACTAAGAAGTCAGAAGCTGGAGAAGCTAGGTTTCAAACATTTTCCAGATTCTCAGAAACTGGGTATCAAACAGCTGCTTCTCAGAATCTATAGCTACTCCAAACATACCCGAGGAGACATAGGGCATATAGAGATACCTACTACCGTGCGTATCGGCGGCGTTTTGGCACGCGAAACTAGCGGAGGATTCCATGAAACCGCGAACCCCTTCGATCTCTCCCATCCATCGCCTTATCATCGTCATCTTCCCAAATCCCAACTACCAGATGGATCCGGCGCGTCTCTCTGGATCGGTTTGGGGTCGCGAGGACGAACTGGCCGCCGGTTGCTTGGCGATCCTGCGTCCGTCCACTTTATTGGCCGCCTTCCCTTTCCATCCCCTCCTGCCTGCGTACGTCCAGCCCATCTCGTCGCGTTCCCAGTAAATTCCAGGCAACTGGGGGAGGCAAGGGACCATGACTACTGACGGCGCCACTGCATGACCACCGCCCGATCTGCCGATCGTGGGATATGCTTCATGTCTGCAAGAAACAAAGAACTGTGTTTAGTTTAAGCTAAAATTAAAAAGTTTGGTTGAAATTGAAACGTGTGACGAAAAAATTAAAAGTTTATATGTGTAAAAATGTTTTGATGTAATGGGAAAGTTGGAAGTTTGAAAAAAAAAAGTTTGTAACTAAACATGGTGTAGCTACTTCCTCCGTTCCATAAAAAACCAACCAGATACTAAAATACTAAAAGATACTAAAAGTGACACATCATAATATAATAAATTTAGATATACATCTATACAGATTTATTGTACTATGAATATATTATATTCAGTCTTATATTTATTTTTTTTAGACGGAAGGAGTAGTCACCAGCTGCTGCTTTGGGCCAGTTTGCTACCACTCTCGTGAAGGGAAATCGTGATTAGCTTTGGCACGGCTGAAAGCTCCGTTTGTACGAACAGATGCATACTGCTAGTGCTTTTAATATAATCGCCTCGTGAAACACCTCGCTTTTCGCTGCAGCGCGGCCTTTAAAACGACACGATACGGTAAACTCTCTCTTTCACCGTGATGCATCACCGATCGTAATTCAACCGGGGCGCAATTAACTATCGCAGCTTAAACAGGAGCAAAAAAACATAACAGTCAAAATCTTGCAGCTCCACGTAACCTCTCTCGTCACCTCCTTCTACATGTCTCGATTGACACGGTACCCCAATCTTCCAAATAAACAACCCACTATAATTGCCTAGGCTACAGGCTAGATAGACTAATACAGGAAGATGTCACCGTATTTACTAGTAATTATTTTTTCGTGACAAACAACATATCGTTGATAAGAATATGTTTATAATGATTCCGTTTTAAAATATGGCAGCCCAGTTTCCAGAGGTGCTACGTAGTGTGTACGTGTGGAATCTTTATAAGGTCATTTTCAATGAGAGTTTTATTTTCATTGAATAGGGTATCATGTCAATATTTTTGTTAATATGATAAGTAATTAATAAAGAAAGAGATGAAATGAGTTTACACTGTTTTTAATGTGACTTGTCTCTACATGTGTTGCTTATAAGATTAAAAAAATAAAAATGTGTCGTATGGGCTATTTTAGCAATCGATTAAGTGTTTTGTTTGTGTGGGCAACACTTTTTGAAAAATAAAAATGAAACCTCTCATTAGAAGGGGATGGACGTGCAAATGTGATTAGAACCAGTTTTATAAAAAGATATAGGTTGCTATGATTTTTTTCAGTACAATAAATCTGGGCAGTAATATGTCCAGATTCATTGTACTTAGAAACATCTCATTTAATATTAGATTGGGTTTTTAAGTACGGAGATAATATTAGTTTGGGTTTTTTTTCTAGAGGAGAGAGTATGTGTTTTAAAAAATAGATTAAGTTGAAATTAACCCCAACCCAATCCAACCTGTCCACCTCAGTGGCACCTTTATTAAACGATCCCAATACAAATTCGAAACCAAAAAAAAAAAATATCCTACTGGTGGTCGACTAGATTAATATTGGAAGAAAATTGCACGAATATAATGGAATCTGGGCCCACCACTCGTCCTCTCCAATTCTATAAAGCGACCCCCGATACCACCATCAAATCCATCTACTCCTCTTCTACCTCTCCTCCTCCTCCTCTTCTTGGTCGTCTTCTCCTAGCTCGCCAAGATGAGGATTTCCATGGCTCTCGCGGCGGCCGCGCTGCTGCTGCTGCTGTCGCTGGCAGCGGCGGACATGTCGATCGTGTCGTACGGGGAGAGGAGCGAGGAGGAGGCGCGGCGGCTGTACGCGGAGTGGAAGGCCGAGCACGGCAAGAGCTACAACGCCGTCGGCGAGGAGGAGCGGCGGTACGCGGCGTTCAGGGACAACCTCCGGTACATCGACGAGCACAACGCCGCCGCCGACGCCGGGGTCCACTCCTTCCGCCTCGGCCTCAACCGCTTCGCCGACCTCACCAACGAGGAGTACCGGGACACCTACCTCGGCCTCAGGAACAAGCCGCGGAGGGAGAGGAAGGTCAGCGACAGGTACCTCGCCGCCGACAACGAGGCGCTGCCGGAGTCCGTTGACTGGAGGACCAAGGGGGCCGTGGCTGAGATCAAGGACCAGGAGGTTGCGGTAAGCATCCGTTGATCCTTTTCATGTCTCCTCTCTTCATTTCAGTTTCAGGGGTAAAATATGTTTCCTTTTTACATATGAATCATTTTCGCGGTTAGTTTATTCGGGATGATCCTCAAGAAATTATTGGTCTGCTTGCAACAGTTCAGTAGTTAGTACTCCACGTGAACATAAATTAGGGGCACATCCAGGTCAAACGATAAATCAGGACATGTTTCAATATGCCCCAAAATTAAGCAGACCGGAAAGGGGGGGGGGGAATTTTCGATCTGAATCCAGAATTTGAAGTACAGTGTGATTCACAAAATGAAATTCTTTGAAATTCAATTGTTTTTATGGTTTGTGTAGTTGGCTATACACATGGTCCTCAAAAAAATATTTGGTTGACTAACTTGATTCCAGTTGTGTACTCTGTATGGAGTATCACTCAATAATCGGACACCTTTATTTCTGATCTGGAATTATGAATAAGCCAGAGCCTGCAACTGATCCTGCTGTTTCTGAGTGTACTCTACTGTGGCTTGTAGGGGAGGCAGGAAGGCAAGCTATAATAAATGGTCATTCATAAATTGTTTTAGTTGGAAAGGTGGATATTTTGGTTGTGGGTGCATGGACGTATTAGAGCCAAACAGAAAATCATACTGTGCATTAGTGGTCACTGTTTGAATTGTAGCTGGTGGAGCCACACTAGTGGTCAGCTGTCATTTGGCATATGGCTCCAAAAGAGCCCTTGGAAACACCTTTCATTCACGTCTCTTGCAGACGTTTCACAATCCTATTGGTAGAAGGTCCTCCTTTGCATTGCTAAAGTTCTTCATCATGTTGTTGCTTAAAAAAGAAAAAAGAAACTTCGCACTGTCTGATGTAGGTCGTTTAAAAAAAAATGTTGTTGCTCCACATGGTCTATCTAATTCATAATTGGCTGCATTTGTTTTGTATTGCCTCATTATTTACTTGTATATTTGAGAGTCAAACAATGTTTCATGTCATCCTTTGACACAATAATATGGAAATATAACCTCCAATTCTCCTATATTGCAGGAAGTTGCTGGGCTTTCTCAGCAATAGCAGCTGTAGAAGGCATCAACCAGATTGTTACTGGCGACCTGATATCTTTGTCTGAGCAGGAGCTAGTTGACTGTGACACTTCATATAACGAGGGATGCAATGGAGGTCTGATGGACTATGCATTTGATTTCATCATCAACAATGGTGGAATCGACACCGAGGATGACTACCCTTACAAAGGCAAGGACGAACGGTGTGACGTAAACAGGGTATCTTTCGTCTTCTTTGCTCCCTTGGTTTTTCAGGTAGTAGCATAATTTTGATATGCTATTGCTCACTTGTGCTGCTATACTCACAGAAAAACGCAAAGGTTGTCACAATTGACAGCTACGAAGATGTAACACCAAACAGTGAGACGAGTCTGCAGAAGGCGGTAGCAAACCAGCCCGTCAGTGTTGCAATTGAAGCCGGTGGCAGAGCATTCCAGCTCTACTCATCGGTAAGTCGATTTAACGTTATTGTTCAAATTCGTTTGGTGATCCTTTGCTAAGTTCTAACAATGTGTAGTCGGTAGTAAGTTTTGCTATCTTTGATAGAGAAACAAATAGGCAGGCTCACTGATTGCTTTTGCCCTTGCCTGCTTTACTTTGCTTTAATCACGGTTATTGCACTAAAAGAAATGATTGTGTTGTCAGTTGCAAGTCGCAACTACTAAGCAAATCTTATTATCATTTTGTCCAGTCCTGGCATACTTTGTTAATTTGTTATCATCCAGATAATCTAATCCCATTTCAGCTTTCCACTAAATTAGTACCTCAGTGCACACCATTTATTCATAGACCATAAACCATGTTCATTTGTTGCTTTCCTGCCCCTGCTTTGTGAAACACTTTTAATGGAACGAGTAGCTTTTGATGTGTTCCCAGGTCCGTAGTGGAGTGGTATGAGCCATCATCCAGTGTCATCCACTTCGAAACCCAATTAGATAGGGAAAAAGATTATGATTGTTTTTTCCCATAAAGCAATACTCAAAATTTGAAACATGCATTGTACTCTGCTTTTGTTAAATAAGTTAATCCTAAATTCCTTGTTCTTTTCAATTATGTTGTTATTTCCATGACTTGGGCTTGCACTGATTGCCATTTCCTGATATCATTCTTAGGGTATCTTCACGGGTAAATGTGGAACAGCACTAGACCACGGCGTCGCTGCTGTTGGGTACGGCACAGAGAATGGCAAGGACTACTGGATCGTGAGGAACTCGTGGGGCAAGAGCTGGGGTGAGTCCGGCTACGTCCGTATGGAGCGCAACATCAAGGCGAGCAGTGGCAAGTGCGGCATTGCCGTTGAGCCATCCTACCCTCTGAAGAAGGGCGAGAACCCCCCGAACCCCGGCCCTACTCCGCCGTCCCCAACCCCGCCTCCCACCGTCTGCGACAACTACTACACTTGCCCCGATAGCACCACCTGCTGCTGCATCTACGAGTATGGCAAATACTGCTACGCCTGGGGCTGCTGCCCACTCGAGGGCGCCACCTGCTGCGATGATCACTACAGCTGCTGCCCTCACGAGTACCCCATCTGCAATGTTCAGCAGGGAACCTGCCTCATGGTAAGCAATTGCAGAGATTGGTAATTTACTAGCACTGTTGCAAGTGCAAGAATTCCCTGTGATTCTTACTGTTTTGTTGCTTGATGAACACAACAGGCTAAGGACAGTCCACTGGCAGTGAAGGCTCTGAAGCGTACCCTGGCAAAGCCAAACTTGTCTTTCTTGTTTGGCAACGGCAAGAAGAGCAGCGCTTGAGCAATTTCAGAACCGTATCAGACCGTCCAGAGCCAGCGTGGTTGCATCATCAAATGATCAGCTGGTAACTGACGAAGACGATTGCGCAGCTCGGCGGCGAACCCTGCGCACTAAGTATATCTGCTTTTATAATAGATTTCTCGTGTACATAAAATCTAAAAAAACGGGTTCAGTTGGTTACAGAACTGCCAAATTTGCTTCTGAATGTATATGTAAAATTCAGCTAGGTTTGCTCCTAAGCTCCTAGATGCCAGTTCGACGGAACTGCAAATTGATATTGGAACAAGATAAGGTCATTGCCATATTAATCCATCATTCATGTATTCCATACCAATATCTCATTCGCTTGCAGTGCTGATGATCATGCTCTTGACTTTTGGGGTCTTGCCAATGAGCAAAATTATACTTGGCTTCCCTCAGAAACACATACATACACACTCCGTTCCCAGTTCATGTACAAGCCTACCCTGATAGCTGTTATCCAGATCTGGGCTGTAGTTCTGTGATTAAGTTCAGGTTTGGGCTGTTTATCTGTCATTCAGATTTCTATTTTGAAATGAAATGTGTTGAGATCCAAATTTGCCCCTCATATGCTGCGCGTGCAATGCAAGGCTGAGGGCTGGATACCTGGATCGTCTCGGCCCAACGCTACAGAATGTCCCCTGAATCTGAACCGGCCGTATTTTCTGGGCCGTGTCCCGGTATAACAACGGCCCAAGCACGCCCGGACGTTTTGCCGCTAAACGGCCTAGCGTGGGGTGGGCGGATGGCACGGTCCTCACCACGTGCAGCAGCGGAGCCAGCTCCCGGGTAGGCCAGGCACGGTCACCACTCACCACGTCCACCGTTACCTTCTTCACTGCCGATAATAACTATCAACACCTATAAAAATTAGTTGATTACATAAAAACGTTATTTGTCGTTTGTGTTTGACACCGTTACTGTCTCCATATCGATAATTATCGATAGCTATAAAAATTGGTTGATTGCATGAAAAATGTTATTAGTAGTTTGTGTTTGATGACACCGGTTCCAACCACGTGCGCGCGCCAGCGGAAGATGGGTTCAGCTTCCCTGCTGCCGCGGCCAGAGGATGCCGAGCGTGCCTTGCCTGTTTCGGCTTCGGCCGGTCTACGCTGTCGTCGATCAGCCGATTGCCGTATTGTGACCCGTCGGTGCAAATGGGGCCTAACGCAGTGATGCATTTGCTATTCACGGTCAAAGGCTTTGGAAATGCAGAGGCAACCCAACGCGTGACATGAGGCGGAACAGCGAGTGATGAGAGGTCAACCATGCGGTTACGCCACTCGTCCGGCCGTCACGTCGAATCCGCCCGGGTCCATGCCTAACTATTGAACAGGAGTAGTAGTAGTATCCAACAACTAGTCCTACTATACTAGTACTCCGTATCACAAAGCCAGTACACACATGAAACGCGATTACAAATACTACAGGTATCAGAATACAAATCAAGGACCCACAGAGGTAAGGGGAACCATATGCTATTATTCTCCAGAGCTGGGTGGCGCCAAGCACATGATGTCTAACTTATTCCTGTCAGGACCATGGTGGGTCGCTCAACCCGTTTTCTAGTTTTGTTGAACCCGTTTTGGAGATATCCTAATTAGCAATGAAGAACACATCTCCGTTACATCCATCCAGAAGCAGGTGGTGTTTTCTACTGGTACTTACTCCGTATTTTAATGTATAACGCCGTTAACTTTTCGACCAACGTTTGACCATTTGTTTTATTCAAAATTTTCATGTAAATATGAAAGTATTTATATCATACTTAAAGAACATTTAATGATGAATCGAGTCACAATAAAATAGATGATAATTGTATAAATTTTTTAAATAAGACGAATGGTCAAACGTTGAATAAAAAGTCAACGGTGTTATACATTAAAATATGGAGTAGTACGATTTTATATCTGCCTACGAGGTCAATATATTTAAGCTGGTGCTTCCTAACCTAATTAGAAACGGAAATTCGGTTCGGGGGGTTGCGAAGCTTGACAGTTTAACAAACCCTGTAACGCAAATACAGTCATTACTTGATAGGGTAAATCCAACACGTCCATTTCAAGCTAAAGTTACTACTGAATATAATTGTTTTAAGATAATGAAAATGTTTTACATCTCCATAAATATAAAATTCTACCTGTGATATTTCCTCATTTATTAAGGTAGTGACAGTAACATGGTAAACTATCCTGACAATGACATCGTTGCAACGACCCTATCACTAGCTGGTAATCCATTTATTAAGTTTGCTACGGACCTGGTTGATCACTAAAGCTTGGGATTGGCTTGCTCAACCCTCTTACCTGAAAGCCTGAAATGACATCCTGTTTGGAGAGAGGGTCGCGGTTGTTGGAATGTCACCAGAAAGAAAGTCCTGAAATGGACGGCATGTGGGGGCAAAGGCTGTAACGCTGTTGGTCCGTTCGATTTGTACCCTGCAGTGCAGCCTAATCCAATTTATAATTGTCCTACGAGTGGTTCGTTCGTTCTCATCCCAAAAGGGCACCGAGAGCGAGAAGACGAGCAGCGCCGATATCTGATCTGACGACTAACCGCAAACGGATGGTACGTGATATGCAGCTCGCAACGTGGTCCGTCGCCTTCATGAGATAAAAAGGTTTTGAGAGCATGTTAACGTGCATGGCTATTTGGTCTACAATGTCCAAGGCTCCCTGAAAACGCAGGGATTTTATAGGATTTTCACGTAAAGCAGTTCACTTCTTTCAAATTTTCGTAAAATTCCTCCGAACCGAATAAACCCTCAATAGGGATAAAAAAGTTGCAGAAATTCCCGACCAAGAAGTATCATCTCCTTAAAAAGGTACAATTTTCAACTGTTTTCAATTCTAGTCATACATAAAATTTATTTTTTCTTGCAAACGCGCAGAAGAATTACACATTAATATAAAAATTTAATTTAAATTTTTTATTTTTTTTTAATTATTTTTTTCTAATTTCTAACGGTGGGATATCAAAGTCGCTATTAAATAGTTAAATCGATCCATATGAAAGATCCCGGACGGACAAATAACCGGTTTAGTACGAATGCTGATTCGGCCTCCAATGTCCAATGTTCAGACTTCTGTTTCGTACTCACTATCCGGTTGGCGCGCAGTATTTTGATGATGAATATCCAAGTCCCAAACCACGTTCACAATGCCTGACACATTTTGGTTATTTACGCTCCCAGGCAGGTTGCTCGCTGGGAGATCTGAAATGATGTCCCATTGTTTGTGTGATGGTCAATCTGACCAGATATTGCTACCCTATCAAAATTGATCCAGCAGAAATCAGATACTCTATGTGCTCAAACACAGAGTATACACATGACTATATTGGTTGCCAGCTAGCCAGCTAAGGTCAGTGGCTTATCAAAGTGATCATTGCCACGTAGGCGACACTTGTTTTTCCATTACCGGAGAAGCCGATCAAGATCGGACACAAGAGTTGTTGAGAGGTCGATCGGACGTTGCTGCAAAATACGGTTAACTTAACTTTAAACGAAACGACGGAGCTAAACCCACAAGCACACCACGGTTACGACATCAGCTAATTAGTGCCAACGCCTAGTAGATTTCTCCCTCTCGGATCTGATGATCAGATGACTCAACCAAAAACAAACAAATACATCTTCGTCAGATCAATCAGACGACTAGTTTGCTACTACTTGTACTCCTATACTAATAGTGCCGTTAATACGACGAGGAGATGAGCTGATCCACTTTTTGCTCACCTGACCAAGCAACACACGCAACCAACACGAAGGAGAAAAGAAAGCGAAAACGATGGGATCCAACCACCCACCACGCACCATCTACTGTAGCATCGCTCTCCTGCCAGCCATCACAAACCCTTTTACCAAATCAACCCCCAGATATGTCATCAAATCCAAGATCTTTTTGCCGGTTTGGTTGTTGTGAAAAGTGTAGTAAATTGTGTAAAACCTCTATTTGCATTTTCCTTTCTCTATTGATGCAATGATATCATCACTGTGTTACAAATTATTGTCCCCCAAAAAACAGTAAAAAAAATATATGTAACAGGAAATAATTAACAAGTGAGAGGAGAGGAGAGAGAGAAAAAATTAGCAGAGGAGGGAAGAGTAATTCTTGGCCAGGTTTTTACTTGCCGGACTTCTCCGACGATGTGCCCGCCGCCGTGCTGTCTTGGCCGGAGCAGAAGGCGTCGCGCCGGCCGTCTGGGCGGACGACGAAGTGGCCGAGCGACGGCGTGCCGCTGCCGGCGACGCGGTTCTCGTCGCAGAGGAACTCCTTGCTGAGGACCTGCTCCAGCTCGAACTGGAAGTCGTGGACCAGAACGTCGGTGGGGCCCTTGGCGGCGGTGGCGCCGGTGCGCGCGAGGACGGCGGTGGTGAAGATGGACGGCATCCGCCCCGGCGAGGTCGGGTTCCACCCGGACGGCCCGTCGATGAGCACGATGTCCCACGCGACGTCGTAGAGGTCGTTGGGGAGGTCGTTGATGGCGAGGCGGCACTCGGAGAAGAGGAGGTTCTGGATGGGGCGGCACTCGGCGGCGCGCGACGCCCGCGCCGCGTCGAGGAGGTCGCGGAAGTCGCGCACCTTGGTGGTGTAGGAGACGTCGTAGGCCTCGAGCCCCGGGTGGCGCGGCTCCAGGTACTTGACGTAGAACTCGTTCTCCTCGAGGAAGACGGTGCGGCCGCCGTGGTTGAGCGCCAGCCAGAGCGGGGACTCGGCGCCGAGGCCGAACACGAGGAGGTTGCAGGGGCCCCTGGCGCGGAGCACGGCGGAGATGGCGCGGATGTCGGTGTCGGACATGCGGTGCGTGGCGTTGGAGATGGAGGCGAAGTGGACCAGCGCGTCGAACACCGGGAGCGGCAGCGCGGAGACGGCGCCGGTGCCGGAGCCGGCGCTTGCGCCGCCACCGGAGGAGTCCGCCGCCGCGCCCGAGCCCGAGGCGGAGGCGAAGTGGGAGGTGTTGTAGACGAAGGTGACGAACGTGGCTAGCGCGAAGCAGGTGGCGAAGAGGAGGAGGAGGACGCGGCGGTGGCTCGACGACGCGGCCGCCTGTAGCTTGTCTCGGCTGCCATGGGATTTCATCCCCGCGCGCGCGCGCAAGGTGCTCGACGCTCGATCGGCTCGATCTCACGGCGATTCGGGTCGTGGCGAGGCGGGGGCGCGTGGGCTGGAGAGAAGAGGTGGGAATCGAGCAGGGGACGGGGTGGAGATGGAGAAGAGAAAGGTCAGGTCGTCTCGTGCTCGTGCTCGTGCCGAGCTGGGAGCTGAGATTTTTTTTTTCTTTCTCAACTGGTAGTGTAGGCTGTAGACTGGAGAGAAGAGGGTTGTTGCTATCTGTCCTTGCTTGCTTTCTGGACTTCGTCAGTTCAAAATCTACCGCGTAACAAGTGGGCCGTACAGTAATTATATTTTGGCGGGTAAGAGGCAGTCTGGCTCAGTGGTCAACTGCTCGTTACCCTACTCTTATGGCATGGTATGGATTATGGCATGAGCAGTCAGAGCTCATCAAGTCAGTATACGGCATCAATCCGACATGAATGAATGATTGAATGGGATCCGAGTGAGCGAGTGAATGAGTGAATGAATAAAATGGCTAGGGCCAGTTTTGTTTTCTAGTACAGACCAACCAACATAACCCAATATCAAAACGGAAAAGGAAAACCCATCATACTCCTAAAGGAAAAAAGAAAAAGAAAAGTAGAGAGAAAAGCATGATTTTATTTCTTATCTTTTCGTTTATACTTATACTTATTGATACCGTTTATTAGCAACCAAAACATAATTTTTAGATGAAACTTTTAAATATGCATCTTTAGTGATTTAAAAAGCAAACACTATAAAATAAATTATAATGAAAAAACCTTAAAATCAACTTCAAGAATAAGTATTAATGTTTAATTTTGACTTATATGCATAAGCATAAGCTAAACAGTGGTGCTTTTGATTTGTCACTCCACTTTGCATTTGTTTAACAACGTTCTAATTTATAGGTTGCCTGAAATTTGGTAGTAAGACCATGAGCGCACTTGGATTTTATTAGTTGTACAATTAGCTCTTAGTATACAGTAGGATCATCCCAATATACTTGTGTGCTTGCGTATTTTTTTAAAGGATTACATGGCTGTTAGGGGCACCAAACTTAACAACAAACACCCTATATCTAACCAATGCAAAATTACAACTTGGTGCGCCTAACACTGAGACGTCAGTCAGCATCTTCACACACACTGATTAGTCTGGTGAAGTAACCGACCATAGGCATTCTGGCCCACGACTGTGCCATGGAGGAGGCCCGGTCGGTAAGCCCATATTGAAGGCCCACGTCGTCAATCCACCAAACTGGGCCCCCCATGTGCTACTACGACTTTGCACGGGGCGCTGGTTTTGATCGAGTCGTTTCTTCTTGACCTGCAGCTCTGCTGCTTTCGCACGCAACAGAGACCGCATTAGAGTCAGATTAGTGCCCAATCACATCCCAAGCAGCACTGTTCCTTCACATGGTATAAACAGTTTAGTTGCGGAAATGCGGGTATTACCCACTATGATGGACTTATTAATTAAGCGCACGTGGCAAATGATGTGTTTTCTGGAGTACTACTAGTTAAATTGCGTGGTCTGTATTGTGTTAGCTGAAACATGAAGCTGGCCACTTCACATAGGATGAATTGGCGGCAACGGCCAAAGCAAGCAAGCTGCAGTGCCCCAAAGATCCAAACAAAATTGCCCTATTGCCTCCTTCAGAACATAGGAATTTTACGAAATTTTAACATGAAACAGTTTAATTTCTCCAATCTGAATAGGCCCCATATATATATAGGTCGACGTTTGGACTTTGTAGATTGCTGCAGATCGTGAAATGCTAGTGATAATTTGATAGCTTCAACGATCAACAGCAATCGATCGGAAAGTAACGTTCTCTTTTTTGTCAAATGCCGGAGCACGTGAAGCGTCGCTTCTTTCCATGGTGGCCACGGCAGCGTTGTGCTTTACAGTTGACGGCGATGCACGGACATTTGGGCATTGCACGGTGGCAACACGAATCGCCAGCGGCGTCGGTGTGATGTCGCAAGTACAAGGAGAAGAGTCCAACTGGTCCAGAATCCAGATGGAGAGGGGCATGAAATCTGACGGTTTGCCCACTAAACATCAGTGAGGCCCAAACATCGGTGGGCTTCAAAAGGTCTGGTCAGAAAATGGCCCAGAACTATCTCTCGCGGCCCATCTGCCCATCAAAAGTTCACTTGAAGTTCCTCGCTTGCCGTTGAGTTTTAAAATCGTCTCTGAACCAAAATACCACATACAACACATCCCTAATCTTATAAAATTGGGTCACATTAGATCCCAAGACCCAAGATAGTATTGCTCTCGGTTTTAGCTAACGTGATGAGCTTACTTTAGTCAACCAGGTTGAGTCAACATGGAACCTCTCTTACGCTCCACCTTCCATTGGAGTTGTGACTCCGCGGGTATGCTCGGCGGCAGTCTCGTTGGAGTCCAGCACTGACATCTAGGTCTAACATGGCTTTTAATTTTAAACTTTTGCTGTTAGTTTTACGTCAGCCAAAACTACCCTCGATATTAACTTCGAACCCTATCTACCTTGGCTTTGCAAGATTAAGAACAAGTTAGATCTGATATTGCGGTTCACTGACGTTTTCCAAACTCGTGTTAAGACGTGGGTACCTAAAATGAACTTATTCTAAACAGGATCGTCTACCAATTTGTAGGAATAAGTTCACCGGAGGTCCCTCAATTTAACAACGAGATTTTTTGAGATCCCTTAATCATAAAACCAGAAATGTCTACCCCTAAACTTACTCAAACCGTTCACCGGAGGTCCCTCGGCAGTATTTTTACCCGGTTTTACGGACGTGGCATCCTAGTCAGCAAAAAAAATTAAAAAAGTACGTGGGGCCCACATGTCAGCTGCACATCTTTTTTCTTCTCTTTTCTTCTCATTCTCTTCTCTTTTCGCTTCTCTCCTCTCTCTTCTCCTTCAGGCTGGCGGCGGGCGCCGGTGAGCGCGGCAGCGGAGCGGTGGCGGGCTGTGGGCGGAGTGGACGGCAGGCGAGCCCGGCGGCGGAGCGGAGGCTATGGGCGGAGCAGCCGCGCGCCGTGGCCGTCGTCGTCGTCGGCTCTCCACCGTCGTCGTCGCCGTGGGCGAGGCTACACGGCGCGGCCATTCGGCGGCATCGGCCAGGCGTTGCAGTGGCCGTGCATAGGTGGGTCGAAGTGCCGGCTGACGATGCACCACAGTCGCTCGCGCTCCTCCTGTGCCGCGGCAGCGACAGTGGTGGCGGCGGCAGCGTCGCCGGCCTGATCCCATGGTCCTCCCGGACGCTCAGCTCGCGCAGCTGCAGCAGGAGCATGTCCACACTCAGCGTGTCATCGGCGTCGTGGACGGTGGTCGGCGTGGGCGCGGTGTCCCTCGCCGTCTTCGCCGACTTCGCGGTAGCACTTGACGTCGTAGCTCATACGCATATACGCTGGGTACAGACGGCCGCATGTACATGCGTCTTCGTACGAGCATATATATGCATGCATGGAGACGACCAGCTATAGCCTAGCTAGCTTCTTGTTGGTTTGCCGCCCGATAACATGCAGACGTATATATTAGCCAAGCATGTGTATATGGCTGAGCACACTCACATGTATATATGCCATTACGTGCAGCGGAGGAGTGCGGATGCGGGGGGTGCAGCGGAAGGCGAGCGCGGCGGAAGAGCGGCGGCGGGCGAGCGCGGCGGTGGGCAAAGCAGCGGAAGGCGAGCTAGGCGAAGCGGAAGACAGTGGATGGGACGAGGAGCTCCCCCGTGCTCGGCCGCCACCACCGCTGTGCCCCCGCGGGTGCCCGACGATGCTAGGAGAGGCATCACCGGCGGGAGAAGGGGAAGAGGCAGAGGAAGAGATTGTTTATTGGTCGCCGGCCGCCTCCCCCTCCCTCCCAAACTCGCTGGCCTCCGCTCCGCCACCGCGCTCGCGCTCCGCTACACTGTCCGCGGCCTGCTCGCGCTCCACTGCTCGGCCCGCCGCCGCGCTCGCACCTTCCGTTGCTTCGTTGCCACGCTCGCCCTCCGCTACGCCGCGTAGCCTCGCCCACGGCGACGACGATGACGGCCACGGCGCGTGGCTGCTCCGCCCACAGCCTGAAGGAGAAGAGGAGAGAGAAAAGAAAAGAGAAGAGGAGAGAAGGAGAAGAAAAGAGGAAAAAAAAGATGTGCAACTGACATGTGGGCTCTACGGTGTTTTTTTAAAAAATTTTTGCTGACTAGGATGCCACATCAGCAAAACCGGACGAAAATACTGCCGAGGGACCTCCGGTGAACGGTTTGAGTGAGTTTAGGGGTACACATTTCTGATTTTGTGGTTAAGGGACCTCAAAAAATCTCGCTGTTAAGTTGAGGGATCTCCGGTGAACTTATTCCCCAATTTGTACAGTTTTTTTTCTCCCTAATTATTTGGGCCTGAAGCTGTGGGCCTTTCCGATCGAGCTGTAGGCCCGGAACCTTGGCGAGTGGTGATGTGATAACGTGTGGTGGGCACAGTAGCCCCCCGAAGAAACACAGCGAAGCTCCCATCAACCGACAAAAGAACACTGTAACTTTTACTCCACCGTGGGAGGGGGAGGAGGAGCAGGACAGGCACGTGGGTCCCACGGGCTGATTGAATTTCGTGGCCCCAGGTATCAACTGCGATCGGGCCCTCACACCCATGCAGCAGCAGCAGGAGGCAGCAGCAGCACAGTCAAATTAACAATGGACCGCTACGTCGACTTCGGTATAGTACTGGATGGCTGCTCGCTATCAACGGCTCTTTTTCAAACATTCTCCCGAGTATTTTTATTTTCCGGCGAATCCTACATTCCTACCATTAGCACATTAGAATGTTTTTCAGGTGAGGAGGTAGGTACTCAAACTTTGTTTAGATCCAGAGATGGATAACCAAAATGCTCCTGAATATTAGCACTACTGGAGTATGGAGTACTAACTTTCTGTAGAGCCTGATATGTTACCTGCAATGGATTTGTTTTTTTTTTCTTTCCTAGAATTTGAATGTTTGAACTTTGAGCATGAGTGCGTGCAATTGGTTGCCGTGATCTGAGTTTAAACTCGAAAGTGTGCCTCTTTATCCACCCGTTGCAGCGTTGCAGGCTCTCCAAACGATCAACCGATCAAGTGCCAAAAGAAGCACGGGAAACTAAGCTGCAGTGACCACCCACGTGCCGTGGCGACCGCTCTCTGACCCCTCCTCTCCCTTCCCGAGCCTCACACACACACACACCCACCACACCACCCCGGCCGCTTCCGCCACTTCACTCCACTCCACATCACGCGGCCGCACTCCACTGAAACCCACCGCTCACCCAACCCCCCCGAAAACCCCCCAACCCAAGCGCCCACCACGATGCGGCACCGCCTCCGCCTCCTCCTCGTCGTGCTCGTCGCCGCCGCCTATGCCGCCGGCGACGTCGCCTCGTCGTACTCGCAGCCTACGCTGCCCGCTGTTCCCCCGGTGCAGGCCGTACGGCCGCCGCCCGCGGCGGTAGGCGGCGGGTCGCACTCGCAGCCCACGTTCCCTCCTCGCGCGCCGGTGCGGGCCGTGCCACCGCCCGCCACGCTGGTCTCGACGGCGACCCCGGGGGCGCTGCTTGCGGCATTCCTCGCCAAGGCGGATCCCTCCGCGCATCTGCGGTTCCCTCTGGCGGTGTCGCCGTGTTCGCACCCGGCCGTCTCCTGCAGCGCCGACGGCCAGATCACCCGCCTGGTGCTCGAGTCGTCCGGGCTGAACGGGACGTTCGCGCCCGCCACGCTCTCCCGCCTCGTCGAGCTCCGGGTGCTCAGCCTCAAGAGCAACGCGCTCCACGGCCCCATCCCGGACCTCTCCCCGCTCGAGAACCTCAAGGCGCTCTTCCTCGCCGGCAACCGCTTCTCCGGGCCGTTCCCCGCCTCGGTCGCGTCGCTCCGCCGGCTCCGCTCCATCGACCTCGCCGGGAACAGGCTCTCCGGCGCGCTCCCTCCCGGCATTGAGGTCGCGTTCCCGCATCTGACGTTCCTACGGCTCGACGCCAACCACTTTAATGGCTCCCTCCCGGCGTGGAACCAGTCTTCGCTCAAGCTGCTGAACGTGTCGTACAACAACTTCTCCGGGCCCGTGCCGGTCACCCCCGTCATGGCGCAGATGGGCGCCGCCGCGTTCGCGGGCAATCCAGAGCTCTGCGGCGAGGTTCTCCGCCGTGAGTGCCGGGGCTCCCACCTCCTCTTCTTTCACGGTCCTGGCAACAACGGCTCCGCTGCTCCCCCGGTGCAGAGCGCCGCGGCCACCGGCGACGGACCGCAACGCGACGACATCAGCTTGCCCGATTCATCCACGCCGCGTTCGCGGAAACTGAGGAGGCGGGCCGCCATCGCCGTTGCGGCTACCGCCGCAGCGTTCGTGGCCGTGCTTCTACTTTGTGCCATGATTGCAATGAAAAGGGGCAAGAAGCGTCGGCGGCCGAGCTCCGCGGCATACCCGAGCCCCAAGAAGAGCGCGGCCATGTCGGAGGTGAGCAGGGACAACACCGATCTCGGCTATGTGGAGTGCGTGCCGGACGAGGAGACGGCGGCGATGATGATGCCGGAGGAGAAGGCGCGGCGGCTGGAGCGGAGCGGCTGCCTAACGTTCTGCGCGGGCGAGGGCGCGAGCTACAGCCTCGAGCAGCTGATGCGCGCGTCGGCGGAGGTGCTCGGCCGCGGGAGCGTGGGGACGACGTACAAGGCGGTGCTCGACGGCCGCCTCGTGGTCATCGTGAAGAGGCTGGACGCGGCCAAGATCGGCGCCGCGGCGCTGGAGGCAGAGGCGTTCGAGCAGAACATGGACGCCGTTGGCCGGCTGCGGCATCCCAACCTCGTCTCGCTCCGGGCGTTCTTCCAGGCGAAGGAGGAGCGGCTGCTCGTCTATGACTACCAGCCCAATGGCAGCCTCTACTCTCTCATCCATGGTGCGTACCCTGCAGCCTTTGTTGTTCTCTATCTGGAAATTTGATAGGTTGTGTGATTATCATTTGTGCTAGGAGCAATTCTGGTTATTGCCGTTACATCTACTCTAATGCAAATTCCATTGGATTATACTAGTTGGGTGCTAGGATAGCATTACCTTTTTGAACCAGACATTCTCTTCATCCCAACTAACATGGGATGGAATTAAAATTTAGAGAACTTGGGCCACGTGAATATAAATCTGGCAGGAGAATGACTATTTGCCTGTATTGAACATATGCATGTGATGCTTTATTTTACCCTTTTGGGGATGATCTATTGGACTCTTTTCTTTATGGACTGAGTAAACATAGTGAATAGCCATACTTAAGTGCTCATTGATCTATCATGCTAGCTACCGGGTTGGGTGGGATTGAACGTCGGTGGAGCCTCTCACCAAGTGCCTAGCCTCTAGAGTGGACCAATGGTATTATATGTGGTCACTGTTCTATAGTACTAAATATCAATTGAATTCACGAAATGGGTGGTCAAATGGAGTTTACAAAAGGAAAACTGTATTTTCCTCTGTGAACTTAGTTCATCAAAGGCTATGATATGACCAAATAGCAATGCTAGCTACTTGAAATGTGATTGTTGCCAATTTGTTGTAGAATTTAGGGCCTGCTCAAATTCGAGTCTTTTGTCAATGTGGGTATTCTTATAAGTTAAGCTGTCGCACAAACATTAGTGAAAGTTTGGAGCTCAAATATAGTTGTTACTAAGATTTATTTGATATGTTGGTGTTGGAGCAAGGACATATTATTTTCCAAGTAATAGCATGTTTCCTTTAAGGCATGATAAATGGAAGTAATTTACGGATTCGATGATGTTGAAATACATTCCTCTGTACATTACTGTACCTTAGAGCCATACTTTGTAGATGTAGGTTGTATTGATATTGTGTGCACTGCAGGTTCAAGGTCATCTCGAGCAAAACCACTTCACTGGACTTCCTGCCTAAAGATAGCTGAAGACATCGGGCAGGGCCTTGCTTACATTCACCAAGCATCCCGACTTGTTCATGGAAACATCAAGTCTTCCAATGTCCTGCTTGGTTCTGACTTTGAGGCTTGTCTTACGGACAATTGCTTGGCATTCCTTTTGGAATCATCAGAAGTCAAAGACGATGCTGCTTATAGAGCACCAGAAAACATGAAGTCCAACAGAAGGCTAACTCCAAAGTCAGACATATATGCTTTCGGCATCCTCCTCCTTGAACTTATCAGTGGGAAGCCTCCGCTTCAGCACTCAGTATTGGTTGCAACTAATCTTCAGACCTATGTCCAGTCTGCGAGGGACGATGGAGTGGACGTCGAACGTCTCTCTATGATTGTTGACATAGCATCTGCCTGTGTTCGATCCTCGCCTGAAAGTCGGCCAACTGCCTGGCAAGTCCTCAAGATGATTCAGGAAGTGAAGGAAGCAGATACTGCCGGAGACAATGACAGCGATCTTACTAGCAATTCCTAGTCATGGATGGGTTTATGTCGGCAGGATTATCTGAATTCTGAAGTGATCCATTCGATGTTGCATGCATTGATCTGCTCAGAAAAAAAAAGCCAGTAGAACAGTTCCTAATGTAGGTGAATGGCTGCGGGGTCATGATCTCTCTGACTAGTTCGCTTCCAGCTAAGAATTTTAGCATGCTGTAAAATGTTTTCGTGATTTTAAACTTAGTTTCAGCATGCTCTTTGTCTGTTGGTAGTCTTACTAAAGTAGTACTGGAATACCCAGTGCTTAGAACTCTGAGAACTTATATTTTGAACATGGCTCCTCTGTGCAGTGAGGGTTTGTTTATAGTGCTTGTAATGATATGGCCTTGCATATCGAAAAAGATCGTACTCGCACTACTACTACCTTGTACTCCTCCTAGTACATGTTGAAGGACTTCATTTTCAGATACTTAAACTGCAAAGTTCTTGGGGGAGTGTGTGCTCTGGGTGTCATATGGGAATGGGAGTGGGGTGTATGTTGCTGCTTCTGTGGCGCACGCGGAATCAATTGCGGCATTAAGTTGTTTGCACCACTTTTCTTTATATCTAGCTGCTGCTGTTCACTTCACATGGAGAACATAACAATTGTCTACCACAATGATTGTTAGGATACAAGTTGCCGGGCCGCGCGCGTGCAAATATGGCCCATGTAAAGCCCATAAGAAATGGCACTCAAAACGGGGCCCGTACACGAGATGCAGCAGGGGATACTGGCCTGGCCTGGCCTGCGCAGCCTCTGCTGCTCCCTTCTGTTGTGGGCCTGTGCTGCTAGAATCTTACTACGACACTTGCTCGCTAGCACCAGTAGTGTACTGCTGGTTCAGATGCTCCCGTGATGTTTACGCCCACCTAGAATCTTACTAGTAGTAGGCCCTGTTTAGTTGTCACAATAAAAATTTTCACGCACATCAAATATTTGAACACATGTATGAAATATTAAATATAGGAAAAATAAATCAATTAAATATATTGCATGTAAATTGTGAGACGAATCTTTTAAGCCTAATTGTGACATGATTTGACAATGTGGTGCTACAATAAACATTTGCTAATGATGGATTAATTAGGCTAAATAAATTCGTATCGCAGTTTCCTGGCGAAATTTGTAATTTATTTTGTTATTAGACTACTTTTAATACTTCAAATATATGTTCGTATATCCGATGTGACAATCAAATTTAAAAATTTACCAACTAAACGAGGCTTACTATGCTAGCATTCCAAAAACTGTGTAAAATTCGCCGAATCTAGCCAGCTGCTAAGTGCTAACGGTTAATTTCGACGGTTCATTCTTCTAGTTTAGCTTCCGAGTTTATCTGGGCCTGTTTGAGGGAGCTTCTAGCTGCTATAGCTTCTTCTAAAATCAGAAACTTTCCCAATCAGTCTATCTTTTGATCCAGATTCTGAGAAGCTGTAGTTGTAGAATTTATAAAATAAACTAGAAGTCAGAAGCCAGATTCTTATAAACCGGCTACCAATAGCTGCTTCTCAAAGCTATCCCAGGTCCTTTATGGCACGTCGTACCTGCAGCCGTTTTAGCCATTTCGTTGTTGCCGTGTCGGGGGGCCTTGACCGACCATCACACAAAATAAAATCAGCCATCAATGTGCCCAGTTGCCCACCCGCGCCCGGCGCCCTCAACTGGGGAAGGCCGCACCCGCGCCACCCTCCACCACCACCGCGGCCGACGCCACATCACACGCACAGCTCCCGCGAGTACGAAACACGCACTACCAATGATGCCCAGTTGCCCACTGCTACTTGAGAGAGCTCGCAACTCGCAAGCAGCGTGCAGCGAAGCGACGACTTGCTCTCGTGAAACTTGGGTTGGGAGCAACCGAGCAAAGCAAGCGGCCGAGCGGGCTGTGGTATGGGGTTCCACCTGGTGGCGATCGTGGCGGCGAGGGGGTTCCTCCACCTGTTCCACCTCTCGGCGCCGCTGCTGTGGCCGCTCAACCTCTGGCTGCCGCTCCCGCGCCACCTGCCCGCCGCCTGCGCCGCGCTCTACGGCGGGGTTGTCTTCCACGCCGCCTTGCTGCGCCGCGCCTACGCGCGCCGGGGCGGCGGCGGCAACGTCTGGAGCCGAAGCATCCGCGGCGGCGACGGCGGCGGCGGAGAGGCGGACGAGCTCCTCCGCCAGGCGCTGCTCAGCATCTCCTACTGAAAAGCTGACGAACTGCTATTGCTTCTCTCTTCTTCTTCTTGGTTTTTTTTTTTTTTGGGTTCATTCTTTTTTTGTTTCTTGATGCTCTGCTCTTGGTGTTCCACGTGGCGACACCATTGCGAGGTTCACCGTATCAGGTTCAGGGCTGGTTGTAAGTTGTAACCGCGTGATTTTGTGTAAATACAAGTGAAATACGGCCAGAAAATCTCGTCTCAACGTTGCGAATTTTGATGCTGCGAGAATGCGTCTGCACTAGGCTGAGACGGCTTAGACTGACAGTTACGACACGGTTGCAATATCTTTGCCGCTCTGCAAAACGCCAATTACGCTGACTGTGATCAGTGCACAGTACGACAGTAGTGCTGCACGACTCTGAACTCGTCCATCTACGTTCAGCAAAACAACCGCAATTTTAGTGATGGTGTGACCATTTTATGAAACAAACTGTAAATGGGTAGTAAAACTAACACAAGGTTTTCTAAAATAAAGAGTAAAACTAACACAAGCGCAGGTATTATCTAGGATGTCCTGCTGTCCTGATTTAAGCAGGACATTGTGAAATCATTATTATGATTATTAATTTATCATGAACAATTGGTTGCAATGATTTTTATTGAGAGAATTATGAAGAGGTATTAATTTGGTGGAGTGTCATTGCATAGGCGATCTAACCAGAGATGCTTGACAAGTCAGACCAGCCATCACAACAGTCAAACTGATTAACTCGTAATTAGAGTAATTTTTTTCACGTTAATTTTTAATTGTTTATAGCTTCTAATTATTTTATATAGGTATGATATACTGTGTTTATACTAATACTAATCAAGTTAGGAAAGAACTTATTCTCAAATATCGGGACTTGTTTGAGGCTTCAGGGATGTTGCTGGCGATATAATCATGATTAAACCGAGGGGATCAGTAAGGAGATCATACCGGATATTTTGGATAAAGAACAATATATGTGGAGGTAGAGCTTCTATATGGCTTACATGGAAAGTGTTTGGAATTGAAAAAAATGGTCATATTTAAAAGGAGTCTAAATTTAAGTAGGTTTTGAGTCCAAATTTGTAAAGAGATAGTGTATTCCTGGCTTTTGTGCAGTCATCTTTTAAGTATGAATAGAGGAGAAGTTGAGGCTCAAGATGTAGTATCTTTTGGACAGGAAAACTAGGGTTTAGCTTTGGTTTTTGAATTGAGTTAATAAATTAACATAGAAGAGGCACTTTATAGATACATTTGGATACATTAAAGTTAATTATCATGCAAAGAGTTGCTCATAAGTAGATTGGGTTACTATAGGTTGTCAGATCGGGCATACAATGCCGGTCACCCTAGGTTGCATTAGATCAGTTCTGATTTGGTGTACTTCGTCTTTATACTAGCCTCTTTGTCCCGCAAAACATGTCGTTTACATCTCAAAAAATGTCCCACAAAAGCTCTCGTTTCAGCATAAGTATAACATGTATGCATGTTCACTTAATTTGCCTCAAATTAAATAGCACTGAAATAACGACCACACATATTAAATAGAGGGTGCGTTCGGCTGGGCTGCTGCTGCCGCAGCCGCTGCGGCAGCTAGTGCCTCTGAACAGGGCCAGAATAAGGGTAACTTGATTATTTTTACATGTATCCAATTTGCTTAAGAATCCTTAAAACGTCAATCTTTTGGGATAGAGGGAGTATTTCACAAGATTTTTGGTTTCTAAGTTCCTATCCTTCATTCTTCTGTGGCTACATAAAAAAACCTTCATGGGAGGATAACTGCTCTTGTATCACAGGCAGTTACCTTGATTTATCCGGTCCCGGCCGGCAAGCCCGCCCACTATGCCATGCCATAATGCTATCGACAACAGGACCGCGAAAATTAGTTCAGGAGTGATCACTTGATCTGTAGCAATATATCGTGGCATACAGCATTATGGAGTGTACAGTGTGCAGTCTGCCCTGCGCCACAGCTGTCCTGCACGGCGGCAGTATTTGTGCTTCCAATCATTCCAGCCATCATTCCCCTTCATCTTTTGTTGCTTGCAGCGTCAGGATCATTGAAGGCTTTGAAGCCTGAGGACGAAGATGCCACCAGTAACAGGTGGCAGATTTGCTTCATTTTCCGTTACAGTTTCAACGAATCTTAGTAATATTTCAGTGTATTCCAGTACATTATCGTATTTTTCTACAGCTGAATGTCCCTGTTGTCTGAATTAACATCTTTATACCGTACAACGAACGTAGCTATCTGTGCAGGCATGATTGAGGGAACAAGTATGCTTGCACGTCACGATGGAAAAACTTGCCGGTTTCAGTTCATCGATTGGATTTGGATTGATTCATCGTGACACAGTGGATGATCTACAGATCAAATGGATCCCAAATGCAGCCAGGGATTTGCCGAAAGGCCAAAAATGCAATCGAAGTGGCCTCTCGAACCGAGAAAGGCCAGCACATGTACCTTGAATCGACCAAAAAAATTGCGGGGAAACGACCATGTGGCATATATGATAACAAAATGGATAGCGAAACTTGTGCATATCGAGTAAGTGGTTTGTTGATTTTTCGACCAATTACTGTCTACTGATCCTTGTGGGGCTACATTGTTTGAAAGATATATCTGAACTATCCAATCTTGTTCTTGCTTCCAGCTTGACCTGTTCTAGCTCGGTACGCAAAACTACACAAAAATTCAACTGCAATGTCATGCTACTCACTTTAAATATAGGGAGACCAATATTTAAACACACACCCGAGCTAAGACCTTATCCAGTCTTAAAAACGATGTTGATCTGTCTACAAAATGAAACGAGAGTATTTCATTTCTTTTAGTTTCAGAGCCTGCCGCGTAGTAGACAGCTGCTAATGCATTTGCTTGGCATCGACCGAAGCTGTTGTGCATCAGGTGTCAGGCTATCCGTAGTTGGGCCCTGGAAGATGCCACTATGATGTCCGAGTTTAATTTTAAACTTTTTTTTCAAACTTCCAACTTTTCCATCGCATCAAAACTTTTCTACACACACAAACTTTCAACTTTTCTATCACATCGTTCCAATTTAAACCAAACTTTCAATTTTAGCGTGAACTAAAGCCAACATTGCCGATGTCGACATCACATTGCGATATACAGTAATCATTCTGCTTCCGATTACACCTCAGCTATGTTCGGCACCCATTTTCCCAACCCCTCTCCCTCGTTTTCCGCGTGCACGTTTTTCAAACTGCTAAACGGTGTATTTTTTACAAAAAGTTTATACGAAAGTTGCTTAAAAAATCAAATTAATCTATTTATTTTTTTAAAAAATAGCTAATACTTAATTAATCACGCGCTAATAGACCACTCTGTTTTTCGTGCATAATGTTCCCTCGGGAACCAAGAATCGTGAACACAGCCTCAATCCTTTTTTATTCTGTCGGCCAAGTGAGGGCTCATAAGGGCATCTATAATGTAAGCTACTCCTAGAGTGTCCTCACTAACTGAGGATACTCATAGGGGAACTCAGCTCGTAATAGAGGATACCTCTGGATAGTCTCCTCAAAATCTGAAGCAACTTAATAGAGACACTCCAACCCACAATGGGTATCCCAGCCCACAAAGTCCCATATTTATTTTTTCTACCCTACCCCTAATCTCTCTCTCTCCCACCCCCTCTTCTCTTTTTTTCGCTGCCGCACTCGCCTCTCCCTCAAGCCGCAGTTGCCTCTCCCTCTCTCCGCCGCCACCGCTCGCCTCTCCCGTCACCGGCGTCCACCGCCGCTCTTCTTTCTCCCTCTCTCTCGTTGCCGCCCGTCGCCGCTCGGGGGTGCCAGATCCCTCCGCTCATCGCGGGGTCGTCGCCGCTGCCGACGGGGGAGCCATGCGCGGATATGGCATGCCGACGCGGTGGTCAACGGCGAGCCAGATCCCTCCGCTCGTCGCGGGGTTGTCGCCGTCGCAGGGCCATCGCCGCTGACGACAGGGGAGCCACGCGCGGATCTGGCATGTCGACGCAGTGGTCAACGGCAAGCTGTGGCCAGATGTGGTCTTCTTCTTTCCCTCTCGCCGCTGCCGTTTACCTCTCCCTGTCCCTTTCCCTCTCTTTCCCGTCACGGTGGTCAACGGCGAGCCACCGGCGGCGGCGCGGCAGATGAGGACGAGGAGCCGGCGGCCAGTGGCTGTGGTTAAGGGCGAGGGTACAAGGGGAAACATCGGGGTAGGGCGTCGTGTCCACGAGCTCCCCACGCTTCAACGTGGTGCCTGGCTCGGACCCCCCACGAAAAAGTAGGCGAGGCGCGGAGAGAGCCGCGCCCCCCTGCGAGGCGCCGTGCTCCCCTGCTGGGGAATGGTTCGGCCTCAAAAAGCGACGGGAGGCAGACGGCCGTGAGCGGAGACACGGGTTAAGAGTACCCATTGCTGATGGCCTAATAGATTCGTATAACTTCATACTTAGAATGGTCAATGCCCATATCTGAACTTTTACATCCGTGATCACTGATCAGCTATCGTAATGCTTTGTTTTTTCAGCTTATTTATCAGATTATTAACGGATTATTTGCTTTTCAAAAAAAATATAATCTCTTAAAATATTTTTTTCCTACTGTATTCCTTAGCCATTTTTTAAAACTAGTTGTTATATTTGTTTATAAAAATATTTAATTCACTTCTATAATTAAATCAATAATTTACCGTAACAATACGCTTAATAATCCAAATGAAAAAAGAGGCCAGGCTTCAGTGACCTTGGACATGGTACCACTGCTAAAGTAGCGAGTGGCTGAGTGCATGTGGATGTAAAGCTGGTCGGTACAGTTCAGTTCAGACTAGAACAAAAGCGTGCGTACGGGCCCGCAAGCAATCAGGCAGTGTCATTACTTTCTCCCCCAGAAAGGTAAATTCCAGATCGATGCCAATGGCTGGTTGGCCCATGCCAAGAATCTCGCTATCTCCCGACACAGTGTCTCTCACTAATTCCATTTCGCCGTTACGCCAAACTTGGACAAACGCAAGCAACAACGAGAGGTCTCCGGCCGGGCGGCCGGCCGTGCAAAAATTTGTGTAAAGGGTTAATCTGTTGAATATGTTATGTGTATAAAATCGATTACAGTTAACTACTAAAACATGTAATAAGTAGTAGGATAATAATGAAGTTGGACTTTTATCTTAGACCTCTCTTAAACAGAGACACACATATAATAACGTGATGATGGTAGTATAGGCGAGAAACAACTAGTCCTCAGCCTAGCTTTGGTCGATGGTCATGATCTCATAGATACCCTAGGCACACTGTAATTATACTGGATCGAGGAAGAACATTGATAATCACTACAATTGAACTCCCTCACCAAATATATCTTGGTGTAGTCATCACGTTTGGATTTTCTATAACGTTCTTTCACATTACGATCTCTAACATGTTATTGGGACTGGTTTTATAACCGGCAGAGGGTTTGGGTTAACAGTTACCAAACCTGTCAAGCGATCGAGCCGATCCGTCATCCGATCGGATTCAATTATAAAAGCATCTCTCCATCAGCAAGCAAGGTATCGATCAGGCATCACCCACTCCAAGCCATGGCCCTTTCTGTAGCGCGCAGAGCACCACCACCACGCTGATCGGCATCATGGCCGAGGCAGACGGCCGGTAGCTAGGCCACGCGCACGCCACGACGGCCCGCACATATGTAAGCGCGCGGCAGTGGTGGAAACTAAACTGGAGAGGCTCGGAGTTTGGAGATCGAGATGGCTGTTCACGTTGTGCTTCTCGCCGTGCCGGCGGCGGCGGCGGCGGGCGGAGGGTTCCTGCAGGCGTTCTTGCAGTACTCGTTCCTGGTGTGGCCGTTCAACCTCGTGCTGCCGCTGGCGCGCCACCTGCCGCGCGTCTGCGTCGCGCTCCGCGGCGCGGCGGAGTTCCTCGCCGGCGAGATGCGGATGTTCCTGAGCGGGCGGCGCAGGGTGCAGCTGCCGCAGCTGTCTGGCTACGGGCGCTCGTCGTCGTTGTCGCCAGGCGAGCGGAGGTCGCGGGAGGAGCTCGTCGCCTACACCATGGTTGCCCTCGTCGGGATCTCCTACTGATCATGGCGCTCTCGGCATTGTCGGGTGATCGAATGCGTCCTCTCCGATTGGTTTCTCGGAATCACTATTGTCACTTTGTCAGTGGGGAAGTGTTCATCATAGATAGGTTAGCTTTGCTGCTTTCTTTATTTTGATCTTGCACATAAGAAATCCTTCTGTTCTGTTCTTGCTGCATTTGTCAGCTGCGGCTCCTAGCTAGCTCCTCCATGACTCTGGATTTTTTTTTAAAAAAAAGCTTGATGAAACGATGTATATTGAAGAACTACGAGAAACTGGAGTCCGCATATTTTGATTGAGTTTAATTAGCATTTCGTCGCCATCTGATGATTCCGAATGATTTTCTTTGTGTATATATCTCGAAATTTGAAATTCGGTAGAATCATGAGGTGTGTAATTACATATGCAAGTAAGTTGATGGGCGTGATCGTCGTGTCCTAATCTTCGAATTTAAACCATGCACAAGGTAGTTGGTGGTGGTGCATCTATTCTGTTAGCGATATGGAATTTGAACGTGTTTCTTATATACACTTTAGTGTCGTTGTAGAGCACTAAAATTCAGTTGTGTGCTACTGGTATTTTACTGTCCTGATTTTTTGTCGTAGTTTACCCACTCACATATATCATCACTGAAACGTATTTCAGCGTCTCCCCTCTCTTCCACATCTCTCTAGGCCTGTAGGATGGTGGCACGCGGAAACCAATAGCTAACGAGAGAGGAGCTAGACGGTATCACCGAGCTCGAGTGGTGACGGAGACGGGAAAGCTCAGGTTGGCCTTGGTTGTCCCGTCCTCCTAGGTTGATGTTGCCATGTAGCGACGGCCTTAGGCCTACGGTATGGGACTAAACCGAAGAAAATGCAACGACGCGTGCACTCTGTCCCGTGTTGACAGCCCGCAGGCCCATCTCCCTGTTCTACTGTAGCTACCAGCAGCCCATTAGTAATTTCTTCCATCGCCGTAGCCAGGAATAAGTCCCACTTTGTCTCCCTTAACTAGTGACCGAATCTAATCCATGTCAGTGATATCCGGTATTGTGGTTTAGGGATATAGATTAGATTCAACCACTAATTAAGGGAGTCAATTTGGACTTATTCCCATAGCCAACCAAAACTGAGACTATCCAAATAAAGGAACAATCGATGGAGCCTGAAGTTCAGCCCAGTATAGCTAAGTTTGCGGAGGAAAGCTTCGGCCCAGAATAGACCCATCAGAAAGTTTGGATCGCCATCAATGTCAGGCATCTAAGTTAGGCCCATATACAGGACAAAGACAACTGATGGAATGCAGGCTTTCGGCCTACTAGCGTTGCGAACGGATTATCTTGCGGGCCGAGTTGGCCCACAGCCTAGAGAAGTAGTATACGGCATTAACCAATATCAACGTCACCCGTTAGATCTAAAATGAACGGTTCAGAGTGACCAAGAAACAACTAGTCGCAAAGCTTGTTCGGAACTCACGGTCAAACCGTGGTGTGTACTTGCTAGACATGGCATGGGACCCGAGTGGATTTGACGAACAAGCACTGCTGGATTACTGTTGCTACTTTAATTTGTCCACCTCGATCGTTGGAACATGTCGATCAATGCATGGTCGTCGGCCAGCCGATCAGTACACTTAGAGACTGTTGCCAAAATAAACCTTACTAAATTTTGGTATTGTCAAAATTTTTAGTAAGGTTGATAATGTTGCCAAATTTTAGCAAGATAGCTATTTTTGAATGTGGTCACTTTGTTGCCAACGTATATTCTACCAAATTTTGGTCAGTACTGTGCAGTTGCCAAATTTCTGGTCTTTTTACCAAAGTTTGGTAAGAAACCAAACATATGCATAATTTTGGCAACTTTATCAGAAAATGGTATGGTTAGAAATAGCATCAAAGTGAACAAGCCCTTATCAAATTGTCGACGTTTGATGTCGCGATTCCGGTATTTGCATAGTATAGGGATCGTTGGTACCAGGGTATATGCGAGATTGAGGTAAAAGAGATGGAGACGAGGATTTTTATATAGGTTCGGGCCGCTGAATTGTCAGGTAATAACCCTACATCATGTTGGCCGAAGCCGGTCGTTGCTCTTATTCACCATAATTACACCAGTACAATATTTGGGGTAGCATATTTAACTGTTGTCAATATGGCGGCCATAAAACCATCCCGTAGTCGACAACAGGGTAGTCTTCCTTCTTGAGTTCGTGCCCGACGAGATCAGAGACAATGCTATATATCTCCTAACAGTATCCGTAGACACCGTAAAGGACTAGCCATGCTTATTTCTGAAGTCGATATCCGACGTCTTGTCTTGGCGTATGTTGGCTTGTATGTTGATATTGTGTCTTGATCTATTGCTCCGTGTCCCCTCTCCTCTTAGGGGGTCTTCTATTTATACCCATAGGTGTCCCCTTATCCAAGTAGAACTAGGGAAACCAATATAGATACAATCCGAGTAGTCATTGTCGTTTCCATGTAGAACTCTGGTTGTCTTTCCTTATCCGGAACTCCTTCCATATCCGAAGTCAGTTCCCGTATAAGACATGGTATGTGGTGAGTCCTGCCGAGATTTAGTCAACTACTATTAGCTATTAGGTATGTGATATCCATAACCTGATACAAATCTAGTTAGTACTAGTAATCTAGCTCCAGCAAACAAATCGATCAGTAGATCTCATCTCGTTGTTACGCGCGTGGATTAAGATATTGCCCCCAGTTGACAGCGGCATGGTGAATCTGTGATGATTACCGCGAGCAAGGAGAGGCCGGTGCATGCCAAATCTCCCCGATTTCACAGCATCGCGTGGCGCGATCTACTCGATCGATCAAACCCCCCCAGAAAAAGCAAGTCCCAATGCCGGTGTACGTAGATCGATCAACGCCATCACTGATTCACTGTACTGTACTACTTGCGTTACGTACATTGCGAGATTATTCAGACAAGACGCAGCATGAGCCTGCAGATGTGCAGAGTACTAGCTACTAAACTGGTCCCTGACGATTTCACAGCTAGCGCGCTCGCTGTTTGCGCGATGGATGCAGTAATAAGCTGGTAGCTTTTCGCCTACCGTTCGTCGTCGCGCGCTGGTGCGTGTGGTGTGGTGTAGTAGTCTCCCCCACACCGCCAAGTCGCCAACGCCGGTGACCAGCTTGGCGCTTTCACTGATCTCTCGGCACGCAGTCTGGCCATCCATGGCCGCCTTTTTCTCTTTTCCGGGCTTTTTGCCTTTCACCCAGTGTGCCTTTACCGGGATTGCCAAAATCTTTTCAGTAATCCCATCGTGCATATCCATACGTACACGCCTGGCTACTACAACGTACGGCGACTATGTATATATATATGCATTGCAACAATTTGCAATTGCGATTGCATGCGTGTCAGAGATCGCCGGAGGCCGTACGTACATGGATATGTCTGGTTCAACACATTCTCTCTTCTCGCTGGCCACTGTAATTCCACCGAAAAGTAGCTCATGCATTCCCTGTTCTGATCGATGGGCCTCTAACGCGTCGCAGCCTTGTTGTATCATTGCTGCTGAGTAGCAAAAGACCGACCGATTTGACGGTCCCCGACATTGCATGGTGTGTCACTTGCATTGCACCATGCATGGTGTGTAGAGACGACAGACACTCCCCTGCAGGCAATGGACATGGCATGGGAGGCTCTAGCTGAATGACACTACAAATTAAAGCTATCTAAGCCTGAGTACGTGATGACCAGTGTGACCAAGGACACAGGACCAGTGTAGTCCATGCCACAAGCTAAGCTTATCGATCGATCTATGGATCCTGATGATTTGCTGTAACTAAACAGTAAAATATGTTATTTTGCAAGGAAGCATGCACCTCGTTTTCCTGACTGTACCCAGCAACTTTTGCACGAGAATGATGTGTGTCACTCTCTGTATCATTAGCTAAGCTCTGGGATGATGGGCTTTACTTACCTGCAGGTAGTACTGCTGCTTTTGCTGATATATTGCCGGGGGTTATCAGGGTTTCAGGAAAGCCATGTTGTGTACTCCTACATGTAATGTGTTCATAGAGATTACAGGGTACTGCTGCTACATATGCAGTGTGGAGGAATATTTTTTCAGTGCGTACTGGAGGTCTGGAGCCATGGCTCTGTTGATGTGCAGTATCCTGTTGCGAGTTCAACGATAGATGGAGGCGCTAACTCCAAGGTCAACCTCAGCATCAATCATTCTGGGTCTCGCTTTCGTTTGCATGCTTTGCCAATCATATATACTAGCATGTTGCCGCTTCATCGATGGCAGATATGGAGGTTTTTGATGGTCTCCTCATCGATAGCCCCCTCTCTGCCTGCGGCTAACCTAGCTAAATATATAGAGCAAATATATATGGCAAATCGATCTTAGAGATTGCGGACAGGAATATACTTTTCTGTGTTTTGCTTTGCTTTGCTTCTAGCTAGGTCTATATGATCATGCGCAATCATATATGCAGGTATATATAGATGGAGTTGTGACTAGCTAGCTAGTTATAGAGAGAATAGCACACAATATGCAATGCATTCAGACTAGCAGACAGCAAAGTAAGCAGGGTAATTACTTGTCAGACGAAGACTGTAATTTTAACACACTACAAAGTTCATAAATATTTCATTTGAGATATGACTATATGAGTCGATCAGATCGAGCTTCATATATACTAGACCATATATAGTACATATAACAAAGATATTTTTTTTTTATATTCTGGAGCAAATATGTAACTACATTTATGATGGCCAAATACCTGGTCAGATCTTGATCGCAACAGAGGGGGATCAGCAAGCTTGCTGAATTAATTGATCAGGTCAAGTCGTTAAAGCAGACAATTAGCAGTAAACTAAATATACAAAACTGAGAACAAAACTCGTACTGTAGCTAGCTACTCTTTAGCAAGCTCACATCTTTACGAGGAAAAACTGTATTAATTAGCTAAAACATCATTTTTCTCTCTAAAAAAAGGTATAGGTCAATGTACAAGTAACTGGAATTCGATTGGTATTCACAAATCACACATTCACGCTTGCTTTAAAAGGCATTGTAAAGGAAGATTAGTTTTCCCATATATTTCTTGTCAGTCGTCGTCATGAATTTCGACAGGAAAGGTGAAACAGGGGAGCTTTAGCTCCATGCGAGGGAGAATTTTTACCTTTATTACAGCTCCCGCTTTTTCGTGAATTTGATGATTACGATTTTACGAATGCTGACGCCTTTCATCACCAATCTACACATTCCCTGTCGCCCCCATGAAAGGGCACGCCTTTAATTCTCGACTGTTACCTCGATATCTCACACAAAACACACTCAAACCCTCGCTGCCTAGCTTTATCGCCTTCTCCCCGTATAAAAACACGCCAAGATCACGCTTGCTCGCTTAGCCCTAGCTACAACAATCTAATCTATCTCTGCTTCCAATTCCCATACAAAGCTAGAGCTAACTCTGAGTTAAACTGCGACATTACACAATGAGGCTTCACCATCTGCATGTGGCCTACCTGGATCACAAAGCGTCGTCGTCCTCGTCGTCTCCGGCGCCACCATCCATCTCCCCGTCGTCGATCCCCGGATCGGCCGCCTTCCCTGCTTTCTCCTTCAAATGCCTCCGCCCGCTCGCGCCCAAGATCTCGCTGCCGGAGCCGAGGAAGATGATCGCGCCGCCGGACTTCGTCGTCCCTCGCGCCAGAAACGCTTCCAAGCTGCTCAACTACACTGTTAGACACATCAAACCCTACTTGTTCTTGATCGATCGATCGATCAGGTTCATGATCGTGTATATATTTGGTTTGCAGGTGCAGGTGCCGGCGGCGGGGACGACGAGGTGGAACCCGTCGGCGGAGCAGATAAAGGTGCTGGAGATGCTGTACCGCGGCGGGATGCGGACGCCGAACTCCGTCCAGATCGAGCGGATCACGGAGGAGCTCGGCAAGTACGGCCGGATCGAGGGCAAGAACGTCTTCTACTGGTTCCAGAATCACAAGGCCCGCGAGCGCCAGAAGCAGAAGCGCGCCGCCCTCCTCACCCTCAGCACGCTCGACCCTTCCTTGCTGCCCGCTACCGCTAACGAAACCAAAGTAATTAATCAGCAAATTAACCGAATTTTAATAATCCATGAATCTGTAGACATTTCTGCCCGGCTAATAGACATTTTTTGCGTGTATATAGGAGGCACCGGAGAAGAAGGAGAAGGACGTGGAAGATGGATTGGCGAGCTGCAAGCGGCGGTGCAAGGCGTGGGGTGACGGCGCCGGCGATGGAGACGCGGTGGTGGCGACGGAGGCGGCCGGCGGCTGCACCGACGAAGTGACCCTGGAGCTCTTCCCGTTGCATCCCCAGGGAAAAGCTTAATTAGCTGCATGTGCATATATGTATACTCCGTCGATCGTCTGTCACGCATGGTATCATCATGGATTGGCCGGGTTGATGTTGATTGTGGAAATTAAATTCCCTCGTCTTTGCGTGTGCATTGTGTTGTAGTTGGTCGATCGTGTGTTTGGATTGCTTTGAACATATAATGCATTGTGTTGTGGCCGGGTGCTTGATCGGAAGAATATAATCAGTAGTTCCAAACTGGAATTAGCAGTTGCTCATATACATGCATGAATGGTGTAGAGATCACGCAACTATATATGCAAGGTTTGGATATGCTAATTAGGGCTTACACACGCGCATGCATTTCACCACCGGTTATTGATATACGTACTTATCATATATTCACATGTGTATGACATCATCCAGGCATGTAAGGGTGATTGCTATTTTTAAAAGGTCAAAGACACAAACAATTAAGTACATGTTCATATATCAACAAGTCACGTCAATCTCATAACATTATTTCATACTCCCTCCATTTTTTTAAATATGGCGTCGTTGATTTTTGGACATACATGTTTGACCATTTATCTTTATGTGTAGATACGAAAAACACAAGTTATGCGTGTACCTTCAATGGAAAAAATAAAATAAATAATAGTTGTGTTTTTTAATAATATGAATGATCAAACATATATCTCAAAATAAACAATATCATACATTAAAAACTAATTGAAATACTAGTTAGCGTACTTGGAGATTATTGATGCCCCCGCCTCCCCTTTTTTACTTAATGGGAAATAAAAGGTGCATGTATTATCCATCGGGTTTAGTAGTCCTTTTTTTATGGAATATCCATGCTAGCACAAATCTTAATGCAAATCAGACGATGGAAAAATCAAGTTTTTTTCTAACGGAAAACTTGTCGACGTTTTATTAAGCAAAATTGTTATCCAAAAATTAAGGAAAACGGCATGTGTCTTTGTTAATTTATTACGCTATATGATGGACATATATATATATATATATATATATATATATATATATATATATATATATATATATATATATATATATATATATATATATATCAAGCATACTATTTCTTATGCAAAACCAATTAATATTGGTATTGAGATAAACTAACTAGTATCTAGGAACAAATATATAGTAAAAAAACAATATTTTTTTCAACATATCACTGATCCCTCGATAACAAAAACATATAATTCTGGTCACGCGGCGGTTAAACAGTTTTTATTATTTAAAAACACATATTCGTTCTTTTTGTTTTAGTATGAGGATCGCCTTTTCAGATAATTTTTTGATATATGAAAAATCATCAAGTAGATCTGTCTGTAAAAATATTTACATAAATTTGATTTTATAGAGTCTTATGGATATATTTCAACTTAATATATTAGTGATTTTTTTGAGAATAATATATTAGTGATTTTAAGTGAATTAAAATAGCATATATCATAGTTAATGTTTTTCTATGAATACATCACTCGAAAACAGGTAATGGTTAAAGATGTGCAGAGTTTACAGTTTTGCATGCAGTGGAGTAGCAAGTAAAAATGACTAATACAATAAAGTCATCAGGTGAATAATTTAACAATATCGTGGACATAGATTGAGATCATGACATCGGAGACTTTTAGGGGGACCCGTGAATCTGTAAAGTTCGGCACATTAGGTTTTCATTATGATTCTTAATTAAGCTCTGTTAACACGTGGAAGGAAGCGCGTGTAATCCGGCCGCGTGTAAGCGTGTTTGTGATATTGAACAGCTGAACACTCGACAGCTAAGCAGGTCTGGCCACTTTGTTTGGTTTTACATAAGTATGTCGGCTTAATCAAGGTATAGTTGAATCCATAATACAGTGTTTTGCAGGTAATTAATCCATTTCATAAGGGAAAAACCAGTACGTAGTACGCAATACAAAGTACTTTCTGATAGAATCGTAAAGTGAGAAGTTCAGGGCCTGACATATTTTGCACACTGCAAAATCATTTCTATGCTTGTAGCCTACGCATGTTTCAGGCTTTATGAGCCAATTATACCATGGCCTGAGCAGCCCTTCGACTCCAGCTTTATACACTCCTCGTCCCCTCCTTTAAACATCTAGAGTGACATCATACTCATAATTGCGTAAAACATGCTTCCTATGACAATAATTTAGAGTGTGTCAGAGCTTGTATGGCACTGTTGCTGCGTACTACTCCTAAAGACATACTGAATGAAGTTCTGTAGGAGTATATATATCAACAAAGACGTACTGAATGAAGTTCTGTAGGAGTATATCACTGTAACTAATCCTTATGTACAGATAATGTGGTTTAAACAATTGGCAACAATTTTCTTGACTGCAGGAGATGGACACATTGACCAACCTAAATTTCTATGTATATATACAAAAGTGATTTCATCCCTTAAGAGAATATCCATTGGTTTATTACATATCATCTAATAGTCAATTGATTGTTCTTAAAAAATAATATTAAAAAAATAATAATACAGATTAATATGAAATATATCACTCCACGAATATGCCAGTTCAAAATTAACTTCTACATGTTGTAATAAAATAATAAATATAATTGTAAATGTGCGTTAATTATTTTCAGTATAATTTGTCCTTTTGTTGCAAGTTGTAGAAATTGGATTTAGCCTTGCATATCTGTGGAGTGTTTTATTTTATATTAATTTATATTGTTAATTTTTTAATTATTTAGTTGATATGAAAAAAAAGATATCCTCTTAAGAGATGAAAATCCATACTCGTGTATATATTAGTAATATTTTATAATGCACGCAGTCGCCGCATTCATCCGGGTGGTCAAAGGGTGAGTCTGACAGAAGTATACATACCCTGTGTTTGTGTTTGTACCACTGAGATTGAGGGCTGCAAAACCTGCAAACTCGCAAGTTGTACTTTGTCACATGCACGTACGGTACGGCCGCGCTATCAGCTACACGCGGAACGCGTTGCTTATAGATAAACAGTTGCCCTTGCTTAGGCAAACAGTTTCCTCTGCTCTGATGTTGTGCTCTTTGAACAACAAAATACCCAGAAAAAAAGGGGCGGAAAAGCGACCGATCTCAGGGGCCGGACGGCGCGCGGTGTGGATCGTCCACGCGCGCTCGTGGGCAGAATTTCTCTCAACGAACGGGAGATCAGATGTACGGTGGCGCCTACGAGCGAACGAACGAAAGGTGTGAGAAAGACACGCGCGTGAGGCCAAGGCATTGCACGCCGCCTGATGAGAAAATCAAAAGACGATCCCGCGCAGCTGCCTAGCAGCAGTAGCAGTAGCAGAGCAGGGGAGGCAAAGGCTTCAGCGAGTCGCAGCGTATGCACCGCATGGCGTCATTGGCCCCCGCCCGCCTGTGCGGTGTGCGCCCGGGCCGGGGCGGCGGCCGTGTCCAGTCACCGGAGCGCGCGGGGGCCGCGCCGTGATCAGCCAGCCGCGGTGTGGGGGTGGGGGAGAGAGTATGGTGCATGCGAATGCGGTGCACTACCGCTTTTGTCGCTCTTTTCCGAGACTCCCACAGTGGGCAGCGTGGCCGGCTTTCCTTTCTCTTCGTCAAAGCAGAGGAGAGGCAGGCAGGGGCTGGCCGGCCGGCTCGGGGCGCATGGACGTGCGCTTGGAAAACGACGACGATGGCGACGACGATGATGCAGGTGGTGGCGCCCATGCATGCGATGCATATGGGCCGTGTCGCACAGGAGCGGCAGGTCCCGTCCTGTCGTGTACCGCCGCTCTGGCTCTCGCTTGCGCAGGGGCCCCTCGCTGCTGAAGTAACCTTTTTACTGTGCAGAGAATGTAGCCTGTAGCCTGTAGGTAGGTCGGCTTGGGTCCTTGATGTGTGATGAAATGGGGTTCGTCCATGCTTCTGTACTACAAAGTTCTTTTGTGTGGGAGCAACTCTCGTTATATCGGAGCAGTATCGTTGATATTTTCTCCGAGTATTATTTGTGTTCCATTCCATCTGAGTAATGCAGAGGCATATCACGGTTCACCGTTCACGAGTATCTCAAACGCATCGACGATTGCTAATTAGCACAGCTATGTTGCCAACGGATACTTCTTTCCTCTTGAATCAGGGGTAGGAAAAAAATAATACTCCTTTTCCCACTTATTCTAAAGACAAGACGAATTCACGAACTCAAAATGTAATCATTGTTATACGATGTGGTATATTGATATGAATATGCTCCGTGTCTTGCTACAGGATAGGACCAGCTTATATAGCCTCCAGCTCTACATATGAAGCTAAAAACATACCCAATGACACACGAGAAGTTACTATAATGTGCCCTAAAATAGTTAAGAACATAGATATGTGCTTGAGTGGTCCCTAAGACTATTGGCATAGTTTGTAGAAGTGGTTGAAGCAACCCCCGTGACATCTTCTTAAGGAATATTTCTCGTTCGCTGGTGTAATCATCAAGTTTCCTTTCCCCCTTATCGAATAGCATGTTTCTCTTGCAATGTGCTCGAACACTATTCTCCTGGCTGGCCAACCTTTGCATCTGATGACATGAACGCCTCCTATTCACCTATCATGAAGGCTCGAGAAGTATTTGCCTTGGATTAAAACATAACATGTGGGTGTTAGAAACCGTATTTCGGTCCAATAGGAGATGCGATGTTTAGCCCCCTGCTACAACACATAAGAAACTTTCAACTTAAATTATACGAAACTTTCTCAAAACTTCTATATTGCATTTAAAATTTTAACCAAGAATCATAAAATTGGCATTTAAAAATATGTGCCAAGAATGCAGCTACGCTACCATAATACTACATCCGTTTCAGGTTATAAAACGTTTTGACTTTGTTAAAGTTAGCTTCAAGTTTAACTAAGTTTATAGAAAAAATAACAACATTTTCAACCCAAGACAAATTTATTATGAAAATATATTCAATTACTGAGTTAATGAAACTAATTTGGTATTATAAATATTACTATATTAGTCCATAAACTTAGTCGAAATTGAAGTAGTTTGACTTTGACCAAAGTTAAAACGTCTTATAACCTGAAACGGATGAAATATTTTCTATTGTCCATGTTACGACCGTTTCTCCTCAGTTTTTGCACGCACATTTCCCGAACTGCTAAACATTATGTTTTTAAAAATTTTATTTTATAAAAAGTTGTTTGAAAATATCATATCAATTGATTTTTAAAGTTTATTTAACTAATGCTTAATTAATTACGTGTCAATTCATTGTTCCGTTTTCCTTGTATATGGGAGAATTTCCCAACTTCAACCAATGAACAGGCCTAAATACTAGTAACAATTTTGCATCGCAGTGCCATTTTTTGAAGGGAACTTAGCTATCACCTCGCACTTTAAACTAGGTCAAATCTTGGCCAGTATTGAACTTTGAACTTGATTCATAGTTAGGCCCAGTATCAAACCGTTGTCGGCCCGAGCTCTCTGTTCAGACCGTGCGAAGCAGAAGGAATCAAACCGGCCTCCACGGCCCAACCACGCTTTCTCCCCTCCGCAAGTCCGCAACAGATTCATCGAATTTTTTTCGTTTTCAGATTTTTTTTTAATATTTACAGAAATAATCTATCGGTAAAAAAAATTGCAAAAATAGACCCTGCCGCTCCAATGGTGAGCGGCAAGTTGACGTGGCAGACGGTGGGTCGACCGCGCCGTCTGTCGCCGTCGGCCAAAATTGCGATTAGGCCGGGAAGGGGCTAATTACAATTTTGGCCGCCCATAAAAAGCTTGCGGCTGTACTTTTTGCATCTGGGTCCCTTGCCGCCCTCTACTGGGGCGGCAAGGGACCCAGATGTAAAAAAGTACGGCCAAAAGATTTTTCTATGTTACGTTAATAATAAATAAAGAAGTATTTATTGGTAAAACTTGTTAATATTGTTATAAAAATGTATTGAAGTTGGTTGTTGCGCAATTTCATATGTTAAGTGAGGTATTATTTTGTACCTTATTCGACGTATTAGTACTCGGATAATTAATATAGGCCTATCGCAGTCTCGGTCGTAGAAACATTATATGGACTTAAACAAGGAGAATTATGTAACATGAAGAAATAGTAGTACAATTTGAACATGATACAACTATTTCCATTGCGGTTACATAGATGATATTAGATTCGAACTAGGAGGGAGGTAGTGCAATAGTTGAACACAACGACGATGTAGTAATGGGACAAGGAAGCATGACAGTAGAAATTTCAATATGCCAAGTTGTCCGATAATAGCTAACCCCTACGTGAGGATCTCTCTCCTCTCTCAAACCGCGCTTTAGTAACCCTGTATTGCTCTGGTAGTTCAAGCTGCACAACACGGCTAGGTGGAGTTAGAACCCTTCTGGTGTCTATCCATTCTCTGTATTAACATCTCCTTAGTGGTTCCTGGGAGGAAAGAATAGATGTAAAGCGAGCAAAGTTAGTAAATGTTGTGACAAAATAAGGATTCATGTAATCAAAATATTCTTACCATGAAATCATCGTCAAGAATATTTGAACAAACAAAGAATCTTCGACCCAATGTTGTAGGATTTATGGAACGAAGAACCTGACAACGATCACCACACCTGCATCTTGGACGGGCTTCCCATGGAGGGAGTGCCGTAGTTAGCACCCGCCAGTCGCTCTGTTGTTCACGACATTGTCGTTCATAAGCCGCTTTTCTCTGTAAGTATTGCTCAGTACTTTCGGATGCGAAATACCAACGACCTTCTTGTAAACAAGTGGTTAGGTCGAGAACGGGATTTTCTGTATCGACCCACTCGATGTATGCGCAAGCCGTAGTGCGGGTCTGCCGAATAGAGTAGTGTTACGAAGAATAAAATACCTCACGATCATAGTTAGGGCACCTAAAAAAGCGCCTTCCTCGAATATCAGGATTCCTCGAAGCCATTAGTTGGCATCGATCACCGCATCGGCAGAGAGGACGCTGGCACCAAGGTGGTAGTAGGTATACATAAGGATCGCTACGCCAGTTTGGATTCTCAACACCCCGGCATCTAGCCATTGACGAAAGCCGGTAGGATTTGTAATGAAGCAAGTGGGGAAGGGAGTACTGAATGTAACTGAGTTCTGAAAGATTGTGAGCCCTCACTCGTTAAGGCGACTTATATAGGCGCAAAAAATCGAGTGATACCCCTGACATGTGAACGTGGTGGGGTATGGTGGGTACGCCTGATTGGCGCCGAAAGTTACAGCCTGATCGGCGCCGAAAGTTACATTGGTCGTATGCGCCAAATGGCGGGCAAATACTCGTATCGCACGCGAATAAAGGAGGCTGCATCGGTGCGGCAGAAAGTAATCGTGCATGCGCCGAAAGGTATCGTGCACATATAACAACAATGACATGGCCTGTGGAACATCGAGCTCTAGTGCAAGGTACCCAACAACACAGGTTTGAGATACTATGTCAAGATAAGGCAGGCAGGGGTATCTACCGCAAGAGAGTGAAGCAGGAGTGTGTTCTCAAAGCCGACGACACATGTCATTGCTCTTGTGCAAAGCCGACGGCACATGACATTGGCTTACACAAGACTTTCGTCAATGGCTTACACAAGAGGGTATCTAGAAGCCGGCACATGTCACATTCAGTACTCCCTTCCCCACTTGCTTCATTACAAATCCTACCTGCTTTCGTCAATGGCTAGACGCCGGGGTGTCGAGGATCCAAACTGGCGTAGCGATCCTTGTGTATACCTACTACCACCTTGGTGCCAGCGTCCTCTCTGCCTATACGGTGATCGATGCCAACTAATGGCTTCGAGGAATCCTGATATTCAAGGAAGGCGCTTTTTTAGGTGCCCTAACTATGACCGTGAGGTATTTTATTATCTGCATATGCTTATTCATTCCGTATGGGCAATCGCTTTATTCTTCGTAACACTACTCTATTCAGCAAACCCGCACTACGGCTTGCGCATACATCGAGTGGGTCGATACAGAAAATCCCGTTCTCGACCTAACCACTTGTTTACAAGAAGGTCGATGGTATTTCGCATCCGAAAGTACTGAGCAATACTTACAGAGAAAAGCGGCTTATGAACGACAATATCGTGAACAACAGAGCGACTGGCGGGTGCTACCTACGGCACTCCCTCCATGGGAAGCCCGTCCAAGATATCTACAATGATCCGGCGTCTAGCCATTGACGAAAGTCTTGTGTAAGCCAATGCAACGGTAATGTATTGATTCCAAACTAGCAGATCTGCGTAGTTACCGATATCTACAATACGCACTTCTAGATTAGTACAACTAAAACCCTAAAAATATAATGCATTTATTCAAACAAATTTTTAAAAAATACACACTATTTAACTCAATAGTCACATATAGGATCTATGAATATTACCTGAAATCGGCGTCTGAATCCGGCAGGGCTTCGCCCCTTCTTCTCTTCTCCTCCCCTCTCTTCTTTTTTTTTCACTGGATTTGAGGGGGGAGGAATGATGGCTGGGGGCTAGGCGGCAGGCCTTTTATAGGCAGCGAGGCCTGCCGCCCGGCCAGAGGGCGGCAAGGGGCCGCCTGCAAAATGGCCGGCCCCGACTGGCTTTTTTGCATTCGGGCCCCTGGCGGCAAGGGTTTTCCTGCAAAAAAAACCCTACCTCCGTCACCGCCCGTTCCTCTCCCGTTTGCCACGTCAGCTTGCCGCCCTAGAGGTGTGCGGCAGGGTCTATTTTTGTAATTTTTTTTGCCGATAGATTATTTCTGTAAATATTTAAAAAAAATCTAAAAACGAAAAAAATTCCAGATTCATCGAGCGCCCCTGCTGAGGCGCCGACCACCGCCGCCCAAACCCTTCCCTCCCAAACCGATCCCCTCCGCCGCCTGCGCCCCGCCCCTCTCGCCCGCACGAAATCCCGGCCGGCGCCCGACCACCGCGGAATCACGCGCGCGCGACTGCCGACGACCCAGGAGAGTCTCCCCCCGCGCTCGTCCGCGTCCGCGACACCGAGCACACGATCAAGATGAGAGGTCACTAGGTCAGTCTCTGAAACCCTGAATTTCTCTCCCCGTATCGGTGCAGAACTTTTCAAAATCCTCCAAAACTAGGGCAATGCTGCTACTGCTGATCCTCCTCTGGGTGGGATCCCACTGCAGAAACGCCAGGATAGGCATAAAAACACGCGCCGATAAACCAGCCGTCTTCCAGAGATCTATCATAACTAGAATTAGAGTTTTCTGTTCACTTGCACGGTAAACCAAAGCAGAGATAGATTCATAAGCTCAAGCAACAGTGTAATGGTTGCGGAAACATTGCAAATCACGCTAATACATACCGCATGTTACATATACATTGCACTGTTCTTAGTTCTTACTACCAACGTGATCAAAACGACACAGCTCAAGTGCCAATCGGCCACACTTAATTTACACCTGAAGAGGGCAATCCATCATCCACGGCCACACTTAATTTACACCGGAGAAGGGGCAATCTATCATCCATGGAGGCTAAGCAGTCGCAACGACATTTGGCCTGGTCATGGCTTCCTTTCTCCTTCCTGCCAGAATCCTTTTCAGCAAGTTGGTGTTCCCCTTCTGCTTGCTCGGCATAAGTGCTACTACCTTGAGAGCAGCCTCATCCTTGCAAGTTCCATTCACATCGTAGGGCCTCATTGGTGGTGCCACCGGCATTGGGTGGGAACTGCATGTTACTGAATCATCGCCTCCGTTGTCGACAGAGCAACTTCTTTCATGCCGCGATCTTAGTTCCGCGCATATGATCTCCTTGGTTTTGGGGGAGCTGAGGTAATCGAATCCTCCATCATCCATGGCTAGCATCTCGTTTAGCGACTGAGACCGGGGTTTTCGCTCAGACTGAATTTTTGTATGAACCACTTTGTCGAAAAGGATCGCATCCTTTGGAGATGCAAGTGCTTTCAGTTGCTTTCCCAGGTTTAGGATTGTCTCCTGACACTCGATAAGCTTCTCTGATGCTGTTGAGATCTCCAGCCGCTGTAGACACAATGGGGAAAGTTGATTGAGTTGTAAAAAAATATATATAATAAAGGTAATACTTTTTCGCCGGGCTCATAAAAGTATTACCCCCAAAAAAACCAGACAAAATAAAAAAAAAGACAGATAACAGAAACAGAGTGAATGGGTAATAAAAAAAATTGTAGCACTACTAAATGGTAATAAATTTATATCACGTCCTATTCAACTTGACTCAAAATTAAAGAAACAAAAAACATATTAAGCAAGACTGACTGCTCTTTATTTGAGCTTGCCTGCAATTTGTATTACAAGAACAAAAGCAATGCTATATATTACAGACAGGATTATCATCGGTGGAGCAAATTACTTGCAGATACAAAGCACAAATATGTAACACATTCTCCAAATGAAATACCTAATACATTGCAAAGTACAAAGGCAAGTTCCAGAATAACAAACTAACAAAGTCAAGAAGTAAAATAATGTGGATCTTACCATCTGTACATGCTGATCTTCATTCCTAGAAACACATTTTGGACCTTCTTTAGCAGGGAAACTGTTTAGAAATAACTGCATTAGGCATAATACTATGAAGGCTAAATGATGAAAAATAAATAACTGAAAGAATTACCGTTCTAGCTGAAGCTTGGATTCAAGAGAAGACACTCCGTGTTGATTGCCCTTGTTTATGTCAGAGTTGGATGGTTTCCCAAGTTCATTGATTGTGGATTCACCATCGACACCATGTGCCATCATTTTTCCTGTTTCTTTCAATGCATTAAGCTCTGCTCGCAGGCTTGAAGCTTTTCCTTCTGATTCCTCACATTTAGAGACTGGTATTTTATTCCTGAAAATTTCTGAGTCATCATCAGCTTTATATCCAATATCCATTAAGCTTGATACAGATACTATCGCCATCTGCATCTTGTTAGGCGTCCTGGGTTCACACATGCCATCTGTTGTTTGGATTCCGGTGTGCTTAATTACTGGAACAACTTCTAGTCCGGAACTGCTATTTATCTCCAAGTTCTTTATGATAGTCTCCCTCATGTCTGATACATCTTGGAGTGAAAAGCAGTGGCTGATTATCCAGTCTAGTGTGATATTGATTTCAAGCACAAATCTTTCAACATCTGTACTCCCATACAAAAGCTCGTTACACCCAAGGACGAAATTTTGTAGTACAGAAGTAAGTTCAGACGTTTTCCACAGGAATGCACGTGCAACGTAGCCAGTCAATGTGTTAGAGCGGTCGCCCTCACTGCCACCAGAGAGCACAACAGTGCTACTATAATCTTTTGATGATCTCTGGACAACACCCTCAATAAGTTCTATCAACTTCAGGACTGCCTTCTCAATCTTGTGCTGACGGAGTTGGTCAGATGTTTCAATAGGACCATCAACTGTTACTAGCTCTTTCCCTGATGATTCTCTAGACTCCCTCCTTGAATCATACGATTCTGTAGGTTTCGCATCACATGCCAATGCTAACTTTTCTATCTCTTCAAAGTCGTCCATGAAACTCAAGTCTGATACTCCGGTACTCTTACAAGAGGGTGTAGTCAGCTTCCCCTTCTTGAAGTGTTCCAGTTCAGAAATCAAGGCAGACGCCCATGAGCTTGAACAGCTGACATTATCTTCATTGCAACCGTCCTCGGAGATTGATGATAGAGGGTTCTCGACCACTGTAGGACTGCATTTTACTAAATCTGTTGCAACCCGACCTCTTGATAACTCCTCAAGCTGAGCTTCAACTTGGGAAAGTTTAGAGGTTGTGCGAGCAAGCATGGTCCGCGAATACTGGAGCTCACCATCCTTACTAGAAAGAGATTCCTTCATAGTCTTATTTTCGTCTTCCATCGCATGCAGCCTTGCAAGCAATGAAGAACTTTCATGTGATGCATCATAGGAGTTCTGCACTAGATTGCCTGAGTTGAATGATGTTGTAGAATTGAACCTTCTCGTCCTTGTTATTACTGCATTGTTACCCAGTGTTTCAACTTCATTTCTCATTTTAGCAATGGCAGCAGGGCCTGGTAGCCTTTTACGTACCATTGAACGCAATCTCTGGCATTCTGCTTCAAGTTTTGTAATCTTTTTTACATTCTCAAGATGTTGTTTATGTGCAGCATCAGCAGATTTCAGGTTAAATTTCCTTTCCTCACTTCGAATATCAAGTTGCTTCTGCAGCATGCAAACCTCATATCTAAGAGAAGAATTCAATTTGTCCGCTGACTCTAGTTTTACCTCAAGGTTCTTGAAATTTGACTCTATCACACCCTTTGCTTCAGTTAACTCTGAGATCATTTTCTCTTTCATTGAGAGCATTTCAGAAAGTTTCCTATTCTCGGCATCCAAGCTAGCAATTATGTTTATTTTCTCTACTACATCTCCTTCCAGCCTCTCAACTTTAACTTGCTCATGAGAAATCAGTTTAGCAGTGTCCTTTATCAATAACTCCCTCTCTACCATGGCAACATTTAGAGCCTCATCAAGATGGCAAATCCTTTGCTCAATTGCGGCTTTCTGATCTAGAGTATCATCAAGTTGTGTCTTAATAGCTATTGCTTCACCTTCAGCTTTCTCCCAACCTAGAATAGTTGTAAACCAATAACATGAATTGCAGAAAAAAAGAATTGCAGAACTTTAATTGCCATTGTATCTGCATACTTGCAGCTGTCCATTTCTCTTCTAGGATGGAAAAATCATGTGCTTAACTAGTTTTGAAACAAGAACATGTATCAGTTAGCGAAAAGTGAATGGAGTTTTACCTAATATTGCTTCTTCTGCCACTTTTGCTTGCTTAGCTAAAATAGCATCCTTCTCCACGCATTCAGCTTGAGCAAATGAAATCTGTTCATTTAAGCATTGCAAGGATCTCTCTAACCGTGCAATCTTCTCTTTCTGCAGGGAAGGAAAAGTTGAAAATCCAGATAGGAACATATCATAATTCATAAGGCTTCTTAATAATGTTAAAGAGATAAGTGATGTACCTCCTGTTCCCTCTCTGATATATTGGCTTTGTTCTTCGTTGAAATTGTCCTTTCTGAGGATTTTTTTCTCCAAAGCCATGTTTTATTATCCATTAGTGAGATGCTAAATATCTATCAATATTCAACGCCGTTCTAAACTCCCTAGAAATTAATAAGAAATATAAATGTTAGTAAGATATATTCCCACCAAATTGTACAAAAGGTGGATACAGACAGAACATTTCCTTGGGTGCTATTCTATTAAGAAACTGAAATTGTGTGTATCAAGTCATCTTTGCAAAACTATCCCAAGCTAACATAATCTGAAAGCAAGTTGTATTTTATCCCAGTTAAATTCATATAATTATATCGTATACACGTTAGTTTTTTATTCCATGAGACAAGGTTGAAAAATACAAGAATTTGGACTCGTGGACTAAAACAAAGAAATCCCTTTGAACACTTTCTAAGCTTAATAAAAACTTTGGCTGGCGTATGCCAGCTCAGCAAGTATTTTGTTAACCAATGATTGTTCAGAAGTAAAGTACTGTTAATTATCTGCCATGTTAATAGAAATTGACCACTATCTAATCTACTATTCATGATTAATAAGTTTCTTCATCAGCTAACCATAATATCATTTTCCTTTCAATGCAGAAAGCGATGCTCAGCTCAGAAAAGAAAGTAAAGGATATAGTGAAGCTTGTTCTGTTCCACTCTCTTTGTACCTACCACTTCAAAAGGTAAAGTTTTTGGCAAAATACAGCTATAGAGTTTCTTAAAACAAATTTTAACAGAATTGCCCGTCAACTTTTAGCTTCTGTGTCAGCTCCAATAGTGGAAGCCCATTGACATTGAACCTATCACTTTGATCCAGAAGCGTCACCAACCGATGCAATTAAAACCAGCCGGTACAAAGGCATTTATGTGACTCAGGTACGTCCTCTCAGAAGTCAAAAGAACTGAAGTACTTAAACACCTCTAAAAACGAAATGCTTCTTCTTTGTCTCGACAATCTTTAGGGCCTACTATTTTGATGGCATTTACTATTTTGGACAACTCGAATATAGTAGTAAACCTTAAAACCTCTGAACGAAGTTTTATTGCTAACTGGAGTGAGGCCCAACCTCACAATATCTATTTAGACAGTATTTATGCAAATTGATTGCATCTAAATCTAGACAAATATACAATTCACAAGGAGGGCAAGAGAAGAAGATGAGAGAAAAGAAAGATGCAGAAACAAGCAGTCAGAGCTCAGAAGTCTAACTCTAAACCCACTAGAAATATTAACTCAAAATAAGCTTCCTTCTGCGCAGCAGGAAGTGAAAATGGTACATCAGCTAGAACTGATGGCGAAAACCCCAAAAGGGCTCCACGGTGAAACAAGAAGACAGGATCCCTAAGAGCACCAGCAGTTTAGCAAGAGCGGCTTCTGCAATCGGCATGCATGTTAGTGTAGTTAAGCAATTAAGCCAAAAACATCACCATCTAACTAGCTCCAAACCCATTAGGTCCTTAGCCCAAGCTCTAGATTTCCCCATCGTTTTCCCAGCCAGCAAACAAAGAAGAAGATGGAGTGTGCTCACACCGCGCATTGACAAAGGATCCAAAAGGGCAAGAGTAAAATAGAAGGAAGCAAGATTTTCAAGAACTCAAGAAAAGGCACTAGTAGCCAGTAGCCAGTGAGGTGAGGTGAGTGAGCTGAACTGAACTGACCTCCAGTGACAACAGGTGGTGGCTCTGCTGCAGCTCACCAAGAATGAACTGCCGCTGCCTCACTGTGAGCCTGTGACGGCATCCTATGGAGGAGGGAGATGAAGACAAGGACACAAAGGTGGATGGAAGGGAGAAAAAGGTGACACGGGTATAAGAACAAAGCGATCGTTCAGCTTTTCCCGTGGGGCAACCGCTGGGGTCTCACTCCGTAATTTTTTTCTTAGTAGATCCTTGCAATGACACATGTACCAGCGGATACTGATGCTGCGTATTGGCTCACTGGCCTGTGGACCCGGGGCTCAAATTTAGCCCTTTCTCGGATTTTAGCTATCCGTATGCGCGGTGAATCCTGTGATGCTGTGATGAAAAGTCGATTTAGCTCGAGAGTGTTTGCCTAAGTTTGGGGCTTTTAAGTGTCGGCGGTGCCGTTGGACAAGAGTAGAATGGAGTGCAATAGCAGCATTGCACTCCCCATTAAATTACTGCTCCTGTTGTCCCCATAAGTACAGGAGTATCTTGTGATTCCAGCAAGTTATGACAATAATTACCTGTTTTTTGTCCAGGAGAGTTCATTGCCAGCTTGCCACAGTACAAAATGATTTTCGTGAGCACATTCATCAATAGTGTAGAGAAGGGATCAGTGATGACAGAAGAATACTAGTTGTTGGCACATATAGTACTACCGCTACTACAATGGTTTACTTAGTGATTAATTACATGGATATTGGATAACTAACCTGAGAGTGGATAGGACCTGCAGCAGTGGCCCATAAGGAGGGCGTGCATCAGTGGCATCGACCACCGTCAGCTTAGAACGTTTGTGAGGTTTACCCACCTAAATGATTGGCACTTATCACATGTATTAATGGTTTGATGCATGAATCAAGGGACAGCGGATTGAAAGTACGGACAACTTGTTTGTGCTACTTACGTTGGAAGTGTACACCTCAAGCTAGTGTGACATCGGTTCATCAATCCATCTGTCGGGCTGTCTTGCGCACCACCAGGAGGAAAGATTGCCAGCTATGTTCCTAAAGCGACACATATATTTGCTGCACGATAAATTTAGCGTCATATACCAGTCAGTGGCATCAATCTTAATTCACAGTCCACAAGCCAACAGATCTGTGAAATGGATCGGTCAGTGTCTCAGTGGCTGATTACTTCAACGATTAGCTCCACGCAGATGCAGTCAAACGCTAATTTGACAATCTGCTGTAACGGTCGTTGGACAGATCGCAGAGGTGACAAGTGGGGTTCCATGCAGCGCAGTGCAGTACCACGGACAAGCCTTTTCTCTGAAGCAAAATATGAAGAAAAGTAACCCGTTGAGAAGAGAAGAAGAATTTACTTCGAGTAAAAGGCTGAGCTGAACATCCAGGTCCAGTCCATGCAGGCTGGCCCGGTGCCAATCTGCTGGACCACCAGCCCATAGCCAAACCAAGCTAAGTAGACTTTTGGGTCCACCGGTCCATCCCGCCGCATCCGTGGAGTCACGTGTCCTCATCGCTCGCCCCATGCTGCAATTGCGGCCCTGTCCCGGGTTTGATGGGCCAATCGCGCGGGCGCGCATGGGCAAAACAGCCTCGCCGACCGCCGCGTCGCGCGTTGCGGGTGGGCTCCGTGCCCGTGCCGCCGCGACGACGATCTCCTCGGTGGCGGCGTCTCCGCCTGTCGTACGCGTGATGCCGCGCGCGCCGAGCCGAACAAGTAAACAACCGATCGGTCCGCATCACCCGCCGTCGATCGGTGAGACGGTGAGTACGTAATCCAAGTGATGCACGGGCCGTATGCACGCGTGCTGTGCCGGTCATATGTATACGCCCCAGAAAAATGATTTCATCCGTAAAGCGGCGGCGGCGGCGGCGGCTTGGAACGACACACGTCCCATTCTTGCGTCATTACAATCGGTGTGTTGATTATGCCGTCGGCTTCACAGCTCACACAAGTCGCCCATGTACGCCTCAGGGTCATCTCACGCGCACTTGTGCCCGTGCTAAAGACAAGTTCTTCGATCGTCGGTGGTGCCAAAGTCTAAGCTTGCACGACGGTTCTACAGGAGATTAGTGCCGCCCGGCCGGCCTGGAACCACAATTTCAAGGGGGCTTGCTCGGACAATTATACTTGGCATTATTGATTATGGCTCAAGAGTACTATACATCATATAGATACGGCGTCATAACAGGTCATTGGATGGAAACGAATTAGGCATGCGGGTACAGCGTGTGTACTTCCTCCACTATCCGTGAAGTGGAAGTCAATTTCTGCAAGATTTCCATTTACCTATAGCTAGGTAGCACTACTAACTACTCCAGTACAGCAAGCCGTCCTAAACTCGTATCAAAACGTCCAAACTTCAGCTGATTTTCGTGGAAATTCTGCTTCATCAGCAGTTCCGTTTTAACCCCTGCTCGTCGACTGCCTGCCGGGCCAAGCAAGCAACACCAATTCGATCGAGGCAACACACAACACGACACGAGACGGTGGCGCGTGGCGGGCGATGGGCGATAGACGGATGGGAAGAGCATCGGAGCGCATGCTAGGTCGTAGCCAGTGAGACAACGCGACGCGCGAGAGAGGTGGTGGTGGTGGCGTCCGTGCGGAGCCAGTCTCACGTCGCCATCGCGCACTGGCGCCAGATCTGGACCGGACGGGCGGGGGCGCGGCAGAAAAAAAAGAATACGATATACAATGCGACCAATCGATCGATCGGGAGCGGCTTTTGCTGGTGAATAGCTGCGCGTCGGTGCCCACTTTCCCTTTGGGGAAGGTCGGGGCAGGCCGTGAACAGGACCGACGACGCGAGCCACCGACCGACCGGCCGTCCTTCCTTCCCTTCCTTCCTCCTCTCTCCTTCCCTCCAGGGAAATCCACCACTACTACTCCCGACTATTCTACCGGCAAAAAGTGAATCTAGCTAGTAGTGGTACCTAAGCTACCGGCCGTGGCTGCATGTATTGGCCTAGATAGCTAGCTGCAATGTAGCGATGAGCCGATGCGTGTAACGCTGCCCTGTGCGTGCGTGCGTGCGTGCGTGCTTCCCGGTCTCCGCACCTTTGTGCTTACCTTTTTCCTTCGTCCATGTAGCACGCACGTCGACCCGTCGTTGCATGCTGGTCTCGTGCGTGTGCTTCAGCAGCTGACGTACGAGTCGATCGATCAGCTCCGCGCTCGCTTGATATTTCCGGTGGCCGGCACGCTGGGGCCCTACGTTGCACAGTTCCACGCAGCAGGGGATGCCGAGAGCGCCCGGGCCGTCGAGTGGAAGCATCGATCATGCGGCCCGAGGGGGGCATTTTTGCCGGGGAGAGGAGGGCCTGCAGCCGCGCGCGCACAGTGCGCGCACTCGCAGCTGCTCATGTCTCGCTACTCGCTAGCGACGCCCCGCGCGCGCGTCGTGGGGTCTCACGCTCGTACGTACGCGCTCGCGCGCGCGCGCCATCGGGTGGTTTCAGCTAGTTTCGTCCCGTGAAACCGAGTACGGCCGCCCGCGCCGAGACCCCACGCGGCCACGCCTTGCCGGCCGAGACGTATCCATTGTGGCACTTATCCATTTACTCGATCGACCGTGCAAGGAAACCACTTGCAACGGCCATTGATGAAGAGAGATTTAGTTGCCTGTATGGTATGCATGCCGTTTTTTGTCATGAGCTTAGTGAGGATAAGCTCATGGATCATGTGGGCCTAAATGTGATATAGTACAGGAGTTTCTTCGCGGGTATATCAAGAGTTCAATACCATTTGCGCAGATTATTTCTTGTAGCCACACATATTAATTGAGAGCCTGCATGATGCATATGCCATCGATCGTTTTCTAGCTGCATGCAGACCCAGGTCCGCGAGTCGCAAGGGGACAAGAGGAAAATTTTCTTTCCCCCTGCTATTGCACAACAGTTATAGTGGCTAGTAGAAATGCATAGAACGCATGTGCATGGCACCCTCGCGAGCTGGCCCCTAGCAAAGCTTACACAAGAAAAGCTACAAGACACTTGCGAACAAGTCACGACGACTAGTCCTGATTGTTGCTTCGGTTAGACGTACTACGTCCCTACTTACTAAGAATGATGCTGAACACGCAGCCAATTAATCCTGCCTTGTCCTTGTCATATATCTGATGCTAGCAACCGGCTGAACCACCGCTCGATCGCATTGCATTTTTTTTCATAGATTGCCACAAACATGCACACGGCACGGAAACTCAAGGGATCCATCAGGAGGCACCCCTGTTCATCAATACACACAAGCGAAATCTAGAACGAACACCAAAACGATTTCTGACAAGCTCTTTCCCTGCCCATCCACTGCGAACGATAAAAACCAGGACCAAGTCCTGAACGAGGAACAGGTGGACGAAGTGAGGTGAAAGTGACCAAGCGTCTGATGACTGATGAGATCTGGTGCTAGCAATAAGAGCAAGTTCAATAGTATAGCCAACTACTAGCTCCAATTCATCTATAGCTAATTTAATAGCTCATTCATATAATAGTTACATACTACACTATTAATACCTAGTCCCACCTATCATAGACACACTGTGTCTTGGAGTCCGTGCTACAGCTGGCTACAAATCTGTAGCCCGCTGCTCTTCTCTCTCCTAATTTATCTCCTTAAAATATGTTTGCAGCTGGCTTATAGTCTGCTATTGTACCTGCTCTAATGGCCACAGGGAGACTGAAAACGGCCAATGCGCTCGCCTGGTTGGTTGCCGGTGAGAGGCAGCTAAGGTAAAGCTTAGCTCCAGGGGGCGAACTGATTCGGAGAGCCGAGGAGAGCGACACGGCATCGGATGAGACCACATTAACTTGTTTTTTACCGCGAGAGGTTGGCTCTCATGGTCATGGCCCAGCCAGTGGCTGGCCCAGCTCGCTTTTGTGAACCAGTCGCATACATACACATGCTTGCCTTGCTTGATGCCCGGTTGCTGCTGATGCTACCCTGCACTGCACTGCACTTCACTTCACTCTCTCTCATCTCGCCCCACACACATTCAATTATTGCAATGCCCAAATTAGAAACAAGGAATCCCCTTTCTCTAGCAAAATGTTACGCCCACTTGCATCTATGCCCCGGCACTATTCTCTTCTCTTCTTTTTCAGGGAGGTGCATAGGCAACACATTTTAAAGCATCTCCAAGGATATAAAAAAGCGAGCGGAAAAGAGATACATGCATCTGCTTATTCCTCTTTTTCTCTTTTCTATTCGGGAAATCTCATGATAACATTTTTGTTTTCGCAACAAGCAACAGCAACCTAAAGATCCGTACCTTATCAAATGATCAAGCACAACCGTACGTGGTGGGTCTATATACATTGATTCATTTTTTTTTCTTTTTGGAAGATTGCTATTTAATCACGCTTTGAATTCAATTCCAACAAGTCCAGATGACTGTTGGTTGTCTACTTGTCTTCGAGATGTTAGATATGTGTGCAAGTAACCCAACACTATGAAATTAAGAGATTATTAGGAAGATTCTGCAAGGAACAGTTCGATTTTTCTTTTCTTGCATTGCAGATAGGGCCCACATATCTGATTCCTGTTGGTATAGGATACCAAACGCAGTCGTATGTCTTTTTTAATTTAGAAGACCAAGCACCATAAAACATCTCTTCTTAGAGGGAGAAAAGAAAGAACATTACTTTAGTACCAACATCTAGAAGGACGAATACTTCTATATGCTCCACATCTCGGCAGTTACGTTTCTTGGAAAGCAAAGAGCCAAAGCTTAAATAGTTGACATATATGTTAATCTGATCGTCTCTTTTGATGATGATAGATTACATGACAGTAGTAGTAGCGTAAAGCTAGCACTCCGTAGGATTTATAAAGCGATGAATAGTAGTAGAAACCGTGGGTGTTTAAGGATGCTTACTAGAGGGCAAGTGTTGTCGGCCAAGCGGAGGTGCATGGAGCAAATTTTCCCGAATCATGGTCATCATGCAGTGAATGATGCAACATGAGACCGAACAAAATGAGCTGTGATGTTGACACCCAGAGTCATCGTTGTTGGCCATGGTGAAAGAAAAGAAGGAAAGAAAGCGAGCGAAACGGCAAAAGATAGATACTCCTACACTGCTTGAGGCGACGCTTGGCCAATCTCTCTCGCCTTCTAGGGAGCTCCTCATTTACATGCCCACTTGTGTCCCATTCATGATCAGATCCATCTCCATCTCGCTCGCCCAATCAAGAAACAGAGAAGAAGAAAGAGAGAAGAAAAAAGGTAGAGCAAAAGAATAGCATCCAGCTCTTGTTCTTGCTGGTAAATCTGCATTGAGTTTTTCCCTGCGTCAGTGACACACACCTCTCTCTCTCCATCGATCTTTGCCATGATCGATCGACGAGGAGACGATGAATGCAGCGATCTTGAATTTTAAATCTTTGATCATCTTAGGTGGGCCGGGTCAGGGAATGGAACCCGTTCTTCTGCAGCCAGGTTGAGGCTTGCGTCGCAATGTAGGGAGGGAATCGTGATGATGCTGCAGCTGCTGTAGCGGTTGCGGCGGCCGCGGCGTTGGTCGGCGGCGGCGGCGGGTGCGGCGGGTGCGGCCAGCTCATGCCGCCGGCGTTGCCCCACCCCTGCTGCTGCTGGGGAGGCCAGTGCCCGGCCATGCCTGCGCCGATCGTCAGTGACAGGCCTCCCGCTGTCCCCGGATCACCATTGCTCAAGAACTAGCAGCACAGACATCAAGAATTCATCAGCTCACGGATACCGGTGAAACCAAACGCGAGAAATTCAGCAGCAAATGGAGCGAAGTGGAGTGGAGTTGTATAGTGAGCTACCCACTTGGTGATGATGCCTGGGACTGAATGGCAGGTGGGTGACCTGCAGGACCGGAGGCATCTGGGGATGGTTCGAGTTCTGGTCGAACTAGACAAGAAAACGAGGAATTTTTAAGCCTTTTTATTACGTGATGAGAAGACAATCGGCTGATGCGGAAAGCAAAGTCCCCATTCTTTTTTTACCTTAGCTTTGGTGCTCCTCGCCGCCGCCGTTTGCCAGTCAAGGTCGAACGCCATAGGGACGCGCTGGTCGGAGCCCGCGCCACCGCCACCGCCGCCGGTGATCTCGTCGTCCCCGCCACCGTCAACGTTGCCCCTCTTGGAGCCCGCCGAGCTCCCAAGCGAGAGGTCCAGGTTGTGCTCGGCGGCATCACCCGTGGCCGCTGCTGCAAAACAGTGACAGATTTTGTCCGGATGAGCAGTCACAACTCACAAACGAACAGCCTAGCCATGAGCAGTAAGCGCACACATGACACACCCACCCGGCGGCTCGAACTCCCCGGCGTAAATGCTTGGATCGAAGTTCGTCACCGCATCCTTGCCATTGCACTTGATGGCAGCGCGGTCGTACGCCCTGTGGCCAAGAGACAAGAAACATCAATCACCATCACCGCTCGCCCATCTAACCCAGAAGCGTAAACTCGCAAACGGCGCAGCAGCCACACTCGACATTCAACAACAATGGCCGCGCGCGCGCACAGTGCGGCCCAATAATTTTACCTGGCAGCTTCCTCCTCGGTGTCGAACAGCCCCAAGTAGACGTACCTGCAGTGCACCAAAAACCCACAAGATGATTTACGGGAGATTGCCCAAGAACGAACGATCGAACGAAAGAGGAAGAAACGGTGATCGATTAGGACATACTTCTTGCCGAGGAATTGGCCCATCCGAGCCTCCCATCTCCCGCACTTGTGGAGCGTCACGCCCCTGTACTTGGAGCTTCCCCGGGGGAACCCCGTGCTCTGCCGCCGGAGCACGTGGACGAACTCCTCCTTGGTCAGGTTGCTCATCTGCAATGATCCCGTTAATCTTGCAGCTACAGTAATAGTAGTATGATCTAACGAAACCGTGGCGACTCATGAAAAGAAAGGAAAGTTCAGGTAATAATAATCGATCGCGCTCTCACCTGCTTCAGGTCATCCTCGTAATCCTCCAAGCTGAAATTGATGTCGGCCTCCACGCCGCGGAACTTGATCGCCGCCCGATCGTACGCCCTGCGATTGGGAAATGAACATAACAAAAAAGATTAGAATTTTGACAGCGCCGGATTCGATTGGGCGAGCAGGGAATAGAAGTCAGCGATTGGAAGACGAGGAATTGAGTCCAACTTACCGAGCCGCCGCATGAGCAGTGTCAAATCCGCCTGCAAATTCAGTCGTCACAAAGGCAGCCATTGTGAGGAATCGAAACCGCGCCCATAGAGAAAAAACGGCTCCAATTGGCGAGCCAATCGTGGAGGCCGCTTGTAGCAGTTCCCAAGTATGGGGGGTATGGACAAGATGGACATGAATGAAACTTACCCAAATAGACCTGCTTGCCACAATCCCTGCATTGCACAAAAGGATGAGAGGAGAGAGAGAAGACAAGAAGATGGTGAGTGATGAGAGAAGAGAAGAGAGAGAGAGAGAGAGAGAGAGAGAGGAGAGAGTATGGCAAGAATAACTTGATAAGATGTTGCTATGAAAGGTAAAAGGAGCAGAAGCAAGAAATGCCCAAAACAAGACGAATCCAATACCAAACCCGTCCATGCTGCTCTTCTTTTGCTCCCCTTTGCCTCTCTCTCTCTCCTTCTTCCTCCGTTGAGCTCTCGAAAATGGAAAGAACGAGCAGGAGGAGACGAGGATGCTTACCATATGTGCGATTCCCATCGCCCGGTGCGGCGGTAGAACGTGACGCCGCGGTACTGCGAGCTGCGCGACCGCGGCCCGCGCCGGCTCTTCTTGGACACCGCCGCCGACGCCGCCGGCCCCGTTGCAGCGACCGGCGGGGCGGCTCCGGCCAGGCGGAGCCACCCGGCGCGCGCGTTCCCGGGGGCGGGGTCGCCGCCGCCGCCCGGGACGGCCGGAGGGAAGAACTGGCGCGTGACGACAACCACAGCGGCCGAGTCGTCGTCGGCGTCGTCGGGTATCTCGACGACGGCGGCGGCCGAGGACGAGGAGGCGCCGGAGTCGTCGGCGGACGGCGACAGCGGCGGCGGCGCGGCCTCGGCCGCCGGCGAGTCATTGAGGTCCCACATGGCGTCGCCCTTCCCCCTTCGGTGAGATGCCTCTGCCTCGCCTCCTCCGTCCTCCCCCTTGTTGGGTCTTGGACTCTTGGCACTGCAGGAGATAGAAAGAAAGAAAGGAAGAGAAGAGAGAGCAAGGAGAAGCAGAGAAAAGAAAGAGAGGGTAGCAGCAGCTGTTGCCTTGTTGGGCTATGCAAGTACTTTCTCTTTTGCCTATCTATCTCGTTGGCAAAGCCGCTGCTAACCTAGGAGGAGAGCAGAGGACGCGAAAAGCAGGGGAGGTTGTGGGTGTGGCCTTGCTGCTGCTGCTGCGCATTGCGCCCGAGCGATTGGGGGGAGATGGAATGGAGAGAACGTAGTAAAGGGGGAATCGTGGTGGACGCGCGGTTATAAAAGCGCGGCGTCATCGCGTGTTTCTCCGTAAGCAGAGGGGCAAAAAATTACACATGTTTTTAGTAGCAAACCTTAGCCGACCGAACGGGGGACCCTGATCGGGGGAGGGGGGCGGCCGTGGGTTTTCGCGCTTGGATTCGATTCGATTGCTTGTCTTCTCGCGTCTTCTCCTTTTGGTGGCGGCACGAGGGGGGGAGGGGCCGCCCTTGCCCTTATCTTGGTCTGCACTGCACTACACTACACTGCAGCCAGGGAGGGACGGGGCCTTTGCTTTGCTTCTTCGCTTTACCGTTCGTCCGTCCTAGCTTTGGGTCTGTGGGCGCCCGGGCTCCGCCTCAGCACCGCCCGGATGGACTGTCACGTGTACTCTTGCTATTCGGGATGCACCATCGTAGTAGTATAAACGGTAGCTCAACCTCGGTACCACGTACCCAGGTTTTAACGAGCAAGTCTATATAATTAGATAGAGTAATTGAGAAACATGAGTTTAAATAGTTACTATCTCTGTCATAAAATTTAGTAATCTGAGACCCAACCTAGGACATGTCTAGATACATTGTATTAGGATAAGGTCTTATCCCATACTAGATTGTTACATTATAGGATGGAGGAAGTACAAAAACAGAACAGACTTACTACGTGTAGGGAAAGACGTGGAAAACGACTCCATTTTTACAGTAGCAGAGATATGATTTACGAATCGGTTTCTTTAGTCTGTATCATCTTGATAAATATGGTAGCTACAATGATTAAGCCGTTACTATTATCCACTCTATCTTAAAATAGAACTGATTTAAAATTTTAAAAATGTTTTTAAAAAAAGGTAGCTACCTTTTACTTGCTCCTACATCACTATTATAATTTCTCCCATATAAGAAATTGGTTTCCCACAGCCTAGATTGGCATCATTTTCAACGTTGGATATATGTTTTTAGACAAGAGCATTTGATATATCAGGTGTTTATTTCCACCTGTAAAAGTAGTAAATGTTATACCTAAAACTTTGAACAAAACTTGAACAACTACGAGTGGCACTATTTACCACAGTAGTCCCAGCATCTTTGCTAGACTAGAGTACGTAGTAGTACGTGCATAGCTAGGACCTCTTTCCATCTTTCTCTCATTTCTTGTTACCGGGATGCCCTCTCGATCTCTCAGTCAAGAACTCCTAGTCACTACGCTGCCGCGGTACTTGACATTCTGACATCTACTGCTCTGCGACCAACAAGCCAACAACCTATCTAGTCGGAGTACCTCAGTATCAATGCATGAAGCAAACGGCTTGACAAACCGGACAGGTCCCTATATAACGTCGTATTACTACTCCTTACTAGGAACTACTAACAATAAACAAAATTGGTCCGGAAGAATATGAATTCAATTTTTAAATCCAAATTAAAATTATTTGTTTCTGGTTACCGATTTGCTTAATAATCTGGCTTGGATCACAACAATCCGAACGTCCTTTTGCTCTACACGAGAAATTATGATCCTTACATGCTCCTTCTGTCTCCAAATATACTACCTACATCCCAAAATAAATTCAGCATTTTTCACACATCCCACACATGCCAATACAAAAGAAAAAAAATAGAATATCCATACTCTATTAAATCCTAATACAACTATTCATTTTTTTATCTACTCCAATACAATTATTCACTGCTTTTTATAAACTCCAATGCAATAATTACTCTAAAAATAAAATTATTTTAGGACAAATAAAATGAACTAAAAAAAACTTAATATGAGACGGAGGAAATATAACACGTACTTTACAGATTCGCAATAGTAAGATATATCCTATTCAATATAAGATTGCTACTCCTATACATATTTTAAGAATGAGTTATTAGTGCTATGATCCTAGCACCAGCAGTCACAGCTGCTTGCATCTACAAACACCATAGCCTATGGCATGAACCATCAAAGGCATCACCCATAATTCCAAAAGCTTCCGAAAGAACGACGAGACAACTTGGAAGGTGAGCAGTCAGCGATCAAGGAATGCCTCTTAGCTAACACTAGCAGCCATCTCCTATCGGCAAAAATTGTTTGGGCTTATTTATATACGATCGCTTAATTAACCTGTGGAAATTAAACAAGAAAATTACAGCTACTACACGGGTCAACCAAGTGCACGTCTGTGCCCTGCATATCATATCTGGCTTTATTAATCCAAACTCTAATATAATGTTGGTACCTGGACGGTAGTACTTGGTTCTAGTTTTCTCGCCTGTCGACTTTGGAGAAGGACGTACAAAGACGGTAACTTGTAATCTATCCAACGGTGTGTTAGACTTTGGATCTTGTTGGTTTTAGTCGGTATCTGAATATCTGATAGCGAGAGTCATCGATGTAAAACTGTGTCTGATTCTGATTGATTGGCTCGCGTACAGGTGAATTGAGTCAGCATCTACTATTCATTGCGACATCGCTCTCTCCCCAACTATGTGAAATAGTGAAATTAAGGACACATATATGAATTCTTTTTGTCGAATTGTTACATCTATAAACCAAGAAGTATATTTTGTACTCCTCTCGTTTCTAAATATATAAATATTTCTAGATTATTTATCGAAGATTAGTAAGAGGAAATATTCATTTTCAGTAACCTCGTTGGCCACATTTAAATCATATATATATAGAAACGGAGGGAGTATCACATAAGTTTTTCTTTTTATTTCTTTGCAAAACTTCTAAAACATTTATAAAGAGTACATTATTCCTAGCAACAAGTTATAAATCACCCATATATCGACTTTTTGTTGTCGTACAAGATATATCTGAGATGTTAAATCAACCTCGGACTGAACGGTGAAGTCAGAATCCTCCCAATCACAATTTGATAGTATATTCTTCACAATAACACTACTGGAAAAATAATCTTTGCTGGGTCGACCCAAAACCACAATAGTCCCGGTTCCAAAAAGAACCGGGACTAAAAATGATCTTTACCCCCGGCTGAAAACCCCACAGCCATTATATGATCTTTAGTACCGTTTGTTGTTACCAACAGGGACTAAAGATGGTCTTTAGTCTCGGTTCATTCCCTGTCAGAGGCATGTCAGGGGCGAGGATCTTTACTCCCGGTTGGTGACACCAACTAGGACTAAAGATCGCCACTTTAGATTAAAGATCATCTAGATCTTTACTCTCGGTTGGTATTACCAACCGGTAGTAAAATTCAACACATTGTATATAATCCATATCCCTTATCCTCTCCTCCACAATTGCAACCACTCAGATCCTCCCCTTCCTCCTCCCCTCCCCTCCTCCTCTCCCCTGGAGACAGACGCCCTCCTCCTCTTCCTCCTCCCCTTCCTCCTCCCTCCCCTGGAGACGGAGGCCTNCTCCCTTCTCTTCTGCCTGGAGACGGAGNCCGNGCGGNNGACNCGTGGCCCCTNCCCTTCCTCCTTCTCTCCTGCCTGGAGACGGAGGCCGCGCCGCGCAGACGCGTGGTGATGACGAACGCGTNACGTGCGGTTGCAGGGTGCGCGCGGTAGTAGTGCGCCGTNATTGAGCTTGTTTTCTCTTATGTGTGTGTGTATATATATATATATATATATATATATATATATATATATATATATATATATATATATATATATATATATATATATTGTGATTCACTAATATGTATAATCTGTGATGTATTTGATTTGTGTATATTAGTAACTTTAAGATTTGTGATGTGGATTGGGATGTTACTTTGATTTGGGGATTTGGGATGTGCATGCCACTTGATTCGGGAGAAAATAAAAAAGAAACAAACAAAGAAAAGGGACCATCTAGACTGCCGCTATCCTCTATTTAGTAACACCAACCGGGACTAAAAATCTTTGACTAAAGATGGGCATCTTTAGTCCCGGATTCCTACTCCCGGTTGGAAACCCGGGACCAAAGGATCGTTACCAACCGGGAGTAAAAAATGTTTCTCCACTAGTGTAATTTGGAGAAATTGAAGAGGTCAGCTATCTAGATATCCATCTCAAAGTCATTTTCGAAAGGGGAAGTGATAACATGGTCCCCCGCCATTGTCTTGGCACAATCCTGAGGGGGAGGACTGGTACGCCGTGAGGATTGGTTTTCCCCCTTTTTTTCGATTTAGTGGTGAATTGTGTCGTACGTGTACTATACTGCAAATAGCACGTTCAAGTAAAAGTTTAGGATACGCTTCTGATCGATGCTTGTCAATTCTTCCTACTGTTGGCTCCATTTTCTTGCAACATCCATCCTTTTATGTGCCGTGTCATCTTTTTTTGCGTTCGAGAGATATAGAAAATTATTCCATTTGTACAATAATTTGGTTCACTCATCGTGTGAACTGCGCATATCGGTATTTCAACATCCCTTTTTGTTTGCGTATGTAATTTTTCTAGGATTAATGTAACCTGTCATGAACGATGCTGCTTTGCGTTCCCTTTCACATAACCGTGAAACCGACAAGGGGGAACAACTTAATTGCCGCTCTTTTCATGACATATACTACTTTCTCTCTTTTATTTCTAGCTACGAACCGCACAACAACGACCGTCATATATAGCTGTGCTAACTGCCTAAGCTTGATAATTTTTTTGGTAGAATATATTGACAATTCTTAAACTTGAGGATATTATTAACAACTATAAAATATGAAAATTACAATTTGATCCTTTAAACTTCTAAAACCATGATCCGTCATAGCCGTTGTTTAGTCCCATTCAAATATCTCCATTGTCCCTGTCGCCACAAAGTGAGACCCGCACCGGTATATTTTACTCTTTTACATAAGACAACAGTAAACAACAAACCAAAATTTCTGCACTCTTGAAGGAAGCCTTATACAAAATTAAAGATGAACTTCTCTTCATCAGCCATGCATATATGCAGAGGTGTTGACTCTCTAATAAGGCCCTTAAACAGCGTGATCGATCGAGATTGGCATATGCATATACTCCGCTGTGCACGCCGTACCAAGAACGATATGTTCAGTACGAATATTCTCCCCTATCCAAGTTTAAAAGGCCTGCTACAACGCAGCTGTGTGCGTTTCAGGAGTTCAGACGTTTAAAAGACGAGATTTTACATATGCAGCACAGGGCTGAACAACAGTGTCCATCACCTTTCTGTTGTTGACCAGGAGTACGTGCTACTAGTATCTATCTATCTATATAGGGCCAGAAAGAAAAAGGATGG